ATGAGGAACCATGGGTTCTGCGAACGGCATTGGACGGGAGGGCCGCTGAATGCTTTTCCAGCGTCAAATCAAGCTCTACCTATTTTTCTTTTCTTTTCTCAAAAGAGAGAGAGGCAAAGCCCCGAGTGGAACCGTGGCTGGGTCCGGAAGAAGGAACCAGGTTTCTCAACCTCTTAGCGCCCGAACCGGACCGTCGACAGAAAACCCAAAGTCTGAAGCCGCGGAGTCTGGACACCTGGAGCCCGTGGCTGCTGTTCCGGATGAGCAATTCAGCGATGCACAAATAAGAGTGAGCCATCAGGTTGACGCGTCCGTCCACTGTTCGGCTACCCGATCGTGTAGACCGATAGTGCGAGCCGGCCAGGCATGGTGACTGATGACGCTTGCAGGGATGGACATCGACTGCCTGTCGATCGGGATGGCGATGGATCAGTCCGTCGTCGACTCACAGCGTCCAGTAGCTCGCCATCCTCATCAGATGCTGGTGGGTCGGGAGGGCAGCCGAAAGCTGGATTACGAGGCCTCGGGGATCTCTGGTATCCATCACATGGCGAACTGAGACAAAGGGGATGGAGGGATAGAACCCCCAAGGAAGGGGGATGATGAGAGAAGGAGATGAGGATATTGAGGACGAGGATATGGATGAGGCTGGGATGGGATGGAAGAGAGCGGCTGCAAGTGATGATGCAGGCGCACCTTTGCTCCCCCACCTACTCGATTCAATCCCGTCCCCCTCTCTCACAACCCCATCGGTCTCTCTGCTCTCTTTACTTTACTTTCCCTTCCCCTTCCCCTGATACCCTTACACAGTACTAGATCTATGCACTGCCTTGGTTAACCGCCACTAGTCCGAAGACGGACCTTGCTGATCAACAAGACGGATGACAGTTCATCCCCAGACTAAAGTTGCTCTATTGGATTTTCGCCCCCCTCAGGCGGCGAGGCACCGTGCACTCGGGCCTCCGCCTGCCAGCGGCGCTCGCCTCGTTGAGTCTGACCCATTCGCTGTTCCAGATCCTGTCCAAAATGCTTTCCAGGTGATGTGTCTGCCTATTTGATACCATGCCTACTTCTAACTATCGCCGGGATCTCCTAGATAACGGCGTGACAATGCCATACCCTTCCTCACATCCGATAGTCCCCGGATGAGTATCGCGACCAAGGAAACCTGAGACGTTAGAACTAGGTCGTTTCAGCTCCTTACTTGGACGTCCCTACCGGTCGGCATGGCGGTAATATCGCCGATCCACATTCCCCGAATCACAGCATCGCCTCAGTCGTCACGGCAGATCCACTGGCTCCATGATTTTCGCGATGAGCAGAGCTAGCGCAGCCGCCCCACTGCCGTATTTGTCTGTCTAGCTTGCATCGCATTGGCGTGAGCAGTACGGAGTACGCAGGGCAGTATAATTAGAACAGCCTGGGTAGATACCGTACAGAGTAAGTGCAGCAGGCCATGATGAACAGCAACTTGAATATGAATAGCAGGCGACCCCATCCCGATCTCCCGTCTCTCCCCGCCGTACGCACATCCAAAAGCTATACTACCCCAGTAGCCCCTCCCGGCTTTGCTGGTCTGTATCACTCCCCTTCCCATGATGCCAAGGAAACCTCCAGCTGGATGAATGGGGTGGTCCCGGTTACACGACGGGCTCGGGAGCTGAGCTCATTTCCTCTGTACTCTGGGAGGCTGGGGTTCCTGTCGGTATGCGGGCTGTTTATTTACGAAACTCTGACAAGATGCCTACGCAACTTTCGCCTCCATGGGTCAGAGCCTAAACCAACAGGAGCAAGACATTGACCGCCAATAGCTCCAACAAGCCTCGTACCAGCAGTCTGACCGTACCCCTCAACCCCGCAGCTCTTTACAGCAAACAACCTGTCCCACCCAGAACAGGTCCAGCTCGCTCCTGTCCAACCTAACGAGAGCTGCCGAGGATGGCTGTGAGACCAAAAAACGCAAGGACCAATACTTAATTCTGCATTCGGGAGCGCAAGAAGACGGATGCACCCTGTCAGAGTGACACCGCGGAGACGAGGCAGCCGAGCCGGTAGATGCGCGTGTCCTTATCACTATTCATGGACTTTGCTTCGTCTGGTGGCTCCGTGGGTTAGTGGCATTCTTCAGCGGACATTCGCATGACGATGCCGTCGCCGGATATCCGTGCAGATACGGAGTACCTTTCTCGCGACTACGGTCGGGGGAGCCAGCAGGAGGCGTGGTAGGCATCTTCCACGAGCTCCGACGCCAGCCGGCTATAGATCAGCCACCAATCGGGGGTCCCTTGGCTCAGCTATTTCCGGAACAGGGGTGGGGCGGAGCTTATTTGCTGACCCTACTATCTTGCCCAGATATGCAGGAAAGATATCCAACCTAGGCTATCTACCTGGCCTTCCCATGTGAATGCGGTCCCGAATCGTTCTCCCGGGGCGCAAAGCCAGCAAACAACCGCCCCTACCACACCACCTTCTAGTCGACGTGGCAAAAAGCCACCGAGTAGTCTCTTGAGGCAACAATATTTTGTCTCAGTCGCATTTGCAATGACTCAACGACTCGCCATCCAAACCAATGACAACCGTTGCCGCCGCCACCAGCCTCTTTGCGTCAGAGATGCTAAAGCAAGGAACGCCGTAGAGCCTAGCCCAGGCTCCCTGCTGTTGCCTTAGCTGGGCTCCACCCATCCATCTTACTGGTTCTTCTAGCCCTGTGACCTGAGTCGATGGCTATCTAACATGCGCCCAGCACGTTGACCTTCTAGATCCCCGTCGTTCCTGTCATGTGGTCTGTAGCGAGATCAGGTACCGAATGCGTGTCTAAACCTTCGTTCGGTGGAAAAGCTGCTGGATGTTTCGTGCTCTGGCCTCCGTCACTTTCTGTCGAGAAGATGCCCACCCACCAAATCTAGACCCGCAGTTGTCTCTCTTCTCGATCACATTCACCGTTACAACCACATGAAATCGCCCCTGCGGGCCTCCAATTAAACCCTCTTGATCTCCCAGCAAAATGTGCCGGGCTGTCTGGGCAGGGGCTCTCCACAGCAGAGCACCAATTCCAGCTGCCATATACGAGCAAGTAGTACTACCACTTGATCTTTATCCAGAGCAGCAACAGCAACGAGTACAACCTAAGCATGGCATAACGAGTTGCTAGAGGTCATCGATGGATTCAGACCAGGGTTATCTTCTGATTGTGTATCATTTGACTCGAGCCAGGTTTTCAGTTAGTTGCCTACCTGCATAAACATCGCCAAATGATACGGAGTGCAATGTCAGTATTTTCCTAGCGTCGACATCCGTGCACGAGATTCATCCCACCTGATCGTCATCCTTCCATCGACCTATGCAGCAGATGAGACCAGGTTAAGTATAGTATAAGCTGCCTGAGATCCTAACGCCTACAGGAAAATCCTCCTCCACGTGGTCTCATCTCCATTCCTCTCCCTACACTTATGATCTACTCCACTAATCCAGATATTGAAACGTATCCCTATCCAGTGCCTTATCCACTGGACCAGGGAAATCTGCAACACCCTAGAAAGTAGAATGCAATAGTGCGAACCACGATCACCTGCACTAAATTCCCTCCCCCACCCCACATCCCTAAACTGCCACTAACGAAACTATCGGATACCGATATCTCCAAGCGGGGCAACCACCCCAGCTAGCGAGGAGTAGTGGTCGATCACCCTGATAATAACCTTCCGAGAACAGGAAACGCGGAATTGGCGGCCCGAAAATCTCCTATCGCTTGGATGCATGCCCCCTTACTCCGGGTGGAAAGTTTGAAACGCGAGAATGGGGCGGTAGGAATTAAGCTAGCTAGATCGCTGCTAGTACTACTCCGTGCTCCATAGTACTTCATATTTCGTAGGGTAGAGGGAACACATGGGGGGAAATCTCGAGGGTGGCAGGGTCTGCATTCTAACTTGCGGTTTCTGCTAAGATGGATAGGGACAGCAGGAGATGTACGGAGTACACTGATACTTATCAACTCCATGCATGGTACTACATAAACTATGAAGCTATGTCTTCTAATTAACAATTACAAATGAAATGTTAGACTGAATCCCATTAATTCACAACCTGAATCTATCTAGTGCTATCCCAACCTACCCTACATATGAACAATAGACTAGGAAACTGAATATAGTAAGTTTTAAACATCCTAGTCACATCTCAAATACTAAACACTATCTCTTCCAGTCCACATAGAAAACTATACTCTACTATACTCGGTCCATACATAAAACCCCATAATACTACCTCATCCTATCTACCATACCAGTGATAGAACCTCACTCATTCACAGCAAAACCAGTTTTACTTTACTTAGTACCTTGAATTCCAAATGTACTCTCTCACATGATGATAAAAAAAATGCACCAGGAAGGTGGAGGTGTACATGCATACATACATACATACATACATAGCTACTACTAGTACATACTTACCTAGTTGTACCCGCATATCACATAAACCGGTTTCTGGTGCAGGTACGGAGTACATTATTATAGCAAAGGTGCATGTCAGTCAGAACTGAAATATGTCGGGGATTTTATTTTATTTTATTTATTTTTTTTGTTTTGGTCCAATAGCAACTCGAATGTTGCAACTAAATGTGTGTATATTTTGGTATTGAAGAATTCTATATCTCCACCAGGCAGGCAGGCAGGCAGGCAGGCAGGCAGGTAGGCAGGCAGACCAATCACTGACACGCAATATCATAGACTAAAATCTCCATGTAGGCAATATGTCCAGCGACAATGCATTCATCTTATCCTAATCTAACCTAACCTGACCTATCCACCCTCCCCATCACGCACCCCAACTCCATTGCTAGAGAAACGCCCAACCGAAACCAAACCAAAGTATGAAATCAAACTCCGAGGCCTACTACAGGCCCAGCCCGCAAAATACATGACATAACAGAATGTGAAACCCCGTGATATTTATCGCTTCGTCACCTAGGTAGTTCCATAACTATATTATCGGTCGCCGGGCTATGATGAGCGCCGTTCGACCCGGCTCAACGCCCCCAGAATCAGCCCGAGGTCTTCTCGAGGCCGGGGTCGGAGACTTAGGTCTTGGCGGGAGTCCTCGCCGCCACTGGCTTCGGTTGCGAGCTGACGGACGCGATTGCGGCTGTCGCGCTCTTCGAGGCGCTCGGCGCAGATGCGGAGCACACGGGTCGAAACCGTGTCGGACATGGCGCGGTACAGGTCGATATCGTGGATGCCTTCGGCAAGGGAGTCGAGAGTCGGAGCAAGTGAGCTGGTGATGCGGGAGAGTCGGGTGGATACGGCGGATGGTGATATTTGGGGGAGGAGATTTGCTTCGGAGGGCGAGGGCTCGGTTTCCATAGGCTGGGCGTCTGGGTGTTGTTTGACGGCTTCAGGGTCTATCTGGGCGAAGAGTCTCCGTTGCGAGGGTTCTAATAGAGATAGATCGATCGGCTCGGGCTCGGATGATGGCTGTGGAGGTTGATTGGCGTCGGGGTCAGGTTGTGAAGGTGGCGCGGGCTTGATTCGAGGAATGTCTGTCGGTCGTAGGAGCGCATTGAGAGCATGTCGCTCTTTTTGTAGCCTGATATCACCATCGTTAGCTCTCTGCTGTCGCTGCATGCGAGACACCACTCACTTCTGTATTTGCTCTTCTAGCTCCTGGATCTTCTCGGCATTTTGGATGTTCTTCGGGTTCTCTTTCTTGACCACCAGAGCAGGGGGATTGACATCCTCTCTTCCAAACCAGTTGGAGAGCTCAGAATTAGTGGAGAACTCCTTCAGCAGTTCTTCCTGGATGACCCGCGCTATGATACGTTAGCCTATGCATGAAATATTGAGCGCAGAACATACCCGCTAGACGAGCGCTCTCGTCCTCTGAGCGCGATCCAGACGGCTTATCGCCTATTGCCCGCGTACCGCACCAGATCAGAAGTTGCCGCATCCTCCGTGGCTCCGGCAGGTCCGCCGCGATGTGCTTGTAGAAATCTGCCGTATCAACCTTCTTATGTGGTAGTGCTGGATCTAAATTAGCACCCAGACAAGCACAGCGGTACATATAACCCACCATTAGACGCTCCTGAGTCAATCAGCGAGCTGGCTCTCCGTCCTCTCATCCCGAGACTGCTCCGCCGATTCCCTCCTTTCACGGATTTCTTCCCTCGCATCTCCCTATTGCGCTGGATAACTGGCGTATCCGCCAGCGGCAGTGCAATCGTAGTAGCTGTCCCGGACTGCTGCAGTTCCGGTGACACAAAGCCATTCACTGGCTGCGGTTGCGGCGGCGGATGCTGTTGCTGTGCGTCGCTCCTCGAGTTACTCGGCCTGCCTTTCCTCCGCTTCTTCTCCAGAGGCACCACCTCCGCTTGGCCGGGTTTCCGTGTAGAGCGTGTGGGACGTTTTGTTGGTTCTGGCTGTGGTTGCGGTTCCGGTTGAGGCTCCAGCTGAGGCTCCTGCTCAACCTGAGTCGCCGCAGCCTTTGCAGCTCCTCTCGTTTTTCGCTTCCCGGTTCCCTCGGTCTGCTTGTTCTTCGGTTCCACAACAGGCTCGGATTTCTTCTCCTCAACCCGCTTTTTCGGAGGTCGACCTCGTCTCGGTGATGGTTGGGGTGGCTCCTCTGGTACAGGTGACGGTGCCTTTTTACTCTCTGACGGTTTGGCCTTTTTCGTTGTGATGCGCGAGAACTGAAACCCCTCAATATCCTCCTCAAATGGTACTGCACAACCAGATCAGACATTAGCACTTCAACACCCTCACCGCATAGATCACCATCGCCGCTACCCCATCCAAGCATCCATCCCATTCACGTAGAATCACTCACCAGATTTCCGTTTCTTGTCGGCCGCACTCAATTTCTCTTCACTTCGATCCTGTTTATTCAAGCTCAACCGCGCGCTCGTCCTCCTCCCCCCACTTCTTCCAGGCGCGGCGGGACGCGCCTGCGCCTGGGACGTCGCCATATCGATAGCCAGTAGCGGTTCGCGACGTTTCGCCTTAGTTGTAGAGGAAGCCAAAACAGTGACGGTCATGTCAGGACCGAGACAAGGCGGGGTTGTAGGCGGGACAAATGAAACCAAAAAAGGAGCGACGAATCGTTAAGGGCGAGAATTAGAGTTGAACTGAAGACTTCTCCGCGCAATCTGTTCTTTCTGCCTTCCGGGAAGAAATCAACCGCGAATTGCGGTGCCCGCGAAGAATTCCTCCCGCTGTGTTGATAGGACCTCGGTCACCGCAAATCCTTCGCTCCGGGCAGTTCGAAACCGGAAGGACGATAGGAAGCGAGATTGACGATTGTGGTTTTGATGGACTTTCCGGGGATTCCTAGGACTCGGATCTGGTTGGGTTCGAATTCGCGCGGTCGCAGGTGTCGGGGTAGCTCGACGACGGGGGTGTGCGGTCCGAGGGACGTGTGTTGATACGGGCTGCGCGGTCAACAACGGTTCAGGGGACGCGGCGATGGCGGGCGACCGGTCGAGACAGGCGAGTTGAGATTCAAGGCCTAATGGCGGAAACTCCCAGGGCTCCTTGCGCAGAAGGGCCAAGCTCTGGCGTCGGGATGACGGGGGGGGGGGATTTGGCTCTTGCGAGTTGCCGCAGCACGCGCTTGTTTTGGTCGTGGCGCGTGGGGAGAGGCGCTAGTCCCGTTCGGGGTGACACCGCGGGCCTGCAAACATCATCGACTACAGCATCCCGCAGGATTGTACGGACGATTATTCAACCCTATGTCCATTACATATGTTCTAGTATCTAACATGTATACAGCCCCGCTGGCATGCTTCCCGTGTCGCCCTTCCCAACTAATGATTGTAATGTTTACAAGTGTGCTGGAAATCGCTACGAAGGCTCCTGGCCGTGTTATGTACCTGTAAACGCCCGAAATGAACCAACCCCGCTGAGTCGTCACAAGAGGACCTGGAAAGGCGAAGCAAGGCAGAGCGGAGCCCACTACGCGAAGGCAGTGGCATCGGTCGGGGGGGCCAGACTGCCTTCGATCCTGCGCTTGGCGGCTTGCATCTCCTCCAGAGAAACATCCTCGGATTTCTTGGGCATGTCTGGCTCAAACTGAGCAATGTCGGGGCTATGGCCCACAGACATGCCAACTCGGATCTGTTAGGAAGACTATGTTAGCCATGACCATGCGCGAGGGTCAACAAGGGTGTCTCTTACCAATGTCTCCAGAGGACCCTTCGAATTGTCTACCAAGTCGCTATCGAAATTGATCGCGCCATCTTCGAAGAGTAGAAGAAGAGTACTTCCACCGAACTTGAAGTACCCAAGCTCCTCTGCTCGAGAGACCTTTTCTCCAGCCTGGCGAGTGATAACTGTACTTCCGACCATCATGGCTCCAACGCAAACAACCATGACGCGGCCATGAGCAACCGAGTCGATCGGGACCAGAACTCGGACATTCTCGCCATACACATCCAGTGCGGAGCGGATGGCCATGGGATTTACCGTATAATATTCACCTTCAATAGTCTTGGGCTCGCCCAAGACACCATCCACCGGGATATGGAAGCGGTGATAGTCCTGCGGCGCGAGGCGGAAGACTCCCAAGGCTCCGTTCTTGAAGCGCTTTACATCCTCGGGATACGCGTCACCCAGGAGCCTAGCCACGGAGAACTCCCGTCCCTTGACCCAGATGCTGGTCGCCTCTTCAATACGGTCAAAAACGACCGCCCGGCAATCGGCGGGGGACACCACGACTTTGGGCTCCTCGGGGGCCGAGCAGGGCCGAGCACCGGGCTTGAGAGCCCGGTAGAAGAATTCGTTAAAGTTTCTGAACTTTTCCAGCGGGAGCAAGACCTCGGACATGTCAAGCTGATGGAAGTTGATGAAGTCCCGGATCTGACTTGCTGAGGCCGGGTCGTCGTACTTCCTGCCCTGTTTGATACTGAGTGACTTCAAGATTTTGCGGACTGTGTTAAAGGTTAGTTATTTGCAGCCCAGGTGAAAGCAATCGAGAGCAAGCATACTTCTCTTCTTCTCCATCTCCCGGCTCTTGAGGCCCTTGTATAGCAGCCGGATACCCAACCGGACATAGACACTCATGCGCTCCTCGTTGATCTGGCCGGTAACTCGATCCTGAACAAGAATATTGGCCGAGTTGGCACCCAGCTTGTATCCACCATAGGAGATCTTTGTGATAACCTTGGTGTACCATTTGCGCTGCGCCTGGCTCGATGTTACAAATCCGCCCATGACAAGGTTGTCTACCTGTCTCCAGTCTCGGCTCGCACATGTAGCAATGTGTGTAATAATATCAGCATCGGAACGTGACGAGAGACGCGGTTGATGGCACAGAGGACATTCCCTGAGTTCAATAACATGCTCTTCGCCCCGCTCGTCCCCCAAATCGTCAGGGCGAAGATCTTCCTCGGCCGAGCTCGGCTGTTCATCGCTAGACAGCGTCGGTACGGATGTAGTACGAGGATCGACATTGCCTGGTTCGACAGTGAGCTCATCGCCACTAGACTGCTCATCACTCTCGCGACTGGTTGTCGACGGAGTGGGAGTCATCTTCTTGGGAGGTGAGCCCGGGTCTTTTTGTAAAGCCTGAAGTGTATCTTCCAGGCACATCACGGCCTGGTCAAACGTCAGGTCCATGGTCTCACTGGGCTGATTCTCCAAGCTGAACCGTTCAAAGAAGCTGTTGATAGTGGACTCCTTCAAGGTTGACCCGAGCGTGTCGAGCATTGTCGTAAGTTCGACTTTGTCAATACGGCCACTCTCATCGGCATCATACTGCTTCAGCATGAGTCGCCAGAACTGCTGCCGAAGTGCACGGTAGGGCATATATTTCGCCTTGACAAATAGTTCTGGGAAATGCTTATCCTCCCATCTTTCCTTGTTCTTCAACGCCAACTGGATCCGGTAGACCTGAAGGCCGTTTGACTCGAGCGGGCCGATCGGATCGCCCTCAAAAGAGGCCGCTGTCGGCGTTGAGGGGTTACTACTCTCACCCTGCTCAGGGACATTCCGAGGGAGGAGCAAGGTCGACTGTTCTTGTACTGCCTGGCTTGACAAGGAAGTAGACGAGCCTCTGGGTGTCGTACCAAACTTGGGCGAAGTTGACAAGCTGTTGACTGAAGGCGATCGACTGATTGCAATCTTGATCTCAGGGGTTCTCGCGACAGAACCTGGTTCAGCCCCTGTAAGATCAGATGCCGGGTCCACGAACTTATATAGCCCGGTTTCAGGGTCAGCTTCGGGAGCTGACTGGATAAGAGTCTGCACTGGAAACGAAGCGGAAGCGACAAAGTCATTTCCGGAGAACTTGTCTCGATCCATGACCGTAAACCCGATGGTGTAGGATTGTTCATGCTTCATAACCTGGAACACCATTTTCTCATTATATACTGGATTGAGGTTGTGACGCACGACCGGCGTTCGAAGCGTCTTTCTGCCGAGGGAAGTGACAACGAATGGATCCATATCAAAAGAAGTGCGTGTTACTATTACGAGTCAGCAAAGAAATATCCATGAGGACTGGCATGTCTCACCATTCCGTTCCGGCGGAAGATCCGTCACCTTGACGATTTCCATGAAAACGATACCCTGCACTCCGTTGCCAGCACCAGAGAATTGATATGCCCTTGCGGCTAGGGATTTGCGCTTCAGACGCTTCAGACGCAATCTACGTTTCCGCTTCTCCACGACCTCGGGCTTCGTAGGGTCATCTGTCTCATCCGAAGTCTCCTCGTCTCTGTCGGCATCGTCCAGCAGCATAGACGAAACTTGCGGGAATTCATCCTCTTCGTCCCCAGCACATACCAAGTTTCTGAACTTCTGATAGGTTTCGGTCGGCGGGGCGGCTGGGTTCGATGCATCGATAATAGAAAATTGTAGAAGAATCTCTCCAGACACCATACTGTCCTTCTTCTTTGTGGGTTTCCGCTTCGACCTGAGTGTATACCATTTTGGCTTCAGATTGTATATCAGCTTCGTTCGGTTGCAGCCGGAGAGGAGGAGCGCCTACCTGCTGGTGTACGTCGCCGTTTTGAAATATGTCCTCCAACGGAATATCGAACTCGCCAAGGTAATCTTTGCCAAATCTATCGTGATCCCAACAAATGCACTCCAACAAGGGTACACCGACCACTGGCATCTCAAATGTCACGTTCCATTCTGGATTCAGCGTCTTGGGGATCGTGGGTGTCGACTGTCGTGCGTCTCCGAGTGTGACCACCAAATACTGCGTAAACAAGCCGCTGTCAGCCACGATAGTCCGTATCGATATCATAGGTCGTTCAACTGTTGGGATATTGGGACTTACCGGGTCACTGGTCCCACCTCTGTCTTTGGCTGCAAGATCTCTTCCCTGATGGTGTGGACAACACGAGTTAGCAGGTCAACGGAACTCTGGTCAGAGCTTCCGTTGAGCTCCGCGCGGCCGTGGATGCGACGCTCTTACTCACCCGGATCACAGACACCTTCAGGATCAACGGCTTCTGCTCTGGCATTCTCATTGGACTTGCGCTCCTACTTTGGCCGGGAGTCGGGTTGTTGCTTTTAGTGCTCAGGTGGGTGCTGAGACGTTGTGGCAACGGTAACCGCACCATGGTGACCGGCCGGAAGTGCGGGGGAGCAGGGTCGACGGAAACGGAGGACACGTCGCGTCAATACAAAAGACTGGACGCGCAGACTATTAGGGTTAGAAGGTAAATTGGATGTGAAGAAAGGTTGGTAGGAAAGTACATCGAACAGTGTCCAGAGCTCCCCGGCCACCGCGACAGAGAAATGTCACGGTGTGGTTGCCTGTCAGTCAGGTCAACTGCCGGTTGGTCTAAGATCAATCCAAGTCGGCCCAGTGAGAGCAAGAGACGATGCCACGGATGTACTGCGCGGGCACCAACAGGAGAAATTCACCCTCTGCAATTGGCACCTTTAAAGATGCAGGGCCAGGAGCATCGCGCCAAAGGACACGAAAATGTGGTGGGAGGGAAAGCTTAATGCACGGGCTGGGTGAATGGGGGTGGGTGCGCGGCTGTAGTGTAGAACTTGTCTCCAACAAGATTAGATTAATACCAGATACTAATAAGGATCCTAAGAAGATGAAGGAGGAGAAGAGAAGAAGAAGAACAACAATACTAATCGTGGTGCTAAAAGTAAGAATAGAAACTCGTCGATGGGACCGGGACTAGGTCTTGGTCAAAGGGAAAGGGGAGCAACAGAGCAACACGGCCTCGTATATGAGTGGGGAAAATGTCGTACTGTTAAGTCCTGATCGGTTTATCCCTCTGATCCTCGGCCCCAAGGCTTATGATTGTCGTCCCAAGTTACAATTTAGGAATTTAATACATGATGGCTGAGGCGACCCCATCCACAGGATCAGGAGGATTTGCGGAAGCCGCCGGGTACCCCAAACGTTTTAGAATTATCCCATTAATTAGACCCTGGTACTGTGTAATTCGCCGACGCCACAAGAGCTAGAAGTTAATAGAAGAAGTGGAACGGTCGAATGATCGTGGTCTTGCAAGGATGGAAAACTGGCTGCCTAGAGGGTGTGGCTCTTGCGTGCAAGAATCCCCTCTGCTGCCAGGCTGTACCACTCCCGGCAAAGGGGGACACGGCCTCCATTCTCCAGAGTCCAGATGGAGGATCCTACCAGCCACAAACCGGCGGAATTACGGAGTACCACTGAGATACATTTCTTGCTGCCTGGATGTCATCTGGAAACCCCTCATGAGTTCGTCCAAAGATCCAATAAGAGCGAACTCACTGGCAGATCGACTGCCCCTCGACCCGGCGCATCCAATGGGTGTCTATGTGAGATAATCACTCGGGCAAGACGAACTGACGAAGGAAGGGCTGTGTCGGTCCTGCCTCAGCCCTGCGCCCCCACTCCGGAAGATGCCAAACTGTCAATGTTTTCGTACTCCGTACACAGGATAACTCGGCTGGCAAACCCGGCCTTCGTCTGGTGTTTGAAACTGGAGGCCGCCGGAAGCAGCTGACGGAGCCAGTCGCTGCCTGAAGGCGGTGAAGCTGCTTCTATTAATGATGGATGCCACTGAGCCCGGCCCCTCCCTTCATCCACGGTTCGGTCCATCGGTTGATGCTTCCCATTCCGAGCTCCGACAGCCAGTAGAACTTGGATGTCTAGATACATAACAGCCGTAGTGGATATCCCATGCTTAGGCTAATTTCAAGGGACCTTCAAGTTACCTGGAAACTAAAATAACATACTCACGATGAAAGCTCGCTCGGACAAAAGGTCATATCACATATTGCCATGCTGCACACACACAGTCAAAATGACTGGTCAGATTGAATATCTACTGAGTATGGAGACTAGATATATTGAACTCCTACAGCAGACTCGTGTCACCTGCTCATTGTGATGGTCTTTGCGCCCGTGGATAGTACACGTTGTCGGGGACCCCTTGCTTCCCACCGAATACGATCAATATCATTTGATCATGATGGTATTCTACTCCCCGATCGCTCCCTGGGGTTACAAGACACAGGAAATCGTGATTCTGCCCAAAAGTGGCATACTCTGACACGGGTCACTTGCTGCCCTGTGTACCTGCTGTGAAGGTGGGGTCGCCGGCAAGAGTCGTGGCCCCCCAACGTATATCATTGACTCGCATCTGCCTCTTGCTGTCCGAGGTATAGTACACACTTCACTCGGGTTCACTTTCCCGGTTGCGTCACCCGACAGTTCATCTTTCGAATAAGGCAGGGAAGGCGCAAAAATGGCAGCAGCTGGACTCCGGACCGGCGAACTGCACCTTAAACCATCAAATCAAGAGGAGCCAGCGAATCGAATGACCCGGGATATCACAGGTCCCTGCTTGGTTACTTACCGACCTTGGGATAAGGTGCAGCTTGCAGTTCTTGCAGTTCTATAATTGTCTGTGGTTCGCCACTAAAAGATGAACCCATCAGATCTCTCGAGACCCAGCAATTGGGTGTTCAGCGATCACTCGGGACACACGCACACACCCACATCCGCCCTGCTGGATGGAAAGCCCCTCCCCTCTCCCCAAACTATCACTATACACGATGCTAAGCAACTATAGCATTTTCTTACAACTCGCTGTCTCATCCAAGGACAGGGCTGTCTTTCTCTGCTTGTCTATACTCTGCCCCTCAGCCGATCGAGGGCTTGATACAGTCAAGATGTGCTAGCAGAGTCGAGCCCACGACTAGCCTGACCGCTAATGCAGCGTTTCGGGATGCAGATGGAGCTGCTCTAAACACCACCTATCATAAAGGTGGCTGGCATCTGCATCGTCAACTTGATTGGGCGAGGCTGGATTTCAGCTCGCGGGAAATTGTAGTGCTTACCTGGGGTCCTCCACAGATCATAATTATAAGGCTCTGCAGCCCCCTCTGCTAATGGCCTGGGCCGACTCATGACTCCCAAATACCCCAACATATTTTCCATAAGAATATATACCTGACTCCTCCTTTCCATTTCGGTATCAGACTAAATTTATCGCCTTTATACACTCGAACGAATCACCTGACGCCAAGGCGATATGGGCTGGTTCCCGACAACACTTGATTCCGATGCGCAGAGCTGGCGATTCGATATCGTCTCTCTATTGGCCGTGATCGGAGGATCATCCATTGAAAAGCACAAACAAGCCATTACGGCATCTCCTTTTGCCGGTTTCCCACGTATCCTACCAGCTCCCGAATCGCTATTAGATACCGAGCGACCTACTCGACTCCCATCCGTCAAGGAAGTCAAAATCATCGGTGTCTACTCCGGCACGCGCTTCTCTGAACTTAATTTCTTCGCCAACGTCATTCACAAGCTCGAGGAGCTTAAGGAGTACGAGTTTCGCTCCTACGACATCACCTACGGAAAAATCAAGAAGGCAGATCCTGAGAGAGACGGGAAGCCGGACAGCAAAGGGACTGTGACCATCCCGCTGTGGAAGCTTTGTCCGTTGAACCTAGTGACTCTGATCTCGATCTTAATGACCATCGGACTCTTCATCTGGGCCGGCGTAATTCACGACGGCGTGGCTCTTGTCGGCCTGGCGACCATGTCTCTGTCCACCAGTTCTGCCTGTCTTTCTGCACAGTGGTATCCGAGATTAGCAACCAGGCCCACGAAAGTCAAGGTGGATCCCGGGGATATTGTCATGAAGACACGGCATGGAGCGTTCGTTGTGGTCAAGTGTACCGAGGAGATTACAAGAGAACTATATGGTGGAGCAGAGAGCTGCCATTATGTGTTCCAGGGCCGATCCCACCAGGTGCTCCTAGCCTGCAGTACGGTTCTCCTCATGGCGTCGATCATCCTGTTCAGTAACTGCGGGTGGACGATGCAGATCGCCATCGGTGTCGCATATATCATCCTCAACATCCTGTACTGGGCCACAGCGCTGCTGACAGAACCCCAAGACACATGGGATATGAGCCGATTCGACGTGAAGGAAACAAATAGAAAAATAACGGGAAGCTACACTAGCGCCCTGTGGGAGGCTATCCGTGAGACTGGGGAGGTCGACTGGGTTCGGAAGGGTGGGGACTTGGCTCCCGTGACAACGGCCTGGGATAAATGGTTAAAGATGGCCGGCATCGAATGTCAAAACCCAGAATCAACATGGGATCCCGAGCAGGCCAAAGATGAGCTGATGGCGAAAAAAGATGCTACCAGTTCCAACCTTGTGCTGGACCACGCCCAGCCCATACTGTCAGAAAGTCACTACTGACAGGAGGGTCTTGCATGGAACGATCGCGGTGGGTATAGTTGTGAGGTCTATATAACGTTGGGGTATGAGTAGCTGGGCAGAAGATAACGATGTCATGATTGATGGATTAGTTAGCATCTTTTCGGATTTCAAAAGCCGACCTAGAGCGGGGTAAATATTCTAATTGTTGACTGCAATGAACTATATGCATTTTGATTATCGTCATTGAAAGCCCCAGGGTCTTTTGCAGAAAATTAATGAATTAGTCCCATACATGTGGGTATTGAAACTACCAAGGGCACTGTTACAGAGTGTCACCATTGGCAAGGAGTGCATTTATATCGCACACCCAACATAGTCCCCAATGAGTGAGTGAACTAAAAAAAAAGGTACGAATTCTCAATCTGCCCGAAAGGTACGACATAAAGAAAGCGCCAAAAAGCAAAGAACCCCAATAGGACACCATACCTTAAGAAAGAATAGTGCACACATCTCACTATACCATACCTCAAGAATACACATTACGTATCGAGACCAGGTTCACCTACGCACATTAGATTCAGTCGCGTCTTCGATGATCGTCCCTGCCCCAGACCTCGTCTGCAGAGGCTTTCCCCTTGGTTTCGGGCACACGCCAGTAGATAAATCCACCTAGGATACAGGCCATACCGGCGAACACCCAGTAGATTTTGCCACGGCCGCCTAGGGTATCGTTCAGCATGGGAAAAAATTGTGCGACAACGAAGGTTGCAATCCAGTTGGCTGCTAGGGCCCAGCTTTGTGTTGCGCCGACAGCTTCGGGTCCGACGAGCTCCGAGGCTAAGATGAAGGGGACTGGGCCAAGACCGACGGCGAAGCAGGCTACAAAGAGTAGGACTGCGATTGCGGAGAGGACTTTCTGGTTGAAATATATGCCTAGAGCTAGTAGCACGGAGTTAAATCCCATGCCGCTGATGCTGAGAAGGAGACAGGATCGTCGGCCGATTTTGTCTGGGAGCGGGGAGCAGGCGAGGGTGATGATTAGATTGATGGCGGAGATGGCTACTGTTAGGAGGGCTGCGGTGGTGGGAAGGATGCTCTGTAACAGAGAAACGCTGTACATAATGATACTGTTGATACCGGTGAACTGTTGTGCCACCATAACCCCGACAACGGCGATGATGGCTGGACGGTAGGAGGGGTCCGTGGCGGCACGTAGGATCGTGACGGGGGGCTGTTTGGGTGGTATGTTGCCTGACGGTGGCGTGAGCAGGGATTGCTCTTCTCCGGAACCATCTGAGGGGCCTGCAGAAGCTGGCCATCCTTCAATTTCCTCTTCAATGTCGGCGTCTTTTCCGCGCACCCGTTGTAGAACCTCTCTGGCCAGGCTCCCTTTTTGATGCTCGGCGAGCCAGGTGGGGCTTTCTGGGACTAGGGTGAGACCAAGGAGCTGTAAAACTCCAATGAAACCGGCAACGGCGAGAATAATCCGCCACATACTGTCCTTGCTCAGGAAGTACCCCAGAGACTGGGTCAATAGGATCCCAACATTGGTCATCACCTGCGTGAAGGCACCGAAGAAACCTCTGGCGCTGGGCGGTGCGATTTCGGAAATGTAGATTGGACCAACGACAATCGCAGCACCCGCACCAATGCCAGCTAGCAGCCGACCCAGACTCAGGAGAGGTATGTTGGATGCGCATGTCTCAGCCACAGGCCCGAGGATGAAAAAGACGGTTGTCGCTCGTAAAGCGAACAGGCGGCCATGCTTGGTGGCAACTGGTCCTGCCAGCAGGGCTCCCAACAGGCCACCGAGAGTGTATATTGAAGACACCAGACCAAACTGTGATGCGTTCATTGGGATGCATTGTGGTAGAGAGGGTGCCTTGGTGGAGGAATGGATGCTCCTCCGTTCGCAGGTAATCACAGCCTGGGGTGCATTGAGTTCGGCCTGTCAAAGGTCAGAGTCAGTACGTGCGGGATTTTTAAGGTTACAGCAGTGAAAGGCTAATGCCTACCAGATGATAACCGAATTGGAGTGGTCCTAAAGTTGTGATAAACACGAGATAGATCAAGTATGGCGTGACCCTGGACCGGATCGGCTCAGTGGAGGCCATGGCGCGGTCAAGATGTCGTGTTCTATGAGGGAAGCCTCAAGCCAGCGGAGCTCTCGATCGGTGGACTGGGTTAGATCTGCTGCCACCCGGGCATTGCAACCGTCTGGAGGGGATTGAGCCAGCCACAGGGTAGCGTCCTGATGACGTTGCGGGATGGGCGTTTATATCGGGACAAGGAAACTCCGCGTTATCGGGGAATCAGGGGAGGGGGCTGATAAGAGCTGTCGGGGATGGACAATAGGGGAAGCAGTGTTAAGGTCGTATTGGGGAACAGGGGCAAGTTGAGGGCAAAAGTACACGTTTAAACATTCGATGCGTCAATTGTGCAACCCTGAAGAACAGAATCCCGACATTGGAGGGAGAAGTAGTAGTACTACTCCGCACACAGGATGTATGTACTCCATAGAAGGTATTGTGAAGCCGCGGTTGGGCGAGACCGGCAGCTGAGTCAGCCACCCCCGATGCAGCCTCACTTTGCCTCTCCGACTCTCCATCTGTTGCTCTTTTCCTCCGCCGCGTCCCATCGGCGCTTGTTTGTCCGTCGCGATCACTGGCCCTCCTCCTGGCTCCTGCAGGCTGCACTTTCTATGCTCTCCCCATAGTGGTGGAGATCAGAGTCTCCGCGCATGGTTCACGTCACCATCGCAGCTTTGCAGTTTCCACGGACCCGATCCTCGCCGCCCTCTCGCCCCAGATCGATAGCCTAAAGTACAGGACCACTCCACCTCGTCCATGAGTCTGACCAACCCGCCTTCCTCTTCCGGCCCGTTAAGTGCGACTTCCAGGCCAGCTGCGGCCACCGTCAGCCAAAGTCTGTCTCTGAAGAAGAGCCTGCAGGCTGCTGTTGATGGTAATACCGGTTACTGTTACTCTTGACTCTTAACTCTACTGCCTACGAGCACCCTCTCGAGCCCGTGTTGCCACTTCGCTGCTCTCTTTAACCTGACCCGTCACCATGTACTTTGGTTGAACCTTGCTGCTGTCAGATCTTTCCTAAATATACCATTAAATGCCCTCGAACAGTCTCTATCTCTCCTTCTCTCTGCTCCTCTCTCTCTAGGGCGTCTGAACGGCTGTTCTGCCTGTCCTTTCTCATGATGTTTGGGAAGAGTTTCCCGTTCTATAATTCTCTCGGCGGGTTTTATCCACGTGGTAATGGCTTTCCCTCTCCAGACACCTGCCGCTTTCGGCTCATCATAGAGGCTTCACTGCCTCGTCTCCTTTTTTTTCTTCTTCTATCATGATTATTTTCAGAACTTTTTTTGGCTCCCGTCGTCTTGCCCCCTACCCCTTTCTGGTTTCTCGGGCTTGCTTCCTCGATCCTTGCTCGTGGAATTTGATTGGTCGTTGAATTCTTACGTTAGTTGTGAACAAGTGCATGGTCTCTATGCTGACACACCTTCCTATATCAAGAGAGTCTAGATACGAGAAAGCCTCCTGGTACTGGTTACACCAGCAAAGTACGTGTGCGCGATAGGTACCACATCGTGGGATTTATCAGCAGCGGGACCTATGGCCGTGTCTATAAGGCCCTGGGCAAAAATGGCCAGAAAGGGGAATTCGCAATCAAAAAGTAAGCATCACCCCATTGACGCATTGACCTCGGATGACTCACGTGTTGTAGGTTCAAGCCGGATAAAGAAGGCGAAATAGTCCAGTATACCGGTCTCTCACAATCGGCCATCCGGGAAATGGCCTTGTGCTCAGAACTCGACCATCCCAATGTAGTGCAGTTGGCTGAGATCATCCTAGAGGACAAATGTATCTTCATGGTCTTTGAGTACACTGAGCATGACCTTTTGCAAATCATTCACCATCACACCCAACCGCAGAGACATGCTATTCCCGCGCTGATGGTCAGGTCGATCTTATTCCAGCTGCTTAACGGCTTGCTCTACCTGCATACCAACTGGGTATTGCATCGGGACCTTAAACCAGCTAATATCTTGGTAACCTCAAGCGGCGCTATTCGCATCGGCGATTTGGGACTTGCCCGTCTGTTCTACAAACCTCTCAACTCTCTTTTCTCCGGAGACAAGGTCGTCGTCACCATCTGGTACCGTGCACCTGAGCTTTTGATGGGTAGCCGACACTACACACCGGCTGTTGACTTGTGGGCTGTCGGATGCATTTTCGCCGAGCTACTTTCTCTGCGGCCCATTTTCAAGGGCGAGGAGGCCAAGATGGACAGCAAGAAGACAGTGCCATTTCAGCGCAATCAAATGGTTAAGATCATCGACATCATGGGACTGCCAACCAAGGAGATCTGGCCAGGCCTAGTGTCCATGCCCGAATATTCCCAGCTCCAGTCATTGGCAATGTCACGCGCTCCCGGGCACTTTAACAGATCGTCAAATCTGGAAGTCTGGTATCAGAACTGTCTGAAGAGCAACGGATACTCCGCCAACTCGAGTGCCGGCACACCGGGTGCAGATGGCTTCGATCTGCTGTCACGCCTGCTTGAGTACGATCCTACCAAGAGAATAACCGCCCAAGAAGCCCTCGAGCATCCATACTTCAAGAACGGGGGCCCCATTTCGGCCAATTGCTTCGAGGGATTCGAGGGTAAATATCCCCATCGCCGTGTGACACAGGATGACAACGATATCCGTTCCGGTAGCTTACCTGGCACGAAGCGGAGTGGGCTGCCAGATGATAGTCTGTTGGGAAGGGCAACTAAGCGTCTGAAAGAGTGATAAGAGTTGCTATTGGGTATCTATTTGTAAGGCGTTTTGACCTGGTCAGTTCATGTATGGGGCCTCGGATGTGCATTTGGTACCGGCGTTTTCATTTTTTTTTTTTGGGTTCTCTCATTTCGTGCACATGACTAGAGATCTATGCATCTGTCGAGTTCGCAAGCATGCAGTTAATGGCATACACTAGAATTACATTTGGGACACGGCATCTAATCATTTTGATCCTCATACTATCCCCTGGGTCCGCCAAATAATCGTGAGTAAATAGCAAATGACACATCGACGCCCTTCCTGAACCATGTCCATGAACCCATCCCAGAAGTCACCTATTACTCTGTCATTATTCATCCAGTATGTCCAACCAAATCCACCCAGATCCGTCATAGATTGCGGAAGAAAAGCTCAATATCCTAGATGAACACCGCCAAGTCAGCAATTATAACCGAGAAAGAAAATGACCAGCAGTCAAAACATGTGATACATACCGCTCTGTTCCCTGCGATTGCCATCCCCATCACCCTCGTCATCTCCATCCCTCTTTCCAGAGACAGCAGAAGCTGCATCCCGAATAGACTGATCATCCCCCCGCAACTTCTCAAAGTATGCCTTAATATCTTCCGCGCTAACGGCCTTGCCAGTCTCCGCGAATGGTGTCAGGAATTCCTTCACTTTGTCGCGTAGATGGTTATACACCATTGCGCCTTCAATAGCGCGGACGCGATCGATGTTGCTGAGGGCTGCTTCGCCGCGATCCAGGAGACTGCCGGTGCCGGTGCTGCCTCCGCCGTTGGGGCCATCGCCGTCTTCCGACATGGGGGGTTCGTAGGTTTCTTCGTCTTCGCGGAGTTGTGGGTGCGCGGCAAGATTGGGGTAGCAGTCGCGGCAGCGGCAGAAGCGGTCGCGAAAGTCGTCTTTCATGAAAAGAGAGAAGGCGGAAGTGGGGGTGGTTTGGGGGAGGAGGGCGTGTTTGGGTTTGTTGGTGTTTTCGGTATCTTGGGTGGTGGGATTGGGTTCAGGAGGGTTGCTGATGTCGCTTTTGTTCTCGGGTTCGTTATCGACGTCTTTCTGTCGCTTTGATGCTGGTTCACCTTCGTCCTCAATATTTTCGGCTGGTCGTTTCTTCGGGTTATTGGGTTGCTCTTCTGTGGTCTGGCCTGGTTGTTCTGGTTCTGGGGCAGGTTTATGCTCTTCAGGTTTCGCAAGTCCGCCTTCTTTGTATACAGGAGGCAGAAACCCGGTTGTCCCTGCATAGCGCTTTACCCAGGGATTCGATTCAACGCACTTGTAGCAGAGGAATATTTCAAAGTCTTCTTCTGCAGGGAACCCGGGCGGAAGAGGTGTCTCTTCTTCCTCGTCATCGTCATCATCTTCTGCTGCTGGCTTTTCTCCTTCAAGAACTCCATTCTTCTTCACACCCTTGTACCAGTCGCGTGGCAGTCCAATCAAACATTCCGGATGCCACCAGTCTTCACCGCAACCGCCCGTCTCTACGGTCCCTAGACCTAGACACTGGAACATTGTACCGCGCTCTTTGTCTGAATCGTAATCTTCGCCGCAGCCGCAGAACTTGTTCTGGAAGTTGTGGTTGTACTTGTTGCCTGGGTGTGGCTCTTCCGAGTGCACGCCTTTCGCGCCGGTCTTCGGGTCGTTTCGTAAACTGCATGGGGAAGAGGTAGGCAAACGGGTCGTTCCACAGTCACAGACAAAGTTTCGCTTGTTAAATAGTTCGACGAGTGTGTGTTCGCCATGGCACGAGATAGAGCAGGCGTAGCATACGGCTGCGGGGGTGTAAGATCCATCAGAGGTGGTCGGGGGAGGGTTGCAGGTGAGGCAGGCGAAAAGAGATTGGCGAAGGGGACCTAGATCCCTTGTGCATGTGTCAAATGACTGATGTGAATGTTAGTAGGTCATTCGCCCGTCTCATGTCAGAACGGAGGATGGGATGAGCTCACATATGGGAGCACTTCACGCGCATCAGCTTCGAGTCGGATTTGGGATTCGATGAACCTGTGAGAGACTGTTAATTCTCCTGGAGTAAGAGCGTGCAATGCGGATGCACTGTATGCCCATTGTAGATGGATCAGCACTCACTCCCTCGCGGTTTGCGAGTTCTGAGAGCTGAAGCTCTCGCGGCGTTCCCCGGCACTTGGTGCCTTCATCGCGTGTCTGGCGATGGGGGATGGATCGCCCGACTCGGAGTTCGCCATGCCTGTGGGAGATTTATCACCGCAAATAAACGTGATTCCAGATGAATTTATGCTCGTTTGGAACAAAAGATTGAGGCGATTGACGGTTGATGGGTCATGGCTGCGCATGGGCTGAGCGCAGGCAACGCGCGCGCGAGACTACATGTTTGCTTGGTTTGCATTGGTTTGGTTGGTAACGTAGTCTACCCATGTACCACAACTGGAAATTCAGTCGAAGAACTGCAGAAAATTGATGGGAAAATACAAGCGATCGGCTAGTTGTAGGCGAGCTTCAAGTGTATGTATGTACGTTGATCTTAAAACACTTTTCTCATGGAGCCTGAGTTTGCCATGGCGGCTCTAATGGAGCTCATGGCAGCTTTTCAAACAACCCCGCGGTATAACAACCAGGCGGTGCAAGTCCCAGGGGGAAAGAGTCTAGCTCCAGAGCAACAAACCTCCTATGACGTATCCAGGACTCCAAAATGGACCTCATCCACCGTCTTTGACTGAGCTTGGGGGGCTGAGGAGCGGACCCGGTTTCCGAATTGGGGTTTAATTGAAAACGGACGCGTCGGAGTCGCGGTGCGACGCGTTCGGGGCCGCGCAGCAACGGCGCCAAGTCCAGGATCTTTCCTCCCTTTGCTTTGCCCAACGGAAAGAAAAAAGACGCCCGCACTGCACCCTCTGTGCGTTCTTCCAGTCTGCCCCTTCAACTTCCCCCACTTGCCAGACTAAACACCAGACACAATGAGGTATGCATCCGGGTCCTTGTCAATGCTGGCTGCAGCATCGCCAACCGGCCTTGATACTAATATAATGATGCTTCAACAGTTCACCACTCCGTCCCAGCAATTCTGCTGCAAACCGCGGCCTAGGGAACCTGGGTCGTCGTAAGAGATCCAGAGAGCCCGATGATGAGACCTCATCAGTCGTTCCCCCCTCAAGTCGTAAGTCATGGTCGCCTTCAGACATCATGGGTCGCCAGCTCCTGATCCTGACCCTGCGATAGCTCCCCCTTCCTCCCCTCCCATGCTTCCTTTCGACGACGACGACAACGAGCGGGATGAAGAAGCAGAGCTCCTCGGCGACATCGATGACATTGACGAGATGGCTGAGGATGAGGACGGAATTGATCTGTTCGGCGACAACTTCGAGAAAGATTACCGGAGCACAGCAGACGACCAGTACAGAGGAGAATACATCGATGATGACGGCGACCACGAAGAACTCGACATGGCTACCCGACGCCAACTCGAAGCCCGCATGAATAAGAGAGACCGAGAACTCGAACGTCGTCGTCGCATGCCAGCAGCTTTCTTGCAAGACGATGAAGATGGCGACATAGATCTTACTCGTCAACCCCGTCGCCGGAGACACCATTACGATGAAGACCGGGAAGATGTCGAGATGGGCGACGATGCCTTGGAAGAGCTCTCCCTGGAGGAGTTGACTGATGTCAAGGCAGCCAATCTCACTGACTGGGTTCTGCAGCCTCAAGTCCTTCGCTCCATCTACCGAGAGTTCAAGTCCTTCTTGACAGAGTACACTGACCCCGCCGGTGCCTCCGTCTACGGAAACAAGATCAAGACCCTTGGTGAGGTTAACTCAGCATCCCTTGAAGTCTCATACGCCCATTTGCTTGAAACCAAAGCGGCACTTGCATACTTCCTTGCCAATGAGCCCACGGAGGTCCTGAAAGTCTTCGACCAGGTCGCCCTTGATGTTACTCTATTCCACTACCCTCAATACCACGACATTCACAACGAAATCCATGTCCGCATTACCGATCTTCCCGTCTCTTACACCCTCCGTCAACTGCGCCAGTCCCATCTCAACTGTCTCATCCGCGTCAGCGGTGTCGTTACTCGCCGTACTGGCGTCTTCCCGCAACTGAAGTATGTCATGTTCATTTGCAGAAAGTGTAACATCACGCTTGGCCCCTTCCAGCAGGAAGCCAGTGCGGAAGTCAAGATCTCTTACTGTCAGAACTGCCAGTCCAAGGGGCCGTTCACCGTGAACTCTGAGAAGACCGTTTACCGGAACTACCAGAAATTGACCCTGCAGGAATCTCCCGGCTCCGTGCCCGCCGGTCGACTCCCCCGCCAGCGGGAGGTCGTCCTCCTTGCCGACCTTATCGACTCGGCCAAGCCTGGTGACGAGATCGAGGTCACTGGTATCTACCGCAACAGCTACGACGCTCAGCTCAACAACAAGAACGGCTTCCCCGTCTTCGCCACGATCATCGAGGCCAACCATGTAGTCAAGTCCCATGACCAGCTGGCTGGTTTCCACTTGACGGAAGAAGATGAACGTGAAATCCGTGCCCTGTCCAGGGACCCTGAGATCGTTGACAAGATTGTTCGCTCCATCGCCCCCAGTATCTACGGCCATCTGGACGTCAAGACCGCCATCGCTCTCTCCCTATTCGGTGGTGTCAGCAAAGAAGCCCAAGGCAAGATGTCCATTCGTGGAGACATCAACGTCCTCCTGCTGGGTGATCCAGGTACGGCCAAGTCTCAGTTCCTCAAGTACACCGAAAAGACCGCCCACAGAGCGGTCTTCGCAACCGGTCAAGGTGCCAGTGCCGTCGGTTTGACGGCCAGTGTCCGTCGCGATCCTCTTACCAGTGAATGGACCCTCGAAGGAGGAGCCCTCGTGCTAGCAGACCGCGGTACCTGTCTGATCGATGAGTTCGATAAGATGAACGACCAGGATCGTACCTCCATCCACGAAGCCATGGAACAGCAAACCATCTCTATCTCCAAGGCCGGTATCGTGACCACTCTGCAGGCTCGCTGTGCTGTCGTTGCCGCCGCCAACCCCATCGGTGGCCGGTATAACAGCAGCGCACCCTTCTCCGAGAACGTCCAGCTCACCGAACCTATCCTCTCCCGTTTCGACATCCTCTGTGTCGTTCGCGACCTCGTCGACCCAAGCGAGGACGAACGTCTCGCCAACTTCGTCATCGAATCTCACCACCGCGCCAACCCCGCCCGTCCCCTCCGTGACCAAGACGGCAACCTAATCAACACTGACGGCCAGGCCATCGATGAAGAAGGCTACCGCATCGACAAGAAGACCAAGCACCGCCTTCCCTTGACCGACGAGGAGCTCGCCACCCGGGATGCCGAAAAGCACAGACGCGAAGAAGAAAAGGAAGGAGAGATTCCCCAGGAACTTCTCCGCAAATACATCCTCTATGCCCGAGAGCGCTGCCACCCGAAGCTCTACCAGATCGACCAGGACAAGGTCGCCCGTCTGTTCGCCGACATGAGACGCGAATCTCTAGCCACGGGTGCTTACCCTATCACCGTATGCCTCCCTCTCTCTTTCCTCCCCACCTCCCATGCATAATGACTAACGAGACCCCCTGCACAGGTCCGTCACCTCGAAGCCATTATGCGTATCGCCGAATCCTTCTGCAAGATGCGTCTTTCGGAATACTGCTCCGCACAGGACATCGACCGCGCCATCGCCGTCACTGTCGACTCCTTCATCGGCAGCCAGAAGGTCAGCTGCAAGAAGGCTCTGTCTAGGGCATTTGCCAAGTATGTTCCCCTCCCACCCCAATATCCCTCTCCACACTTCTTCACAGACAAAACAAATCCTAACAAAACCCCAATTTAGATACACACTCTCCCGCCCCAAACCCCAATCTAAGCGGAAAGCCGGTATCCCCGCCCCCGACCCTTTCAAGCCACGGATGCAATCATCTACCCGGGCGCGGTAGACCAATCACTACCTTTTAAATGCTGAATGAATGACTCTTCCTGTTTCGGTTTTCCAAGGGCTTAGGGAAAGGTGCGGACTATTTAGGGGCTTTTATCATGAACATCACTGATGGATTGAGTGATTGATTATGTTTGTATGTATGGGAGTCTCGGGGTTGGGTTTCATATTTTCTTTTACTATTTTTCATACGGACCTATATGATGATGGCATTGAGTTTTCTTTTGGTTCTGACACGGATGGGGTCGAATGTGATTTCTTTACATTTAGCTGGTTTAGCTCGGATATACCTATTTATGGATCTTGTTAATCTCGGAGTAATTGTAAGGTAGCTGTTTATTAAGGGCTGCTGAGAGTTGGTAGCAACGTTCAATGCACCGATACACGTGTGCGACTATAGAATTGATACAAGCGTAAGGTAAGTTATGTATTCAATTGAAAGACATCGCCTTCAAGGGACCTAACAAACAAGAGAAGCACGAAACAGTAAAGCCCAGCCGGTCCAACTCAGGTCCGATTCCCAACGCCTGTCCTTTTGCGTCCCATACACCGTAGTTACCAGTAAAAACACCACCCACCATCGCCTCGCCAAAGTATTGCACTTAGGTCGGGTACGTCGCATCGAGCGGATCAAACAGTCGCTCTCTAGGCCTTGAGGTATGCGTCGGAAACCCCAAGATAACGCTGCAGATGATATCATATGCCGTTTACGTCAGCCTGTCTGAGTCACAATGCTTTGTCTCATCAAATGCCTCATTCTGCCTATTTCCCGCACGATATAGGCTTCAGGGTATTCGAGGTGGATGCTTCCAGAGCGTCCCCATCGATGGTTTGCCCTCATAAATCTGCACCAGACACAAAGCAACGTAATTATGAATATGGCCCTTTAACCAGAGATAGCAGAGACGCTCAGTCGTTGCTGATACGCCTCTCAGGCCGGGGCTTTCTCAGACTCTTCATGCGATTGATGAACCCGCCGCCGCCGCCACCGTTACTCTTGCCCTCCTCAAATCCGGTGTAGGATCGTTCATTGGTGAACCTGCGCTCCAATCCGGTGGGCTGCTTGGGACTGCTGGATGAACGAGCCCGCGCGCCGCTGGTGCCGCGGGCTTCTTCGGACATGTTGATTTGGGCGCCCTTCTTTTCCCATGCGTCATCATAATCCTGGAAGAAAGGGTTCTTCTCATTGGCACGGATAGTTCCAATGTGGCCAGAGCCAGTGGGTACAGCTGGGGTGTAGGAGCCCTCTGGAGATACCACCCGGCCACTCGAGGGCTTGTTCATTCCTCGAAGTCGTTGGGCCAAACTCTTCTTGCGCTGCAAGCCACCCCCGCTCGGTCCGCCTCCACCGTTCAAACCATCATGTCCACTTCCACGGCGCTGAATGTCCGCCCGGCTTGCGGGGGCACCTTCCAGGAAGGTGCTGGTTCCCAGACCCATGCTCTCCGCTCCATGGATTGGCTCAATGCGGGTGGTTGGATCGAAGTTCGGGTTTTCGCTTCTACGAGGATCCGTTGCAGCGCTTGCGGCAAAGTCGTTATAGCCTTGTTCCGTGCGCCCGTGGAACAAATTGAGATCAATGTTGGAATTGTTGGGTCCTGATCCCCCAAGGGCCATGTTGGCCGAGTCCTTGGGGAATGCCTGCATCGGTGCAGTGCGCACGCCCTTGCGGTTACGGTTAGGATTGCAGGCATCGAAAGGCCCATCGTGATGGAACACTAGACAAGGACGTTAACATTAATAATTGCCAGTGAAGGGCAGCGACGGGCTCCGACTCACTTCCTGTGCCATAGATACTGGTCACATCCAGCTTGTCGATAATATCCATGTGATAGTTGGACTTCTTCGATCTGTGTTTTCCATCCTTTGCATCCTTGACATCCTTGACATCCTTTCCATCCTTATGGCGAGCCTCCCGCTCCCGCTCCCGGCGTCGTCGCTCGCGACGCCGTCTCTCCTCCTCGGTGTCCACGGGCTTGGGAGTCCGTTCCATGATCGATGACTCCGAATTGCGACGAGGTCTCCGGTCTCTCTGACCAGACCTAGCGCCACTGCTTGTCTTCGGGGGATCAGCAAAGATGTCTAGCGAATCGTTTTCGCGGCGCTCTGTGCGTTCCCTCGGCGGAGGCACACGGTTGGTGGAATACCCATTCTGTGCAGGCTTCTCCGGGCGGGGCGGGGCAGGTCTGTAACCCGTGTTCTGGGGAGCGGGGTTTATCGAGAGGTTTTCCTGTCACGCAACTCCAGTCAGTTCGCCTGAGCGGAAGTAGCAAATCCTTGCATATGGACCTACAAAGAGCTCGCGGGTGTTCGACGACATGTCTTGGGACGCCATGGTTGCCCCTACGACCGGGGCTGACTGCGGTGAAAACGAGTCCTCTTCAAAGGGGTTCGTTGAGGTTCGCCGTTCGGATTGACCGCTGGCCGATGCGAATGAGCTGGCAGACGGCGATAGGGCACGGTTCCTGAAGGGGTTGTTCGAGCCCAAATTGACGGGTGCTGGGCCAAAAGCTTGCTGAACAGGAGAGCCTGTGATGAAGGACAAGATAAAGTTAGATTTGAAAGGCACGAAATGAAACTGGGGATGCACGGTCTGAAATAGAGACGGTTCAGGACAGATAACACTCTGACCAAGAGGAAGCCCCGCTAGAGGTGAAACAGCAGGGAGATAACGAGAGAATCCTGGAACGAGGGCCAGGGGACAAAACCGGAATCAGCAAGATGACGCACCTGAGGGGCCCAGCGTGACGCCGGGTGGGTAGGAGTAGGTCGAGGGCTGCTGAGAGGCATACATGGTGTGTTGCGAGTCCACGCAATGCGATGTCGAAAGAAGGCAGTTCAGAGGAGATGATTGGGGAATGAGGAAAGCGACATAAAAAGACAGGAGTGAGTGAGTGGATGATCAGGAGGCCGAGACTGCGAAGGCAGACGCCAGACTAGAGAGAGCTTAGGCGATGCTGAAACGGCGATGCCGCGGCTGTCGGTCAGGGGGGGAGAAATAATTGGGTAGCGGCAGGTCGACCGGATGGGCCTGTCTCTTTTTAAAATTGCTTAATTCCACCAGGAGGCGAGGCCGTTTAATTTTCCGGCCGAGATCTGGATAGTTTAGATAATGGGGGGGTTGATGATAAAGAAGGGGGGGTGTGTGGTACAAGAAGGAGAGAAAAGGGGAAGAAAACGAGAAAGAGAGAAAGAGAGGGAAGGAAAAGAAGGAGAGGGAGAGAGAAGGAGAGCGAGCGAATAGATGGGAAGCTGAGGCGGGTGAGGCACGCACGGGAAAGTGAGCAAGCGTGAGAGAGCGCAAGAGAGCGAGAGAGAGAGGAAGAGTGGGAGAGGGCGAGAGAGCGTGGAAGAAGCACGGAGAGAGAGGGGGGGGAGGGGGCAGTGGTTCTGACGGGTGCCAACCTATGAGGAGAAAGCGCCCCTTGGGGAAGACGGAACAGCGGACGGAGTAAGTAGTATTCGATCGACGACCACACGGCAAAAGGAGCAGGACAGGAAAGGGACCCAAAGGATTGCTGGCCGGTGGAGTGGTTACTTCGGGTTTAATATTAATCTTCGATCGCTGGGGGGGGAGGTTATTGTTTCCTAGTGGCATTGGCAACAGAGAGTCATGGCCTGGATGGCAATTGGCAATATTTGGAAGGTGGAAAAGGAAAGAAAAGGAGTAATTATAATTATAATCTTCGTATTACTAACTTCATAATCATCATTATCATCATCATCATAATAATAATACCACCAACCCGGTGCCTCCAATCTCATCCCCAGAACAACGGCAAAGCCAAAAGTTAAACCGTTTCCAGGGATCAGCCACCACGTCCACGCAATGACAGGCGACCGACGTCTCAGGGGTTGGACCGTTCCTGTGCCTGGGGCTTGATTGCTTGATTGCTTGATTGCTATCTACGGAGTACTTGTACTGGATATAAGAACTGACATCCACCCTTCCCTCTCAAACATCCAGGACGGTCTCCGATCATATGCAGCAATGCAATCTACAGGGACCCCCGGCAGCCGGACAAAAGCTGGGGTTCATGCGTCTACTGACTAGTAGGAATTCATCCGCAGGAAAAATCACACTGCGAGCGATCTGCCCCCCCGACTAACTGCTAGTAGTAGGAACGAGGTCCTGGTACGGCTGCCTGAGAGTTCGACAGTGACAAACCGTTCCCAGCTCCACCGTTCTCTCTTTCTCTCTCGTTTTCTTCATTTGATCCCTGCCACCCCCAGAATAGAAACATCGTCACCATCATCATCATCATCTTCTTCTTCTTCTTCTTCTTCTTCAATCGCCACTACTATCAGGCTGAATCATTTTATTTTGGAGATGTTATCACTTATCCCGGATGAGGAACAGCCTCTCAAAATACTCGGGTTCTTGCGTCAGCTCCTCCCTCAGGAATGCACGCCCACCTGCAGAATCGCCCGCCCATTGTTGTGCCCCGATCGACAGGCGGGCCACCACGATGAGGATGATCCCCCTGGTCATGCTCTTCCATCCTCCGGATATCCCACCTGCGTCTGATTAATCCGCCTCCGGCAGGCCTGCGTCACCTGCGTGACCTACCTTGCCAACCCCGTTCCTTCCCTCCTTCCTTACATACTACTTCGTCCACCTCGTACGTGAGGTGGCTGCGTACATGCGTATATACTTAGATCCGGAGCTCGCGCACTTTCCCCTCCTTCTCTGCAGAACAATTTACCGGTCCGATAGCATCCGGAATGTTCCAGCTGTCCTGCCTTTCTTGGCCGGTCAGGACGATGCAGCCACCCATTCGCTGAGTTTGACTCGATCAACCGACGGAGCACGACAGGTGGGTGTCGCCACGGTACCGATGGGTCTCGCTCGTGGTCTCTGTTGGCCCGCCCACCACCACAACCATCCCAGTACATACATAGTAGGATTATTTTTAAAATCTTTCCCTTTTCTTTTTTCCGGCCACAGGAAAATATTGGAATACATCCGGACTCCGTCGGCATGATTGTCCAAGCATCCTCGTTATTGCACGGATTTCCGACCTGCGGGATAAATCATACTGCTTTTCCCAGGCCAGGCTCCGACACTCCGTGCCGTACGGCTCCGGTTTCTGTAGAAATCGTGACTGTCAAAGTCGATGCCAGTACAACCTTACATGTCCTGGATACCAGTGTTGTACGGTTGTACCGCTCCGTTTCAGGTGGTAATCAAGCCAGACAAAGTACCCTGCTCGGGTGGATTCTGATTCCAACGTATGGCCTCGACCCGGGGGCCTTGGGCTGTTTTGGAATGCATTCCACGTCCTTTGGCTCTCGGTCCTGGCTGCTGCTTGATCTCGAACTTATCGCCCTTGTCCGATCAGCCGATCTAGGCTTATCGCGCGATCGAATGCCAACGTCATCGATGCTCTTGTGTGTCACAAAAGTACGGCAATCTGCATAAACAACAGGGCTAGAGAACCGCTCTGGCCAAGCCAAAGAATGCTTAAGATGTCATCGGATTGTAAAGGTGGGCAGGAATGGGACACCGCCGCGTCCGTCTCTATCTTAAGGGCTGTTCCTATCAACACAGCCGTAGCAGGCAAGTATTGATTAGAAAAATTTTCGTAGGGCAGACTGGCGATTAATTGGCGATCTCATTGCCCGCGTAGGTTCCATATGGATAGTCCGATGGCGCTAGTCCATTGGAACGGCTGTTTGAGGGTGACTAATTGGACATGCAATAATTCGATATCATTGGCCGTTTGACAGGTGCTTAGTTGTCATTGCTTTGATGCAGACCACTGAAGTGACTGAACTCATATCCATGGATTATGGGGGCCTGGGTAGAGATAAATGGGAATATTTCCATTGCTAGCTTCTCCGGTCTGGCTGCTCCGCCCCTCCATATTATCGTTCTCCGTTATTGATAAGTGATTCGGATGTCTAGAGTGTGATTTCTTCAAGTTGAGTAGTACTAGTATATATACTTTTGAAGCAAACAGGTGCCCGACGTGTAACTTGGCTTTTTCTTAGCGAAGTGAATCCTCAAAAAAGCTAACTATTGTAGGAAGAGCATGACAGCGTAAGTAGATAGATGCCATGCACGAAAGACATCCCAGCTCGATCGAACTAGCCACTGGCCAATAATGCTGGGTGGGGAGACACTAGTGGGTATAGAAGTCATGATAATAATGGAGTTACCGACTAGGCGGGAGGTGCATCGTGAGCTGGTCTTGGCAACCTCTGGTAGGTCGCGCCGCCTGTCTTGATTTCTCCGACTCACGGCAACATAAACCTCTCCAACTATCCGTTGCTTCTACTGCTCCGTCACCCCTCTCGGGCAAGCCCCGTTCTTCCAATAGTCTCTTCTTCACGTCATGGAACCGCAGCCCCCCTCCGATCAACCACAGCAGCCCCCGCCTCCGACTCTAACGAACCCGCGCTTTACCCTCGAGCTAGAGTTCGTCTCCTCGCTCGCCAATCCCTACTACCTGTCCCACCTCGCCGTGACATACCCGAATCTCTTGGGGATAAACAAATCCGGCGATGACAGCGACATAAACAACGAGTCCCCGGACCCTGACGCCCAGACATTTGCAGCATATCTTGCCTACCTCTACTCGTATTGGAAGACGCCCGAATATGCTCAGTTCTTGACTCATCCCGGTGCTACCTTGCGTGCGCTACGACTGCTCCAGGAGGAGACCTTCCGTCGCGACATCATTCGCCCAGATGTCATTGAGATGTTAGCGGGAACTGGCATCGCCGGCGATCAAGGCGATCAAGGCGAAACATCTGCGGAGACCGGAGAACAGGAGGGAGAACAAGCCAAGACAAGCTAGGGAGATCTCAGTGATATTGGAAATAGCAGTAGGAGGCATGCTGCGCGTTGACTGGTCGAGGAATATCCAATGCCGGGGCATCCTGTTGGAGCCTCTGCCGCCCACGCACTGGCAGCGGGGAAACAATGGAGATATAAAAGCAACAGACTTGCATTGTGCATGGGCATTGTCTTCTATACTGGGGCATGTCGACTCGCCGCGGTCTATGCAGTTCTCATGCAGCCCAGGTGGCCCACGACCTCCCGAGGGTCATGTGTGACCGAGGTATCCCCTGATCAGCCACGGAACCGGCTAGTCATTGGAGCTCCGACCTCGACCAGCACTCCTGAACGTCCTCGACAAAATGCTTCTGTCTAGCACGCATTGCCGAGCCATCTCGATTGAAAATTGAGGTTGAAGTCCCGAGCGGGCCTGGCTTAAGATTAAGGACGGTGGGAACATGCGCACCAGAGGAAAATCCGGGGTGCGACTGGGCTGGAATATTCGCAACTTCCAAGTGTTTCTTGTGGTAGTAACCCGATATGCACACTGTCCCTGATATTCTGCCTATGACGTTGCCGTGGGTGGTAGATATTAGGTTGCAGGGGAAATCTCTCATAGGGGGCCTACACTACTGTAGATCGAGCAGTCGGGCATCACTAATCCACCAATTCAAGTTTTAATGTCCTACCAAAAGTCCCTGTAGAAAATATAAGTGTAGAGGGCCTTCCATGGGCCGCTGGATGGGACCCGAAGGTCAGCGACCGCCCAGCGGACTGACGCGGCCGGAGCGGCGCCAGGCTGAATTTCCCGACCTGGGCGTGATCTCGCCGCGGCAACCCAACACTAACTTATCGCCATCCGCCAGGGAACCGGAGGGCGACTTTTCGCTTCTGCCTCGCTTGCCAGCCTCCACGCTTCATAGCGTCTTCGTACTGCCCACCACCCCCCTGCCCGGCTGGATGCCAGTATCTCCGATGGATCTACCCCACCCGTGGTGATTACAACCGACCTGGAAGCCTTCTCCTTTCTCCTTAAACCACGTTGACCGTTACCTTACCCGGCCAAGGCTTCAGTGACGTGATACCAACTCCCTCATGCTCCGTCTTGCTGGCAGATCCTTGCCTAGTCATTGAATATCTGCCTTCAGGTGACTGCTCTGACCATCGGACCTGCGCCTCCCCCACTTCTTGTTCGAAACCTGCTTTATACCGCGACCATTGGGTAATCGCCCTGTATCTCCTGTATCTCCTTGCCAATGGAGGGCGTCCGCCAGTCGTGTCGGCCAAAGCATCAGGTCTTGGTCCTGAAATGCTACCCACAATATCAGAAGGGGATTCCCGAAGTCAAACCGAATCCCAGTGAACTTTCCTATTTGCTCTACTATGCGAGCACTCGTCGCAGTAAGCTGACCAAGGTCGGCGCTTTCCTGGAGAAACGGGCCGCCCGGGATGTCTGGCGCCGCAAGATCGGGTATGTTGCAGGGGACCGGAGATATGGGGATATATGCAATTTGTGCAGAGACAACTTGGATGGCTAGCTGACTGGTCCTACAGCAATGTACAGGTGACCCTTCAGATCCTCACTGCGCTGATCGAGAAAGTTCCCCGCGATCTCCCAATCTACGCCCGATCGGTGTTGACCGTGATCGAAACGGTCCTGCGCTCCCGGGATATCACGATTGTCGAGGACTCGATCGCAACGTTCGAGACTTTCTGCCGCCATCAGGATATGGCGGCGCTGTCGGCGGAACAGGACTTTGCGACTCAGTACCGCGAAGTTGTACGGACATATGCGAGCCTTGCTGAGGTCGATCCCATTCAGCTGGACCCTGCTGCCAGTGGCCCATTGGCGATACGGTGGAGGAATGCGGGACTACGTGCGATCAAGGGCGTAGTCAGTTCTGAGGCGGGATTGGCTGCTGATGGCGGAGATTCGCTGAGGATGATATTGCCCGTGATTCTGGAGAACCTGTGCAAAGGGGATGAGGATGTGCTTGCATATCTGGAAAACCAGCTCCTAGAATCGGAAAAGAGCAGTGAAGCAGACCTCGCGCACCGGCGGCGAGTTAGCAACGCGACCGTCCAGACCGTCGACACTGTGAATGGCGACCCGGCATTGGCTTCTCAATCCGCGGCTGATGCGGACAAGAAAGCGGAAATGGATGTGAGGCTTCTCGCACTCCGCTGCCTCGAGCGCATTGTTGTTACCGGAAGCAGCCGCGGCCAGATTCGCGTGACAACCAAAATTGTGTTGGATTTCATCCTTCGCAGGAATCGAGCCACCAATCTAGGCCTGTCCATAAACTCAAGAGATAACTGGGCTACGTCGTTGATCGAACTTGTCGCAAAATGGTGTCCGGTGCAGGTCCGTTTCATCATCTTGGTAGCCGCCATGGAGCTTCTGTTCGATATTACGCCGAGAGAAGAGACCCTGGATGAGCCTTTCACCGTTGTCTACATGATCGACTGGCTGCTGAAATCACCGGTGAATATGATTGGACTAAGTGTCATCGATATTCTTTTGGGTCTCTTGCAGCACATGTCGCTTTTGCTGTCGCCTGCGGGTACGGAGAAGCCAACCGAACCATCCGCCAAGAGAAGGGAACTGCTCGCTCTCTTTCAGAGGTCCATTGGAAACCTTACTACACACATCTATTACGGCGACCAAGTCGTGGACATGATCCGAGTGATTTTGACTCGGATCAAGCCTTCATCTCCCAATGATCAGCCTGGACAAATTCAGGTCGACTCTCCCGGTGCCGCCTCGCAGACCGGTAGTCTTTCTGGGGAATCCAGCGCGGTAGCCTTTTCATCCCCTGGCGGTAGGGTTGCCGCTCTGAGAGCCATCAAGAACATTCTCTTGGTCGCGAATTCTCGCAAACCCGCCGCTGTGGCTGGCGTGGAGTCTCGGAACCACGTGGGAATTCATGTCTGGGAAGGGACTCAGTGGCTGTTACAGGAGCGTCAAGGTGATGTGCGCTACGCATACGCGGATGCGTTACTGTCCTGGTTGAAGCTTGAGACGAACCAGAGCGATTTGATGGTTAAGGACAAGTACGCGAAACCCACCAGCCCGAAGCGGGAGCCAACGGATGCTGGCGAACGGCCTGGAAAGCGATCTGTTTCGACTGGGGTGCAGAGGGAGAAGGCCGCAATCGCTGCGCAGCTCAACTTCCTCCGCATGCTCCACCTGACTCTCTACGACATTGCGCTCGAGAGCCCTACCCGCGTCTCCGAAATCCGGTTCCTCCATTTGATCTTGACGAATCTTGTCGAGAAACTCGGCGTAAACGCCGCTCGGTTCGGGCTTCCCATGGTGCTCAAGCTTCAAGACGATATGAGCACCGCTCAAAGCCTGGCCTCGGGATCTGCCAAGGTGCATATCGGAAGCCTGGTCTATGGGTATCTGTGGGCCTTGTCTGAGCGATTCGAGCTGGAAGCCTCACCGATGGGCCTCGCTATTCAGAATGAAATCTTGAACAGGCGCAAGCTCGGTCTTTGGCTTGACCACATCCGCTTGCCCGCGGCTGATCTCGATCATATCCTACAAGATGGCGAATCTCATGCCATGGCCGATAATGTCAAGGGCGCAGACCAGATGACCGCGTTCGCGGGCGATATTGAGCCCTTTGTCCGGGGTATCGAACATGCATACAATCAAGCCGCGCTCACCTCTGCCCACAGCCCCCCGGGCTCTCCATCACGCAGCTTAACCATGCCCGTTTTGGAACATGGTTCTGTTCCTTCTCAACACAACCATCTTTTGCCACCCCTCATTAGGGAGCAGATGCTCTCGGCATGGTCTCGAGAATCATGCTTGGCTGCTGCGGAGCGGGAGAAGAACGAAGCGTTGTCTCTCTATGGCTCCAGAGTTGGAACAACAGCCATGCGCAGCCATGTTTACCTCAGTGGGGCGGAGAACAGTTCACCTTCGAATAGCTCCCCCACATCCGCACACCAGAGTGCAGCCGGCCTGCACAATGCGCGTCGGATGAGCGTTCCTGAATCCGCCAGGGCACAGGTTCAGGGCTCTTCTAGAGAGTCTCCTGTCCACGTTAATGACCTGCGGCGCGTTCTTTCGATCAACGATCAGGACAAAATGCGACGGCTGAGTCCGCTGCGCGGTCGCCTGGATGCTTCCAACCGCAGCGTTATCTCGTCCAGCAGCGAAAGCATGGTCAGCGGTTATTCCTTGTCTGAGATCGACGGGGATGGAGCGTCGATACGGCCCCAGTCCACCCGAGACGGACATGTAGATGGAGACGGCATGATCACCCCGAGAGGTTCCAGCTTGGCGTACATGGAGAATGGACAGGCCTACTACATGGCTGATGATATTCCCCCCGTGCCTCCGATTCCCGCGTCCTTGACCATCTCCGGGGGTGCTTCGAATGACTCGCAACGCTCCCTGGCTTCTGACCGACCATCCACTGCCCCGGGGCCGCGTCGCCTGCCGGTAGCGAACGGTAAGCCAGGCACGGCTGGCGCACCTCACCACGGCAAGTCTCTCAGCAAGCATAAGAGTCGGTCGAGCACGGGGCTCGCAGCTGCAGCCGCTGACGGTGAATACCCGAGAAGCCATGGATATGACGGCGTGCCTGACATGGGCGACTCGGACAATGCTCAGCGACGAGACGTGCAGAACCTGCTGAACGGGTTCCTGTCGCCGGCGCATGCCGAGTCGCGCAACGGCACCGGCAGGCCCCGTGGTGCCAGTCGACGGGGTGTGACGGGCGGAATCGGGCGTCCACCATATTGACATGTTTATTTCCATCTCTCATTTCGCTCTCTATACCTCACTTTCGTCCTTCTCTCCATACTTTATTTTCATTTTTTATTTCATCTTGTCTTCTTTTCCCGGGTCTTCCAACGGTTCGAGTCATGATTGTCGAGACCCATGATATATCCACCTTCCTTCACTAGTCTGTTTGTATCCTTCCACTCCCTGTGCTATATGCACGACCAATTTCCTTTGTGTCCTTATGCCATGACGGGCCGTCCGTGGGTCGTGGCGATAGAGCTGTACTGTGTACACTGCATGAGGTGTCCTTTCTTGTTGTTTGCGTTGATTTGTTGGATATTATGCTGCTGCAATTACATCATGTTATCGGTTGTACAGGTGGTCTAATCCATCGGTTATGTAGCACATAGTGTATGTTAATACCACTATCACCATTGTCACTACCCCCAGCCAGCACTGGACGTGTCGTAAGACATAAACGAACCGGGTATATCATATAGAAACGCATCACTGGTCTTAGCCCAATCAATCCCAGAAACAATCAATCCCCCCTACTAGTAGTTCCCCTCCTGATTAACTAGAATCCGCGTCCCCACCCCCCACTGATCAAACTCAACCTCCACATCCCCAAACCACTCCTCAAAAATACCCTCCAACGCCTCCTCATCAACATCCATATGCCCCCCCTCCAGCGTCCGAAACACCAACCCCCCCTTCTCATCCAACCCCTTCAACCCCAACCAATCCTCCTTATACACCTCCCTATCCCTCAACTCCACCACTTCGCCGCTCCCATCCACATCCCCAAACCAACTCGACTCCTTCGGATGCACCATCCGATCCTTCTCAAACATATACATCACGAACTTATTCAACCTCCCCAGATTCTCCTTATAGGCATAATTCTTCACCAGCCGCTCATTATTAATATCCGCCAAAAAGTTACTATTCTCCAAATACGCCTCCATCTCCTCCTCACTCGACGCATCCCGGAAATACTGTGCTGGGATGAGTCGGCCCTGTACGAAAGGCGACCATCTCCCTGATCGTAGCAGCGCTTCACTGCCCCGACAGATGAGATCTGTCCACTCGCAGGCCTGGAATTGGGAGATGCCGTTGTGTTGACTGCCCAGGGTCACGAGGTTATGGACGGGGGGACTGTTGCAGCGTTCGATGTAGCCGCGGAGGAATTGCCCGCCTTGGGAGAAGCCCAGGGCGTTGATGGCGGGGGCGGTGCTGAGGATCGGGTCCGCCGCGAGTTGGGCGCAGATTTGGTTGATTTGCGTGGTGAGGTTGCCGAGGAAGGTCGCTTGGCGGTCGGCGGTGGAGGAGGGAGAGAGGTGGATGAGGTGTGTGTAGGTGCCTGGGTTGATTTTTTCGGCCAGTGTGATGAGCGATTGGAGGGATGGGTTGAGGTAGTTGTCGCCGAGGCCGTGCCAGATTACCAATGGGAGGGGGCGGAGTTCGGTGGTGGTGTTGATGGTTGTGTTGATCGGGGTGGTTTGTGGTGTTTGGGTGGTTGGGTGGGTGGTTGCGGTGAGGGGGAGCGTGAGCAGCGTGAGGAGGGGGGTTAGAGGGCGCATGTTGCTTTGGTGTCTGGTTGTGGTGTTGGTGGAGGAGGATGGAGGTGAAGGGAGGTGGATGTTGTGGTTGGAGGTACTAGGTACCTGTACGGGGTACCGCGGAGATGTGGAGTCACGTTGTCCGTGCCTGACGTAAGATCAGCATGTGATCAGGCATAGCGCTAGACTGCTCTGGTCGTTGCTGCCTGGGGCTGTAGTCTTATTTTATGCGATGGATGCTGGCAGGGATACTCGCGATAAGCTATTGAGAGGCTGCGCTTCTTGATGGGTAGTATATCCGGTGTAGTTGGTCTGTACAACAGCGCTGCATATACATGATGGACTGGAGGTTGATTGAATGCAGAACACAACAGGTGTTACATCAGGTAGGTGAAAAGTAATCGGGTATGTATCTAGTACTTGCGTCTGAATCTAGGCTGGGGATATCCCTCGGAATATTCTTGATTCCCAGTATTTGCCAAACAGACCCGATCCTTTGCTACGCGAGCTTGATCAATGTAGATCGCTGATCTCGGGGAGACAGTGTGCTTCAACTTGAATGCGTTCGCTGACAATGCAAAGCTGTCTGTCCGAAAAGGGTTGACTTCGACCGGATATCCAGTCGCCTGTGCACCATCTTTATCCTCGCCAGAAGTGGCAGGACGACATGTGAGGCTTGGTTCAGCCTGTCCACCTCTATGGCAATCCACGTGGCTGGTGAATTGGTTGCCATCGAGAATGACAGACTGGCCATACAACTTCATTGGATATGTGGCTTGCTGCGCAGTTGTACTTAGCTGAGACTGCCCTCCGTGAACTCTAGGCGCATATGGCTCAAAGTCAGTCACGGTTCTATCTGTCCGCGATATAGATCGTTGTATGTTGTGGCGCGGTTCAGGGAGCCAGCCATGGCCGGAGTGATTCAAGGTTGACGATGTGCCTGTAGACTCGTGCGCTGTCCTATGACTGCTCTCAAGTCCTTGCGATGATCCCCTGAGAGAAAAAGGGCTCTCGAACTGTTGGCTGCCGCCATATCTGATTGTTCCCAAGGATGCATTGTAAGGCTTGAATCTTCCCTCTTGCTCAGCGAGAATCTGGTCGTCGATTGTAAAACGCCTTCTGACAGGTGTCGCCGGTGACGTCTCGGAGTTGCTGTCGGACTGTAGCAGTCCCTCTTTTCTATCTCCCAACTGATCTTTGTGTCTGGATTCGTCGATCATATATTGCGAACTATGGATGGAATCGTCAAGGGTGGACAATTTCCCGGTGGGGGATGAACACAGAAGTGAGACGCTTGAGGAGCCCAGTATCCAAGATCTCTGATCGAATGAGCTTCTCCTGATAATATTATCACGATCAGTTTCCGGTATAAAAGCGGTTCCTTTTGCAGGAGTGGACTCTTCACGGTCTAGAAGCATTGACTGCGATGACACTGGCTGGCTGCGATCCGTTCTCGAACGATCAGCTCCAACAGGTCTTCCGTTTATCCTTATATCCAGACCCTGGATGGATCCTATATCGGACACTGCATCTTGACTACGCTTTGTGTTGGGGATAGAGCGTGTGCGCGAGACGGACGACCTCAACCTTTCACGGTCATCATCCGTTATTCTTCGTCGCCTCCCAAATTCCCGTAGCGCCTGTACCGGAGGGAATAGCACCTTCAGAGGACGTGCTACACCAACGGATGCCCAGTCCGACTTTTCTAGAAGCCTGCGTTTGATGTTATCCAAGCGCTGAGATGCCGGCGAGGGCTCATGTATAGCTGCTGCAATGTTTGGGTTTCCGGAGCAAGAGCGGGAGATCCTATTGCGAGACTTGGTTGGACGTTAGCTAGCATATAGCGAGCGCGCACATGGGATTGAATCTCCAAAGATGTAGTATACCCGTTGGTCTGAGCTCTGACGCAGCTGGTCACCTGGGTCAAAGTCCCTTCTCTCTTCGAGAGGGCCTGGGTCATTGAATAGCGTCGCTGGAGGACCTCTCGCTGGTGGTCTCGGCTTTCTAAAATGCTGCTTCTTGTTTCTAGCGTGGATATCGGAATGTCGCCGCAGACGACCCCCTGTCCAGTTCATCGTCCTCCCGACTCTGTGAAATTGGCATGGCAGGCTTGGTAATTGCCCAGAGTTGTAAAGCGGAAAGGATAAGATGTCCTGCGGTAGTATCCAGAGGGACACTGTCTGTCATGTGATGGCCATGCGATGCGGAGGTAAGATAACGTTACACCTTCACGCCAGCTTACGGTATCACCTCAATATAAGCAGCTTCCTGAGCTGAGCGAGACTATAGCAAGACATAACAGCCGCTCCAGCTTGTGTTGGACCTACCCGAATCCAGCAAGTACGCATTAATCATGGATACCTTCAACATCCCCTGCATGTGAAGAGGTGAGGAAGAAGGGGTTGAGCACCTCAACGCCGGCTTGGAGACTACCGCTAACTGTGCCAAGCCAGCATAGATTATGCTATATTAATTGTGCGCGAGAATTGAACAGCTTACCACAAGAGGTATGGTGAAGTCTCATCACTAGCATCGGTAGGACTCGTCTAAGCAAGTCATATGGAAACGGCTCGGCCCGGCAGAACGACCCAGCTGAAGGTCACCAACTTAAGCTCACTAGTTTAGCTTCATGTCGAGCGGATCTCTGGAGGCTGAACCTCGGCTCGGTGGGTAGTGCAAACCATGCAAAGCAATCACGTGCAGCCTTCGCTTCGGCGGCTCTTAAATTATCTTCCCACATGCAAAACTCCTTTCTTCCTTCCCACCATTCGACGTCAACAGATTGCCGGACAGCAACGATGGTGCCTGCATCATCTCATTTGCCCGCGTCGAAACCGACATGACGGGCTCATTGGCCTTGCCTTGATGTAGGCGGGTTTCTGAAACTGTTTCGTGTCAGCAACGCGACCAGCTGGCAGCCTCGTAGTACAAGGTCCCCTGGCGAGGCCTGCGCGTTTTCTTTTTTCTATTTTCGTTTCGGATACCCCTTTTCTGAGCTATGTGATTCTGATCAAGGTAAGCGCATCCCTTTTCATTCCCCCTTTTCTCGCATGGGTGTCACCGGGACCTCTGGTTCACGATGATGAACACCATACCAATAAGCATAGTTCACCTGAGATCTTCGGATTGCTGAACGAAAACTGTATACCATCTTTCACCTTTATCTGATACACACACCCATTGCGTCATTGTCTGTTTACGATTTGGATTTCTTACTGGTTCGTCGCTGACATTGCATGCTCTTAAGATTACTAGGCAACCACCGCACAGCGAAGCACGGAGTAGACCGGGTGACTTTTATTTATTTTTATTCATATGGCGCGCGATTTGAAATTAGTATTGTGATAAATCCAATCCTGCTTATGAATTTCACCTTATTCTGAGACAAGCGTAAAAAGAAACTGGCTCTGGGCCGCGCCGACGAGTCGAAACTTCCCGGACGTCCCGTAATTAAATGATCCCATTGCTGCCCAACTTCCCGTGGTGCCAATCTCCTGCTGTGGAGGGCCGCCGGAGTGCAGCTGTCAACCGTCAACCTGTCGAGGGATGTAGGTCCTCATCATCATGAAACGTAGCAAGTCATGTCCAAACTGTACCTTTGACCCCTCCCCCTCCTTTGCTGCAGCGACATTGGGCGAGGCGAGGTGCAGTGGCTGGGAACCCCCCTATGCCGGGGAATGAGGGGCAATCGACACATTTCTTCTTCTCTGTTTGCGTGCAGTAGTCGCGACAAGCGGGATCCCTGTTCCGCGCGAGGAGGGAGGGCTTGACGTGTTGGCATCGCAGCCAAACGATGACCCTCCAGGAGGACCGAGAGTTGGTGACTTTCACGAGGGAAAGCGGGGCCGCCGAGGAAACGCCGCTGATTGATGCGCCGGGACCCATCGGGCGGCGCTGAATGGCTGTGGGCCGTCGATAGCCCTGCACGCGACAAACCACGGGGGAACAAGATGGAATCCCTCGGCGCCAATCACTACGGATTGGCATCTGGTGGGCGGAGGGGCTGCACTGCCGGTGATGCAAGACTGCATCCCATTTCCTGCTCATCCACCAATGATCGCCACCGGACGAGTGGAGAGCGGTTGATTCCCGCCTCACCGCTATATTGAGCAATTGCCCGGGTGGTGCCGTTGCAAATGATACATCCACCCGCGGCCACGTCAAGCCGGGACGATGGGCGACTACTGGAAATCATTGGTAGATAGTGGGCGGACAACACCACCTGGCGCTGCACCACTATCACCGCCATGTCTCGCAGGGCCAAATCATCATGCTCGAGAGTGCCAGTGAGGCAGCCGGCAGCAGCAGCATGCACGTCCGGCACACGCTTGGACGCACTGTCTCCTCCGAGGGCCCCCACGCCCGGCCTCCTGAACGAGGGCGCCTGGCTGCTCCGTTGCCTCTAAAAGGCCGCCGCTTCCCCTCCAGATGGAATTCTTCTCGACCTTTCCTATTCATCTCACACCAGACTCAAAGAAGAAACTCAACCTTGCACTTAGATACCCAACGAACCATCCCCCTCTTCCTTTCGATTCCTCTACTCCACATCTAAGCCTCACCTTATCCACACACACACACACATCCTCTCCCACTTGTGCTAGATTTGTCACAGTCAAATCAGCTTGCTTACTCTCCATATCCACTTGCTTCCTTTCTTCTGCTCTACAAGTGTCCAATCCGTGGATCTTGGAAAATCACAAAGAATCTCTCTGTCCTGGCTAGAAAACAACCCTTGACTGTCCGCTGGAACCCAGTCCGTCTCCTGGATAGGATTTGCTTGCTTTGTTTTGTTTTTCGCTCCACTCCCAGGCTTTTCGTCTGAGTATACGGCAACAGATAACAGGTAGACCCCTCATTACTCTCCTTCTGTTTGTTTGTTTCGTTTCTTCTTTCCCTTGCGATTGTTGCATTTCGAAAGTCACCATGGATCCTATTCTTCGACCATCATTCGACAATTGCATCACTAGAGGACCCCCTGGACTCTTGAATCTTATTGCTCCTGCCGGATTCTCCCCGTCACACGACGGCTTCACGCAAACATTGACCATGGAATTCATTTGACGTCCACAGCAACCGCTGTGTGACTGGACACTTCGAGTGTTGTTTAATGTGGCACACTCGCCATCGATTACACCCCTCTGGAGTATCCTTCTGCCTGGACCCCTGGATCTCTCCTCACTAAGCCTAGTGTGGAGTTTTGGACATTTTGCCTTGGACCCCGTTGTGTTGGACTGTTTTCTCCGTTCCCGATTTGGATCCCTACTGTCTGGATAGAAAGCCTTCGCTGGAATAACAATGAATGTTGACCTTGGATTTTCGCTCTCACACCCTGCTGGATCTCGACTTCTCATGGCCTGACCCATGGTTCAACTGATGTGTTGCACTTGTCGTTACTGTGAACTTCTTGTAGTCTGGACACTTCGATGGATACCTTAACCATGATTGGACGACCTCATACTACAGCATCGACACCAAAAAAGCACCACGGAGATGTTGCCCCTCATTCCGATCCGATCGCGATCCTGGCCCATGCTTCAGTCTGTTCCTGGATTAACAACAGCCCCTCTTCTGGATCTAGCGGTAGCCTACCCGGACACCATGCCCCCACAACATCCTAATGGTTGGTGTATCTCAACCTTCGTGCTTAATGACTGTTCTAACTCTGACTGGCAGGCCCCTATTCGACGTGGATTTCAGATGCACACGATCGTTCACTTTTTGTCATTGTTTACCAGCGATTAGGTGTAGAGATACTGACTCCTAGTTGCTTCTAGTGTTGCCTCTTTCTTCCAAATAGACTGGATCTAGATCACACAATGTCCACCAAGATCAAGAACGACCCAGAGAACATGTCTTTGTCCCAGTCATCTTTGCACACTATGGACCAGATGTCTCAACCGAGACCAAACCAAATGATCCCAGGAATTCCCAACATGGCCTCCAGAGGACTCCAGGATGATGACCTTTCGAGCCAGGACAATTTCTCCTTGTGTTCTAGCACACACCCGAACCACGGAACTCCCAGTGACTTGAAGGGCTGGTCTCTGAGCGACGTGGATGCACTTGACAGTGGTGCGATGTCCAAACCAGAGTCCCCCGAAGTCCAGATGCTCTCTTTCTCTTTCTCTCAACAACTGCTGCCATCGACCGTTGGCCCCAGTGATATAATGTATCATCACGCCGGATCCGATTTCTCAGGCATCCAGGACATGGCAGAGCCCAATGACCTGGATTTCTCTCATGCTCATGACTTCAACCACTACTCCTCATTGGTTGACTTCTCTGCCTTTGATAATGAAGTTTGTGGCCAGAATGGTACCCAGTCCTCTTGCACTCCCGATGATACCCTCTCCCACAGCTCTCACACGGATGACGGCCACCTGGCCGCCAACGAGGCGTGGAACTCCATTGTTGCAGACACTCGGAACTACCAAGGATCACCCATGGATCAATATACCACTGGCATGTTCCAGTCAGTGCCTGTTTCTCCTCCGTTGTCTGACGCGAGTAATGATGTTTCTGTTACTTCCTCTTGCTCCGGATACCCCACCTTCATGAGCCATGAAGATGCCATGTTGAAAGATGTGACCACCACCCCCGTTGGAAGCCATGGAATAAACCTAGGAGACCCCTTGTTCCCACTCACCCCGCCTCTGAGTGAACAGGACCCCAACAGGTTAGTATTGGACCGTGATGCAGCTTTGATAACAGATGTACTGACTCGCCACAGAACCATCCGCGCTTCTAAGAATGCCCGTAGGCCCGCTCTGCAGACCTCTCTCTCTCAGCCCCAAGTAAAGCAGGATCCTGAATTTTTCCCACCCCTGCCGGTCAAGGAAACCCTCCGCCAGAAAGCCAAGGAAGGCGCCGACCTGCGCAACCCCCGGGATCACCCCTACTACTCTTTGCCCACTCACAGCGATGGGAAGTACTACTGCCCCTTTGCCAACGGAGAGAAGCCTTGCAACCACCCTCCCACCACCCAGAAGTGTGCCTATCAGTGAGTCACCCTCTCGCTCTCTCTCTCCAGCGTCGAGACTAATCATGACTAGCAAATACCTGGACTCTCACCTGAAGCCCTACCGCTGCAAGGTGGCTGCCTGCATGGATGCTCAGCTGCAATTTTCTTCCAACGCATGCCTTTTCCGCCATGAGCGCGAGGCCCATGGATTCCACGGTCATGGAGACAACCCCCATCTTTGCCTGTTCGAAGGCTGTGACCGGTCGGTTCCTGGATATGGCTTCCCCCGCCGCTGGAATCTCTTTGACCACATGAGACGGGTCCACGACTTTGCCTCTTCTGACAGGCACAGCTCCCCGGATGCCTCCCCCACCACTGGACCGGCGAAGAAGAAGGAGACTGCTGGACGCAAGCGCAGAGTTGCGGGTGTCACCGGCGCCCCGACCATGAAGCGCACTCGCTCCACTCAGTCCCAGACCAACCCCTTGAAGGCTGCCCAGCAGACTTCTGCTCATCACAGCCAGAGACTCCAGAATGCGGAGCGCAACTACTACAACTGCCGCTCTCGGTTGCTTGAGGAACTCAGCAACATCACGCCCCAGGATTCTTCCATGCATGAGAAGGTCAATGCCAGCCTTCAGGAGCTGATCACCCTTGGACTCAACTACCGCCACATTGAGGCCAGCCAGGCTGCTGCCCAGATCGCTCACGGCCTCCCTGCGTGAATGCATCACTGTTTCTGTGATGATCTTTTAAATTGTTCTCCCCAAGGATCGCCAGCGCTGAGTGGTCTCCATAGGAAGGACTCATGATATCAGGCATGAGTTGAGCCGTGATGGATAGCAGATTCATGGAAAAGTCCATGAACGATCGCTAACACACGGCCGGTTGGGTTTTCTACTTTCATTCCTAAGGATCGTTCGACCTTCAGGGGCTGTCAAGAGGGCTTTGCTCTCGGCCACGATGTGTTCCAACACATCTCGTGGCTTAACCCTCGATGACGCAGACATCGTCCCGTCGTGTAGAGGTATGACTCCAGCCATCGGCTTCACTTTGTGACTGGTGCGATGGAGGCATTGATTGGGGACGGCAGCTTCAGGCGGTCGGATAGGACATGGCTCCTGATTTCTTCATTGCCTTGCGACAGTTTCCACTTCTTTGTACGCGCAGCTTGCTGTGCCTGGCTTTGTAAAAACATTTCTGTTCTATTTGTGTATCTTTGGTGCTGGTTGGCTTGTTTATTACTTACTTTTCTCTGTTGATGCCCTGCATCAGGACGAGGTCCACTGAAGAGAGAGTTGAAAAATACGGGAACGGTGTGAATGGAGAAAATATGGGATGGACGGGTCTGTATATGGGGTTTTGTTTGGGTCTGATTTAGACGATGGGTTTGTTCCTTCATGTATAGGTGCAGGTCGTGGAACAGGAGGCCTGCCGGATTGATGTACCGGGATTTGATCTTTTTTTCTGTCTATATCCTTTTCTGTTTCTATTTACGATTCCGGCTTTGGATATAGCTTGGTGATACCTATCTTGTGGTTATTTTTGGCTGTTATGAGGTTATTATTACCTGATCAATTCGGGACTCAAAAAGTTGTCTTTTCTATCGAATTTTGGATTGAATCTTTACTGTTTCACTGTCTTTTTCGTACAATTACCAATCGCTAGTTTGCTTTTTGAGGTATTGAACATGATACCTAGTAGTAGCTTCCAATCATCACTCGTAAAATAGGTAGTAGTCGGTCATACCTAGATACCAAAACGACGCCCTCTATACGATACGCAACACGAAATACACGCTTCCCCAATCTATGTAAACTTTTTTCTATCGCGAAACCCCTTCCAACTAACCCAACAATCCAACCAAAACAAGAGAAGGAAAAGAATTCACTCACTCTCCCCGCCAAATTCGGCATTCAAAAACCTCACAAACGCATCAGGCACCTGCTCCGCAGTCAAACCCCCCTTACTCGACGCATGCGCACCCTGCACATACGCCCGATTCAACGCAATCCACTGCCTCCTGAGTCTCTGCAGTCTCGGCAATGCAAGGATTCCTCCCGCGCCGGCCAATTCATCCGTCGTGCCGGAGGTCGCCACGTGCGCCGGAATATAAACGGGGGTGGATGCCTCCGGGACGGGAATGGAGATGCCGCGATTATTGGCATTGGAGGTGTTTTGGGCCTGCACGAGCGCGGCTTCGGCGGAGGGATTGGCGAGCGTGAAGCTTCGAATGGCGGTTACGATGGCGGAGGTGCGCTTTTCCATGCTGTAGAGGGCGGAGGAGTCGGTTGCGATGGGCATGGCGGTTGCTTGGTGGGGTTTGATTTTGGGACGGCCGAGGGGGCCGGAGCGGGGGGTTGTGGTTGTGGTGCTGGCGGTGGAGGGGAGGGTGGTGTTGTGGAGGGCGCTGGTGAGGGTTGAGAGGGTGGGTGTGGTTGCTGTTGTTGTGGTGGAGTCGGTGGTGGTGGTGGATGGGTGTGGGATGCCGGTTAGGGCGGTCCAGATGTCGGCGATTGGGGGGGTTGCGTCGGACCAGGGGACGGTGAAGAGGGGCTTGTCCCAGCGGCTGTGGATGCTGGGTTCTTCGTATCGGAAGATGAGGTTGTTGAGGAGCTCGGGGGGGTAGGGGTCTTCGGTGTCGGTGGTGGTGGGGGAGGGTTCGGTGGATGGAGAGGGTTCGGATGGTGTGGATTCTGGGTTGGACTGGGCTGTGTCTTCCTTGTTGGTGGTGTTGTCTGTGTCGTTTTGACGGCGTAGTCGGGCCTTGTTGTTTGCGACGCATTGGTCGATTGGGGTGCCGACGTGGACCTGTTGATTCGGCTGTTAGATGCGGTTGTGGTTGCGGACGGAGGACGGAGGAGGACATACCACACAGCATGTCGTCCCTAAGGCTTTCGCCTCACACCACAGCTGATACCGATATCCCTTGATGTAGTTCATTCCGTCGAGTATCACGAAGCTGTCCTTGTTGAGGGCGCGCTTTGCCCGCGCGTACGCAACGCCCCGCGTCTCCTTTTCTGTGCGGGCATGGTCGTAGACGGTTCTCGGATGCGAAGGGTCATGAGTAGGTACGATGTGGATCTTGTAGCGAGGTTTCGTGGGAGGAAGAGCGCCGGATTTGAAGAGCTCGGTTTGGGTTTCTTCGAGCTGCGTTGCGAGCTGGCGGGCTCGGTAGGTGAGGCCGGAGCAGGGGTATCCGGTTAAAACTATGAGCTTTAATTTGTTAGTGGGGAACTGAGGAAATAGTATGTGGGATTTACCGGCATGGTGAAAGGGGAGGGTCAAGGTTGCTTGATAAGGTTGCGATGCGAATTGGCGGCGGAGAATTCGATGAAGTTATTTTCGCGCGGGGCGGCTCGGTGGGGTCCATGTGACTTGGCTGGAGGGACGAACATGGCCGTTCGCAATCAGATTAAGGGTGATTTCAGAGCTACTGGTCAGATTGTGACCGTTATATTGGGTATATTTTCATGGCTTCGATTGAAGTAGGTTGTCTATCGACAGTGGGATATCCAAAACCCCGCTCTATAATTTTCATAATCCGTATAATGCAACATTCAATGTACTTTTATCTCGCCAGTGACGCCATATGCTAGTTCAACTCTTCCTCTGCCCAGTGAATCTCATATCCAAAGACCGTCCTTCTTAGGCGCTCATCCTGGAGGAGTTAGCAAAGTCAACCAATCGACGCATGACACTTACTCCCGGGTCGTTCTCAAACAACACATTATCCATCAGCTTCTCGAAGATCTTCGTCACCCGGAAGCCATTCTCCTCCGCCAGCGGGAAAAACTTCTCCGTCTTAGGCAACAGCCACGGCTCATACGGCGTGAAGATCACCAGCGCCACGGAATCCTTGCTCCGCTTCAACGTCTCCCGCATCGTCTTGATCAGGTTCGGATGCTCCCGATGACTGTATACCACATCGGCCATGATGAGCACGTCAAAGCCTGTCGCACCCTCAGGAAGGCGGGCAAACAGCGGTTCCACGGGAGCGCCCCATTTGTACCCGTCGACGTAAAGGGAGGAGGAGTTGGCGATCTGCGGGGCAGCCAGGGCAGCGTTGTAGCGCATGTTCTCGACGAGATCCGGGTCCGGGTAGTCGGTCATCACGACTGTACGGGCGCCCAAGATGGCAGTGACGATACTGGGGACACCTGCGGCGGCACCGATTTCGAGGACATCCTTCCCTTCAATGAGTGTGCTGGCCCGTTCTTCGATATAGTGGGAGCTGGTCCGGCCAGCGTTCCAGAGGAGGTTCCCCTAAGAATGAGAGCGGTTATTGTTTGGAACAGATGAAACAGGAGACATCAGGGGAAAGGTACGTAGAGAGGATGGCTACCGACGAGGCGCACGCGCACCGTCTGGCCGTTCAGCATGTGATGCTCTGCAAAGGTGGGCTCCGGCTCGGGCTCGTAGAAGCCCTCCGGGTCCTGGAACATGTCCCCCATGTCGAGGGAGTCCTCTTCTGCCATATTGATCAGGTGTGCGACCGGGCCCAGCTGACGGGCAATTGGATCAGATGAGGGTGGAATGTCGCATTGTGAATGAATGGCTCCGAGGAATTTCTGTATCGCGATTGCGACGGTGGAGTCAGTGGGGGAGCCGCAACGGGCCTAGCGCGGATGCAAATACCACTACATCACGTGTAGTCACGTGCAGTTAAGCCGAGGCATCGCCGGCGACCGCGTAATACGGTCACGGTACCTGCATGCAGGCAGAACGCCGGCAGAAACCCCGCGTGGGGTCAGGCGGAGAGACGGTCGCGCATACGGCCGGGTAATTGTCGGTAATACCTTTTCCCAGGCGGTCGCGAAATTTTCCATCTTTGCTTCGGTTTGGAGAATCAAGACTCGAGAACGAGACCATTCGAGTCGGGCTTCTTCACGGGGGATTGTCGATCATCGTCAACTGGACTGATCTCCGGCCGACTAGTTCGATGATTGCCCCCCCAGACCAACCCCAAACACGGAGTGCCTGTCGCCTGATTCAGATTGACCTTGCGTCCAAAAGTACGATATCTCGCCCATCCCTCACTTTCCGGTCCAGCGTCATCGTCCACTTATCACCAGCCTGACTTTTAGCCTTGCCGGACGTCATCCCGCGGTTTCTCTGGACGCGCCCCACGTGTTGCTGGCTTTTTCTTCCTTTCTCCTGTCTGCCTTTTCTTTCCCCTCTCTTCTCTCCTCATCACGCCATCCTTCCCACTCCAGGAGGAAGCTAAAGCGACGACTCCACCGGATCAGTCCACCCGAGACCTCTCCTGTTGGGCTGCGATATCATCCTGCCGTCTATCTTAGCTTTACTTCCGTGTCGCTCCCTCGTCGCTATCGCTAGCCGTCATAGACTCCCGCCTCTTATCGTCACTACTCCTTCTCATCTCGACCCTATATAGATATAGAACAGCAACCATGGACGGCTCTTCCCGTACGCTCTCTCCCTTCAACCCACCCCAACCAACCACACAAGTCTCTCCGGGGTACGCAGCGCAGTCCCAAAACACCTTGGGCCTGGCAGCCGCAGCTGCGGCGGCCGCAGTCAACAGCCAAACCACCATGCAGCTCCAATCTCAACCTCCTACTGCTACCTCAACCGAGCAACAACATCCCACCGACCTCTCCCAGTCTACCGCCGCGGCGGCAGTGGCCCAGGACACCTACCCGCATCAAATCACCGGGTCGGGCGGGCCTACAGCGACCGCCCCCTTCTTACGAGACTTTAGTCTTGTTGCGGAGGCCGCCAAACGGGCACAGATGTCCGTGATGGTGCGAGATTTGGAGAGCGTCACGCTATAAGCTAGCGAGGGATACCCTTATCGCAAGGGTGGGATAATAATCTGAGGGCACGGGAATCCGGACTGATATATTGATAGATGGTTGGAACCGATGCGATAGAGAGGGTATCTATCTTTTTTTATTTTCACTAGAGAGGGAGTGCGTGGTGTACATTTGCGCTTCTTTCATCTGGGCTGGGCTGGGTCGGGTGTGAATTTTTATTCGATTGATCATTTAATGCTTACCTAGGTGAGACTAGGATATCTATCTTCTCAGCTTTGCTTTGATTGGCGAGTTATTATATATTACTTATTACATCAAGTAGGTACAGGATGACTTACTCGATAGTCTGTGCGATGTATTGATTTAATCAGTCAACAGATTATCATAATCATGATCTTGAAATCGGACGGTCGGCATAAGTGGAACTTCTCCCCATTTCCCTCCCTGATCCTTTAATTATCCCAAACCAAGTAATCAATCAAATTAATTAAAAGCTTGACCTATCATCCCTCGTCCCCTCTCCCGTCCGCGCCCGAATAAATTCAAACCCAACCAGTCCAGTCCCTGGCCCACTACTCACCTCGCTAGTAGATAGTACTCCATCCAACACCGGAAATTACCCTCCCCCGTCCCTTTTTAATTCCATCTAGGGAGAGTAATCACTTTGTGCTACTTCTACAAAACCCCGTACATATACCTGGATTTCCGTCGAGACCAGCTACCTAGCTAGACTAGACTAGACTAGACTAGTTAAGTAGGTGGTTATTGAATACATATGTATGTAATCTGTCCCTGCCGTGTAACTACCTCCCTAACCTAACCTTGACCCTGCTACTTACTTCCCTACTAAGTAGGAAGGAAGGAAAGACAGGCAGGTCAGTTGATCCAGTAACCCATGTAGGTAGCCTAACTTATCTTTAGCTCTATCCCTGCTAAGTCTCTTGGGTTGCTTCCGGGCGCCTAACACGACGAATCAAGGGCCAGGATTGAATGTTCGGGAATGTCGGAAGATGCTTTAGTGGCATATGGGGTAGGGAAAACAAGACAATATCCTGGTTACTTAGCTTAGCTTGGCTGCCTTCTATTTATGTATCTGTATTTGTGTTTGTATCTCTTGTATCTGTGTATTGGGTATGGGTATGGGTATGGGTATTGGTAAATAGAGGTAGGTAAAGTACAGTAAGAAGGATAATCTGCATGCGCTGTCAAAAATTATCTCCCGTTACCCACTGATCACTTACTGCACTAGGTATAGCAGGTATGGCAGGGCTGGCGACAGGGCTGGGTGGTGTTGATTAGATAGGAACGAACGCGCAGGTCACGATAACGACAAGATAGGTATAAGTTACGGGATACGGTTAGGGGCGGAGGAAAGGCGGAGGACAGAGAGGGGTAAGTGATAGTGATAGTGATTGTTGATAGGTGGTGATAAGTGTTGATAGTGATAGGAGGTATGCAGGTACGCGGGTAGGATAGGACTGGTCATCGTTTAGACATGGTGCCTGTGCCTGGCATGGATACACGTCACTGGATAATTGATAGATACTATCTATCAAAGGAATATGGTGAGATGTTTAGGTATTGTGAACCAATCTTCTATGATAACCGGTAAATGCACAGGCAAGCTAAACCAAATCTATAGGAACAGGTAAATGGAGAAAGAAAAAACATACAATGCCGTGATGAGGTATCAATGGGTACCATATACATGTTTCTATATACACTCGTATACCCAACCTAAAGCCAGGTACGTATATAAATACATGCTTATCGGAGGATGTTCTCTTAGCAAGGAAGCATTAGATGAAGCCGATACCGAGGGAAATCCGACAAAACTCAAAAACAAGACCAGATGATTAACACCGAACACCGAGCTAATGCGGACACCCGACCTGTAGTATGTAGATAGAATGAAATGTATTGATATGAAAAGAAATGATCCGGTAAGGAGGGAAGAAAGAAGATGGTATGAGAATTGAAAGATGAAGAGGTAATTTGAAAGGAAGGACTTTTGACTGGTATTAGAAAGGATCGAATGATGCTAGCCTCGCCGTGCTGAACTCCGATTATAAAGATGCATGTTGGGTTCGTAGTGCTTGCTGGGTTGGGATGGGTCGGTGCGATGGTTCTGGTAAGAGGGCGGTGGAGTCGGCTCTATGATTAACTCTCGTCGTGTCGATCAATTAGGGTAATGTGGTGATATGATGCAATATTGCGAATAAATGGTGCTTTAGATCTGAGTCGACGCCCCGATCAAATTGGGCTGGGAGATGCTCCCGGCTTGACCCGGCGTGAGCTTCTTTTGCCGTCTCGACCCGAAGATGGACAACCGCCGACTGAGCTTTCTGGAGGGATCAACCGAAAGTATCGAGAGTGGACGGGACTTCGGAGGCCGGGGTTCTGTCGACACGGGCATGTCCATGGACGGCGAGGAAATCGACCCGCTGGATCCCGGGATCTCGTCGATCCCGAATATGGACTGACGGCGCTTGGTCCGGAGCTTCTCGCTGCTGGTCTGGAGCGTAAAGTCCTCCTTGATGTCGTCGAGGGCGTGGGAGAAGCGACGTAGCAGCCTCGGTTTCTCAGCAATGGAGGGGGCGCGCTCTTCCAGGCCGTACATCTGCAGAGGGGTCGAGTCCGGGATGTCTTCCCTCACGGGCGTGGAGTAGTAGCGGGGAATCTTGTAGTGCTCGGGACGACGGCGGGGAGCAGGAGGGAACCACACATGGTGGCCATGAGGAGGATGTTGGGAGACGGGGCTGCCGGAATAGGAGGAACGAGAGGAGTCGGTTGATGAGGAGGTCAACATCATTTCTTGGTGTGAGTGGGTAGCAAACGGAGGACGAGGGGACGAAACGATGGACAGTATGGCAGCAACTCCCAGGACAGAGGAATGGAGTGGTGGAATGCAATGGCTCAGGGATGTGCCGAGGAGGCTGATGGCGATAGTAAAAGGGAAAAAAACGACGGAAGATGGCGCCAGGCAGGGGAAACGAGAGAATGGGGAGCGGTTCGCAGTTTGGCCCTTCTCCAGACAAGTCAGACGGTTCGTCTGATCTCGGTGTAGGGATGGGATGGGATGGGGGTTAAAAAATACTTAATACAGGACTATAATTATAGCACTTCCACACTAGGGGACGAAAAGTGGGGACTCCGGAGTATTCACTGGCTTGATACCAGTTACAGACAATGGATACCTTCGTTACCTGCAGCGGTAATTCCCGTGTAACCGTCCCATCGTATGGTCTTTGTTCATTCCCCTTTGTTGCTGGCGGACCACCATTGACCAGAGTTTTCTGCCATCGCTGGAACGGTGCTCTCCGGTGGTGCTCCGAGTTGGAGTCGGGTTTGGTTGCTCGTGGACCGGCTCCAACTAGCATGGAGAACTATGCTCTGCGTCGGAAAAATCCTAGTCGGCAGAATCCTACCTGGATAGTACTCTTCGATGGTCTTCCATCCGTATCAGATCCCTGTCCTGTCTAACCGCCGTTTGCCCTGGCTAGGAACCCAGCCGATTGGAGTGAGCCAACCGCCGTCACTTCTGGATGACGCGGCAATTGAGGCGTCCACCAACGAGGCCCAGACGGTGGTTGACAGGTTGATGGCCGGCAGTCTGGTGTTCTATGGATAGATATCAAGCTGAAACATGCGTTGGAGCATCGCTTGTGCAGCGCCTGCGTATGCGGATGATGTACACGCTGGTGGTCCATGGACCCATTCCCGACCATCATCCCACCGGACACAGCGGGTTATTCCAAGCGACGCCATTGGATCGGCCAGGAATTGCTTGAAAGGCGATTTGATGCTGGGAGGGGACTAAGGGTAGGCATCAATAATCCAGCATGATGAGTTCTGGTAGGCCATTCGGTCGGAATGGCAAGATGCCACTACTAGTAGTGTGGGTGGTAACGTCTGTGTATTGCGGGCTGACAGGACCCCTCGGTACGGCGGCGATACCTGCATCCAATGGACATCGGGACATAACTGGAACATAAACGGGCAACACCCTGGTCCTCCCAGACTCAGTCCGTAGTACTAATGCGAAAGAATAATCAGAAGAATAATCAGTGTAAACCCCACAGGTGCAAAGCTAAGCAGCTAGCGTGGAGGTGCAGAGCCAGCCACATTGCCCGTTGCCTGCAAGGTGAAACCGCGTCCTCCAGCGACTAATCAGATGCGGCCACTAGCGCCGAATCGGGGCTGGGGCATGATCTCATCGGGTCCTCACGGCTTCCCAGCGGTGGGGCCCGGACACGGGCATGTGCCCAGCTTTGCACAGGCATTGGCCGTGAGCTGACTTGGGCTTAGGACCGAAGGTTGGCGGTTTCTAGCGACTCCTCCCACTGTCCCCCAGTCCGCATTCCTGCTCGCTAAATTGCTGCCACTTACTCGTAGTACCCGAATGGTTGGCTGCACTATCCCTAGAACAGTAGGTCAGGGAAATGAGCACCGAGGGTTCGCCCCCCCGTTCATGAATCGTTCTGGGGAAGGGGGCTTCCCTGGGAGAATTGCGGCGTATTGCGCAATCCATGGTTGGCTTAGGTGTGCTGCGGCCCTCCCTGAAAGTGCTGAACCCGGAGGAGCGGAATGGGGCCATGTCTTGCGCCATTGCCAATGGCTGTGGGCCAAGCCTGGGCGGCAGACAGCTGGACATTTTCACCAACTTTAATGACCCCGATCAGCCGTGGTTCGCCGATCACGGCACCTTATTCATTATTGACATGATATCTGCGGCTCCCTGGATGGTCGTATTGGACCTCCCAAGTCCCATGGTGGTATGGTTGGCTCCCGATGACCGGTTGCCAGGTCGTCCCTACTACAGAGGCTTCCTCACCGCAATCAATCAGGCAAGCGAGGCAAATGCTGTCCTTCGTTCCTACTTAACACGGAAACCAACTCCGATCCGAGCCGGCCAGCAAGCAAGCGTGGATCGCATACGCCTCATCCACAGCTTCCAGTCACCACCGTACTATGTACAGCACCCTTCTGCGATGTCTCACCTGCACCAATACCAAGCTTCGTCATTCGCGAGGTACCGCTCGTCAGAGTTTTCAACGAGTGGATGCGGGAGATCAACCGAGCGCTCCTGGTGAGCTCTTTTCCCGAGAAGCACGGATGATTTTTGACACGACACCGATTTGTTGTCACCAGGCAGAAGTATAAGGCCGGCCAGCTAGGTCGTCTGCGGATATGCGATGTACCGTACAGCCACCGCTCCGGATCCCCACCTTAGTCAACGCCTTCTGCTCATCCTCCGACCTCCGATGATGGGGCTTGGACCAAGCGCAGGAGTGAATGACGCGTTGCGTGTTTCGCATTGCTTCTCGCTCCGTATATCATGTGGCGAGCTCGGCCGCTTCAGATCCATTGTACTGTGACGACTGACCGGATCTGAGTCGCGTCCGTCATGTGGCATGCATTGGCCAGATGTGTGTGGATTGCGTTGTTTACGAATCTCGGATCTAGCCACGGTTCTGTTGAGCGGATCGGACGGATCACACTGATATTGAACATTGTGGAGTACCGGTTGCAATTGATTTTGGACTTCTCATAACTATTGTCCGAACACGACTGACTAGTGAACCTAGTTCCTATGCTGTGCAGTGATACTCACGTATAAATCCGATCTCGAGCCGGCGATGGCATGGCAATGGCAATGACAATGGCCTCACATGTAGTAGGCTCAGTGACTGAAGCGAATGCAGACACCAAGGGCATGCCGCTTGAATGTGTTATTTTGGGGCATGCAAGCGGACGCCGTTTATTGCAACATCCCGCTGGACCGACTTCGATGTTGCGGCTGTCTCGGCTCTGATTCGGCATGTTCAAGACCATGGCTCATGGCGCAGTCAACGCAACTACCAGCCGTGTCTGAGTCGCGACGTATCAGGCCTGGCTGAAGGCCTGATCCATCATCGCGGACCACAGCGTCAGCACGTACCCACCTCAGACCAGCAATCCCAGGCTCCCAGCAACAGATATACCCACCCATATGCACCATGCACCAAAGCTTGACTGCCTACTAGACTCCACTAACAGCCGCAAACACAGCTACACTGAACATCCAACTTCACCGCAACCAAGATCTATTCTTGGTACCTTGTGCTACAATGTGTGCGGAGCAGTATCAGACTGTTCTCATCCAAACGTGTAGACGCCCCACGCCCAGCCATCTCACCATAATCTCAGAATCATCGTGTTCTACGGAGTACAACAGTGCAGATCACGGCCAGCCTTACTCAGTGGTCTCCACCGGACCCAGCCACGGGATCGTACGGTGACTCCGAACATTCCACTCGACTCTGGTTTGGCTCTAGGTAGTGGAGTGTTGTATCTGATAGATTAGCGGTACGTGCTGCCCCTTATGCTTCCACACAAATTTCCTAAGCCCCTATTCAAAGTTGTTTGTACTACACCGTGCTATATACATAAGTATGTAATAGTATAACCCCCGCCCCCACCTCCCCAAGTAAGACAGCATCAGCATTGCCAAGACCAAGTGAAACAGGGGTCATCGGGACACGAGTGCGGAGAGGGTTGGCATTACCATGGCTAACTGCATCGGGCTATTGATTTATGTATGATTGATACTTGGTACGTACATACATACAATACTTACATTGCGGAGGAGCTGGTGGTAGGACAAAGTACTTTGCCAAGTCAATGCAACAACCAACCACAAGCATCACCTACTTACCACCTGATATAGCGTTCGAATAGATTCATCTTAATACATATATTATGAAACATCATACCCAGATTCTTGGAAGTGTAAAGCTAATAGGTCTACATATCACATACTAGTGTAAACGGACCCAGCCTCCCCTCCTATTCTCTGATACAACTGACCCCTCCGTAGTCAATAGATCCATCCATCCAATATCATCATCTCTTAAGTATCACATATAATTCGCCATCTATCTGTCTCCATGGCTACTAGTCGGCTTTTACTGTACTTATATCCCCTCGATCAATCACCCACTACAAGTAAGCGATCAAGTAAATTGCACATAATGTTAAGTAGGTAAATCCAATTTCCCTCCCAAACCAAACAACCCCCCAGCGAATCCTAGCCACTTACGAACAGGCAAAGCAAAGCAAAACAACGCAAAGTTAAGCTAAAGTCCTCATCATGAACATGTCAAGTGTAAGATGAAACTGGTTTCAACTCATCGGAATTACGAAACTCTCGTCACTTGATTAAGGTAGTTTCAACACGATATGTATATCTACAGTGATATATAATACAACTGAAACCACCACCACAACAACCCTCGAGCGACACCATAAGGAGAAAAAAAAAGGATAAGGAAAAAGAAAGAAACAAGCAAGGCAGAAAAGAATTCTCCGAAACAAGTCCACATAGCCCAATGAACGATACAAAATAATTCCCCAGGACAACAACCTATTCCAGGAAATGGGAATGAAGGACTCCATAGTCTAGGTCCGCAGGGCATGCAATAACCAGAACCACTCTAAGCAAATTATACAAGCAGGGCAGGTAGGCCAGTACGTCGTAATACCTAGGACTTCCGTTTGTTGCTTTTTAGAGGTTCCGGGGAAGACGTATAATGATATAATCTGATAGGTAGGAAGGCTTGGCGGGGCTAGTGGCTGGATGGGGAAATTGGACCGATAGTGTCGTGATGTTAGGTAATATATTGATGGACTCCGTTACGGAGTATGTGGAGTGGAGTCGATGGATTGGATTGGATTGGGTATGGGGTATGGAGGACTGGATATTGTGGAATGGGATGGAATGGGGGACTATGGGTTAGGGAGGTGGTTGTATTGTATGGAGTCTACGGAGTAGAGAGGGGTTGATATTGGGTTGTTTGAATGGGTGTTGAAGGGTTGAGTGGATAGTCGAAATGATGGATTGTAATAGTAAAAAGTGACAGGTTGGTTTACTGCCAAGAAACTATCACTTCACCCAATCCCAAAAGTGGCGTGCGGAGCTGGTGGCGCAGCTGGTTCCAGTCCAATCCAACCTGTATACGGAGGAGTAAAGTGCATATACTCCGTATGCCATTCGGTAATTTAGTAATACCGAGTTACTGTCATAAATACTGATCATCCCAAACTCCAAGTTCAAAACTCTGTATATGCAATGTAGTGACATCAACAAACCAGCTCGCTATGCATCATGTCGCGTGATCGTATCACATCACAAAAAGCAAATTGGTATCTAGCGGCATCGGTTAGTCGGACTCCAAGAACTAGTGATGCGTTGCACCCACCTAAAGGATGACTGCAGCTCAGCTGCGGCTTCTGCGTGTACTTGCCCTCCAGTTCACTGCGGATCGAATTCAACAGGACCAGGTAGCTCTGGTTTGGTCGTTGTTGCAGTGTTTTGATGAATGCCCAACTCAGGGCTCCCCGGGCTTCGCCGTCCTGAAAGGTGTCCGCACTGTGGATGTGAGTGGTGGGTGAGAGATAAGAATAAAGGAAGGGGATGCTTACGAGGTCTGGGTGTCCTTGGACCCGGAGAACATGACCACGTCGGCGGGTGACGTCTTTGTCATCACGGTTCGTTGGCGCGCCGTGTCGCCATTGGCCGCTTTCTTGAAAAAGCCAATGGCCGTTTGAGCGACGCTGCTGAGATCGCCTTTGCCGTAGGAGTTGATGGCGCTGAAGAGATCCATTGCGGCTTCTTTGGCCAAGTTGGGTTCCTTTAGAACACCTTGGGTGGAGTAGACGTAGGGAAGGTCGAGAGCGGTGCCGGAGTGGCAGGAGTCGAAGATTGCGGTTAGACGGACACCGGGTCGTAGCGGACGGACCCTGGGTTGTCAGTATTACCTCAGCAATATACGGAGGATGGCTTACATGATGGCGTGCATGTCATCGTCGACGATGTGTCCTGCGGTACGGTAATCCAACGGGTAGATAACGTCGTCGTAGCCTGAACTGTTAGCATACCTCCTGCAACCATTGGAAGTGACTTACCATCTTCCTCGTCACCATCGAGATCGGGCGTGCGACCACCGTGACCCGAGAAGTGGATAAAAAGAGAGTCGTTGGGCTGCGCGTCCTTCACCAGCCATTGCATGGCTCTGAGGATGTTGGCCTTGTTCGGTATGCTCATCGGGTTCGTCTGGTCATCGGTGAGAATGACCATGTCCTCCCTGCGATACCCGTACTTCTGGTTCAAGAATGTCGACATGTTAGTAACGTCGTTGATGCAGCCGCGCAGCTGGTTTGGCTGCCCGATGTAGTTGATTCCGATCAGCAGGGCTTTCCGCCGGCCGGTACAGTTCGAATACTGGAAGCGGTAGTTGGACGGGGCGCCCCCGCCAAAGTGCTGTGCCTCTTGCGGTGGGCGGGGCGGGAGGTTCTGGTTCCATGATGGCGAGTGGTCTAGATCGAGTTAGCTGACATTCATCATATTTTGAGGGAGTTTCATTACTGTGGTAAGACCGCGGATACGGCGAGGATGACTGAGGTGGCGGGGTAGAGGTATGGGGTTGCCCATAAGGGGAGGGCGACGGGGTCGGGTAGCTACCCGGAGGATAGTAATGAGACGGCGGGGGACCGGGCGGCGGGGAGTAATGAGAAGTCGGCGGGGGCCCGGGAGGAGGCTGGTATTGCCCAGTGGGCGAGTATCTGGGCTGGGTGGTCAGTGGGGGATTCTCCGAGGGGGTTCCTGGCGAGGCGGGATGCCTACGGGTACTGGTAGGATGGCGGGGGTTGCTGCCACGATTGCTGGCGAGGGTGGTCCCCAGACCAACCCTGGTGCGAGTATTGGTGGTGGTGGTGGTGGTACATCAATCAACCCGTGAACGAGACTCGATGAACGGAAAATGCGCTGCGAACGAAAGTCGCGATGTAGTCAATCCCCAGGGGAAACCGGGGTTATAAGTGTCAGCGACGAGGGGTGGGTGGGTGGTCTGTGTGTTTGTGCGGAGATAAGGACTCGAAACTCGATAGTCGTGAGGAGAACAGTGGGCGGTTCGAGAATTGATCCACTACGACGGCTCTGAAGACCCGATCTGAACCTGCTCTGGTTGTGTGGATGGACTTGAGGAGAAAAAGAAAAAGGAGGGGAGAAAGACGGTGACAGGCTGGGATTTAAGGAGGATGAATTGGATTCCCTGGCCCGTCACAGGGCTGGCTGCTGCCCCCCGTCCCCACTCCAGGCCCGCGGCGGTCATTGGCATGCCTGCACTGGCGTGGGTCGTGCACGAGGCGTAGGGCAGAGGCCATTTCATGGGATTGGACCATGGCAGCCCCTCTCGGGATTTCGGCAGTTCCATCATCCATCATCATCATCATAATCCTCAGCCTGCTTATCTTCTAGTCATCCTGAAGCCATGGTTGAATGGGAAAAGAATGAGTACTGGACTTGCAATCTAAATCCCCAGGTTCTCCTGAACCACCCTCGCGCCATCCACCTGACCAACCACCCTGTCGATCCATCCCCTTCCCTCCAGCGTGACTGGAGTAGTAATCTGGTCCGAGGACTCGTCGCATTACGTTGCCCGACTCCCGATAAGAGCCACTGCGGACCAAACTGCGGTCAACCCGTCCCTGGCCACGGCCAATCCGCTTGCCCCTTCCTGGCAACCTTCCGGAATGTTCGCTGCAGCCCTTCTTAGGCACCAGTCAATCCCATCCGGATCTCATCCAATGGGTTGGCCCGCCCAGGCTGGTCAGACTGGGCGGCCGCATCCTGATAGGTCTCCTCCGCCTCGGGTGGTCGGCCTCGGCTGGGGATGGGCGGGCGATGACTTCTTGGCTTGCGACATGGCGGGTAGGGCGATCAATAATGAGCTGTTCGACTTGGCCGGGCGTGGCTCTGGGGTCGAATTCTCAAGGTCGGTGGATTCAGGATTGGGGCACTGGAAGTGCGGGGCATGAGAATTAGACTTATTTATTGGCAACCGGCCTGGTTGCGCGCCCTCTTCGCACAACCAGGACGGCCTGGCGGTGTCACCTGACAGAGGCTGTCATCTGCATATCCCTGGCATGCTCGTCTCTCACCGTTACGCAAACCTCGCCACGGCTACAGTCAGCTTAGCATCACTAATCAACCAGTTCCCCCGGGTACTCTTCTGCTTCCTTCTTATACATCAGATTGCTCTTCTGGGGATACCTATCGTTTCAAAAGTTTGACCCCAAGTTTTCAGTGCGTTGGTTCCAAAATCCAGCATGCAAATACCAACATGCATGTGACCCGGATTGAAACCAGCGTATTGCACAGCACAGCCATATACGAGGTTCCCAGGCCAACCATGTCTAGCATTGATTGATTCGCTTTCTAGGCAGCCGGAGTATCAAGTCGACCCCTCTTTATACTCTACAGGGCCGCTGATTTTGCATGGGCGACAGTTCTCTCCGGATTACACTGACTCCGCACGACTCTCGGCTAGCCTTGCCTCTCGTGACCAACCCTTGGCGCTTTGACCGTAATCAGCATGGTGTACGCCCTTGACAGCACCGCAACAGTCATCAAACGAAAGCAAGCAGCAGGGATGCTCACCTCATCTTCCGCTCGGACTTCCATGGCCCCAGGATCCGTGAGATCCGGATGCTCTGTGCGGTTCCTTGGCCGGCGAGATAACCCTCTGCCCCTCAAAGAAGATTTCTGGATAACCCAGCATCGTGAGGCTGTCTGGTGTGATCGGCCATGATGACGACCATGCTGGAGATGTCACCACCATCACCAACCCCGCAATCCAAAATGGCGAGTGCTTATCTGGACCGGCATATATCCTATTGGCGACCGGGATGTACCACGGACCACGCGTTGTTGCACGCTTATGGCAATCGGCAAGGCTGTTGGCATTTGGCAAACAAGTGATCCCACCTGCCCTTGACGTGAGCGCTGACCCATCCAGGGTCCAGAACGCGACCATCCCTGGTGCGCCGATGTGGTCCAAACTCCAAACGTGCAGGCCTCGGGTCTCCGTGCGTCCTCCGGGTGTGCGCGGTACCTGTTTCAGGCTTCCCGAGCCTGTTACGCATGCCCGAGGCAGTGCAAGCGGGGTTGGTACATGCCGCGGGATGTCATCGGCCTTGTCACCAGATTGGCTCTGGAGACAGGGGATGCGTCGAGCAAACTGGGATCGGAGGATCAGGAGCTTGCTGGTGAAGGATCTTCATGCGGAATGCAGGATGACCCTGATGTAGCTCCCTGGATACGGTTATCACCCGACCAGGCTGACCGGTGAACACTCTGGCCCAGTGGCACTATGCGCGATATACGCACCCGTACGGAGTAGTGGTCGCCAGGGTAATGAAAGGGGCTGCACTAGTCGAGTGATCAGATATCGTCCTGGCAGCCTCATGGGGAGGCTTCGGCCTGAGGCAGGAAAGCGGCCCGCCAAGGGTGCCGTTTGCGGCGCCAGTTGGTCCCCATTTTCGGAGTAATCTTCGTACTTCGTACGGCGCAGTGTCCTTTCAGCCTCCTCTTTGGGCTCTTGGGAAGCTAAATTAGCTTCAAAGTTTCGTGTAGACGGTTGAGATTAAACCCACCGAGGAAAGAGGTCAGTAACCATGTTGGGCGATCGGGGGGAGGCTGCAAAGTCCGATCCCACCGGGCTTTCGTATCGTCAGATCCGGCCGCCTCCTTGCGTAACTCGGACTCTCCCCCCCATCAAATCATTTACGGCTTGGCCACAGCGCAGTTGAGCCTCCAAATCCGGTGAGTCGATGCGACCTGTCTTGCGAATCGCGATTCTGGCTGGGGCAGCTGCTGGATTGCTGGAGCTGGACCGATTGCCAACCCGGGGGGCAAAAACATGCTAAAATTAGCGGGAAATGCCACTGCCTAACAGTCACCAGTAACCAGTAATCTCCCACCCGCTCAGCTCTCAGTGGCACGGCGCACTCCAACACAGCCTTGCCCAGGTGTCCCCTGGTAACCCAGGGCAGGAACTTTTTCTTGGTGCGAAGAGGCTCGACGGACGTTAGATTGGTAACCACCCCCTTTGGGAGTTCCCGCTTGACCGCTGCTCCAGGGCAAGGATCATCATCACTCTTGCTGATGCCTGTGCCTTTGGTCGCACTTGTGCCGCTTGGACTACTGCTAGGCTCCTGATCCATCCATCCTTTCTGGCCTCCCTGATGGCATGCCGCCGCATTCCCGGGGCCAATAAGAGCCGCCCCCCCCCCCATCAGCCGTAATCCACTTTTCCCTTCTTTCGCCCCCGGAATCCCTCCCAAAGCTTAGGATAACACAACAGAGCCGCATCATCAGTCCAAGTTAAATCATGGGAGCTGGTCAACAGCTCCGGCCCCGACAGGTCCATGTGTCCATTGCATCATTGCAGGGCTGTTTGTTGTCGCAAACCTGTGTTGTCCAATAAACTTTAATCATACGACCGTGGATTGGTCCACACTGCCTATACTACAATTTTCTGTCTGTCCCTACCAACCGTGAATTCGGATACTATCATTCACTTGTGGGCACGGATTCATTTGCATCAGTCGATAACACACACGAGGCTGTTATACTATTATAATTGTCCCCTCACGCCCCAATCCTCTCCTTCCGATGGTATAACCTCGGTGTGGTGGTCGTGTTCGCATTCTTTGCCCGTATATGGTTCCCGGCCCGCGGGTCAGCATGGTCGTCTCAGCAATGGCCAAGAATTTGGACTGCATCCCATACGATGTATTCTACCAAGTGGCTTCCACCCTTGATTGTCAGGATCTCATCCATCTCAGTCGCGTCAACCGAACGTTGAACCACTTGATTCAAAATGAGTCGATCGCTCGCAAGGCCATTCAAGTAATGAATCCGTTCTCCTTGTGACGTATCGTGCTGATGCTGACACTCCTAGAACGATCTCCTACACACCAAGGAAGGGCAACAAGCAAGCCGGGCCAAGACTGGATACCGCCGGGCTCTCGGGCGCTTGTTCGACATCAAGGAATCCTTCGCTACCGCTCAGCCGTACTCGGCTTCCATTCTAGCCTACGGGAGTTCCTTTCTCTACAGCGATGGCTGTCTCTGTTACATCTACAATGAGGAAATTCGCCTCTTGGATGTGCACGGGGCCAGTCAAGTGGAGCAGGTGCTGAACATTCAGAACGTGCTGTCCCGTGCGATCCCGGAGTGCAACCCACGGGAGGACACGATCCAGATCGGTCTCATGTACTACAGGGACGGGATTCTGGCATTCACCGTCGAGCTGGAGGATCGACCCGATGCCTGGCTGCTGGCCATGGACATGCGCCGCAAGGTGGAACACAAGAAGAGCGGCCGACTCCGTCTCTTGACCCGGCTCCGACACACACGACGGTTATTTGTCCGACATAATGGCTCCTATCTCTACTATGGGACGCACACTGCCATGGGCGATCGAGGCTATCCGCAATGGGCGATCAATTGCGTGGATCTGAGAACCGGCCAGCCCACCACGGACAAGCCCGTCGTGTTGGAAAACTTCGCCGGGTGTGAGATTGGCCAGACCGTGTGTTTTGACATCCACCAGGATCACCTCTATGCCGTATCCACGCTGGTGGACTTCGAAGCGGAGGAAGTGGATTGGACCTCGTACTATGTCTGGCTGTGTCTCTCCCCCCAGGCCAAGGACCAAAGGCGACATATCATGCCCAACCGCACTTGGCGGCGTCAGCATCGCGAAGGCCCGATCAACGACACCTGGTCGGATCTCACCCTGCGCCACGATGAGGCCACCAAGCGCCTGATGATCCTCGAATGTCGCCGGGAATGGCGCGATGGCGGCAGTGAAAATGCACGCACGTATTACATGCAGCCCTTGCCGTCGCCGGCTGAACTCGCTCAGCAGAAGCCGCCAGGACCGGGTCCAGCGTCCACCGTCACGCCCGTGGCCCTCCCCGACGAACCCCTGACCCGAACCCTTGACTCCACCAACAAACCCAACTACGAGCCCCCGCGCAAGCGTCTGCGCCGACACTTCCACCCGGAATACGCGCAGGGCGTGGAGCCGGCCCAACGACGTGACTACATCCTCGCCAAAACCCAGTTCCGCAGCTACAACCTCTCCGCCTCGACCTTTGTCGATCTCGTCAACGACCCCTCCCCGGAGCGGCCCGGCAGCTTCATCTCCCACGACCGCCTCCGGGTCCGCGTCGTGTCGCGCAAACGCAAATGCCCCATTGACGAGGCCGGAGACGAAGGCGAGCCCGGCTTGCTCTTCCGCCCGGAACTCAACGACGCCGACGGCCAACCCATCGAGCACAGCGAAGAGCGCTACGCCTCCCGCGGGGTCAGTCTGTGGCCACCGGACGACGCCCCCCGGGAACTGACTCAGCTGCTCTGTCCCTCCAAGCGGTGTGGCTCCGTGCAGGCGGCCGCCGACGAACGGTCCCTCGTGTACTCAGTCGACCAGGACGGGCTGGAAGGAACGGGACACCAAGCGATCGTGCTGATCAATTTCGACCCGTCGCTGCGCCTGCCCGGCTTACAGAGGATGGACCTCACCCGCAGTGGAGCAGCGCCAACGGACGAATGCCACGGCCCCGTAGCCATGGAGAGACCGCGGATCGGAGCCCTCGGAGACGAACGGGTCGGTGTGCACACGAGCCTGAGCCGTCGTCGCGCGAACCAACCAATGCCATCTGTCCGCGAGGAGAGGGCCCTGTATCTGTCGATTCGCCGAGGGTATTGGCTTCGGTAATGCACTGCCTACGAGGCTGTGCTGGGCCGGTGAATTCGTGGATGTTCTGAGACAGGTCTCAACATACGATAATATCCTAGAATAGATGACCTAATGAAACACTACATTACTCTGATTCTTGTGGATATTGTTGTATTGTGGTGTCGGGTGATCGGACCGTAAGCTGACAGGGTACGGGCTGACGCTTACGCAGGGCGGTTAAAATCCACTTGAGATCGGCGTAGATTGGCTAGCTCGTCTAGAGCGAGTTTGAGCTACGAGAACTACTACTAGTCTACTACTAAGATTGCCTAACAGTAACGGCCCCAAGTTTACCAGATAGGTACTCCGTAGAGAAGCAGTCTAACCGCCATTCTTACTCCGTCTCCGTCATGTCCTGATGCGAGCAAATGAAACCATCGCAGCGAACATATACTCCGTCGCCCCGTGTCATATCGACCACCCACCCTATCCAACAACAGCGCGATACATAAATGGATAGATTGAGCATCATCATGGAAAGTATGATCACCGCACGCTCAGCCTTGAAATAAGGACTTTAAAATTTTCGCTCTGTCGATAACAACACAATGCATGAACGAAACATCGTTTCGCCCTTCCTCAACCTCCTCTTTTTGTTCAAGTACAGTTCTTTTTTCTTATTGTCTCATTGTTTATGCATCTTAGATTATTCGACATAAGCATGATTATATAGTATCCAATCCATGGACCTAGATCAGGTATACACATACACCTATACATACTATGTATATAACCCCCAAATTACCTCCCCCAATACCTGTACTGCCTTGCACCTCTACCCGTACCCGTACCAACTATAAGCCTTAGTAACACAACCCCCCCCCCCCCCCCCAAAAGATATTAACAGCACGAACGAACCCCTCATACAAACCAAGTGACTCCCACCTGCCGTACCACAGCTTCTTACCGGCCTGGCATTCCTGCAGTGTTACTTCCTCCTGACCCCTGATTTTGTGTAAGGGGTGGGGGTTAGGTTCTGGGGTATGACGGCAGTAGGAGAGAGATGCCTTTGGTTCGTTGTTCGGAGTATTTGCGACTTATCTGGTATGAGGTAGGGAGTGATGGATGGGAAGATTCAAAATACTATAAATGTTGATGGTGATTATATTGGCCTAAGCATGATGGTCTATAGGTAGATGGAAAGAGATACAAGCGACTGGGATGGTCTGGACAGTTCTCGGAGATGGATATATGCTAAGAAGAGGGGAGGGGGAAGGGGGGTTATCTATTGGATCTAATCAGCCACTGGCGGTCAGGTCAGACTTTGAGATCATCGCTACCATGAATGGATATAAGCTGCCAGCTTGGTAATAAAGTGTTTATGGTTTTAGTTAATTCCAAATAAGACAAGCGTTGTCCCTGATTAAACGAGAGTAGAGGTAAGAGCCAGAGTTTAAAAATCAGTATTATAGGAGGGTCAGGGCTGCCTAGCTGTATTTACTCCGCTGTCCTTCCACCGTTCTATTGGTAAATGTTCACTGGGCGATCTGCATCTTGATATGGCTGATCTAGAGCTTGCTCTTAAATTAACTATGTAGTTTTGAACTTGTTAAGGATCTGTGGCATGGCACTACGCAGGATAAGCTCAGAAGTAGGTTACTAGTCTGTCAGTGTAAGGATTATTTTCAGTCCTAGCATGAGCGATATACCCTAATATCAGATTCGTGGAATCTATTAAATATAAAGCCCAGAATATCATGTCTTCCAAGGCCAACTACGGGAAGTAGCTAGAAAAGAAAAGAAAAGAAAACGAGAGAAAAGAAGAGACGAGAGAACGCTTCTAATATCTAATTGTATACACACTGTACACCATTCATCTCCGCCATATCTCCAACCACAACACTAACAGAAATCAACTCCTATCCTACCATGTATCCAGGAACATAGTGAAAAGGGTCCAGATCCCCTATATCAGTAATACACTTTGAAATCACATGATCACAAAGAACCGCTCTTGTATAACCCCTTGATCAACTTCCACGCTTATTGCCATGTTGACTAGCCGGATGCCACCTTGCACGGAATCTGATGGAACGGAGATTCATAGAGATAACGATGGACCTACATAGGCGACTATGGATTAACTAGGAAGTAGGTGTACAGCATGGAGAAAGCTAGGTTCTAGACTCAACTGGGGCAGACAGTCTACATAATTCGTAGATATGACCTCGTAGTGCAGAATAATGAGAATGGCTGTTCAAAAAAAAAAAAAAAGGGGGGGGGTGGCGGGGTGATCCTATGTTCCCGCGGTATTGGACGATGTGCCTTTTCAGTCTTTGTTGTTCTTTACCTACCAGTGTCAAACACACTCGGGTTGGTTTGATATCAGGCCAGATGGATGGCACCAAACCTAAATACAGACTGTTTCAGACATATCACAATTCAAAAATGCAACGCACGATCAAAAAACTCGCCGATTCCCCGGTCCATCGATGTCGTCGATGAATCCGATGCGAGTACTCCGTACAAAACTTCAAGCAACGATGTCAAGTCTGAGATGCTCCCCTGGTTAATTATAGGTTCGTCAGCCTAGCTGCGAAGCTCTCGTCTGGTCGCATTATTCCTAAGCGCTGTGTGGAATGTTTCACAACTTTGATTCGAGACCTGTCGAGTCCAGGCTCTCGATACCACCCATGTCCAGGCAGGTACCAAGGCTGTGATTAAAAGTATTGGGGATTATGCTATCATCATCAAGGCGGTTGCGATCCATCTTTGGGGAGGCTTCCGGTAATGTGGTGGTACCAGCGTAAGCCACTTGACAGGTAAGATGTACGTTGAAGATGTGATCCCCACCAGGATATTCGTAACCTGATGCATCCATCACCAGCTGACGTCTCTGGTTGGTTAGGATGTGGCTGTGTCACATGGCACCTTGCTTTGATGCAACATCGAATGTCTGAATCAGACGCGCTGCCCAGCCAGTAACAAAGTACGTGATCCGGAAGAGATTTCCTTGAAAGCCTGGGTGGAATGAAAAGCAGGGTTACGTTCGGGCCCGTGGTGAGACGCCTGTTTAACGTCCAAAGTACCAATTTGACGGCAGTGATGGTGTACACCCTCATCCTTGGAGACTGGATGAATGATGAGCAGTGCGTGGTACAATGATACAGTCACCGTACGGTCTCAGAGACCGGGAGTGTTAAGTTTTATCCAGACTCTATTGTGCTAGGAACTTTTCATTTGTCCCAGCGCAAGAGGCACCACTTGCGGACAGGTTTGTCCCGTATATCCGTGACATCCAATATAAAAGATTATACTGCCAAGGAGGCAGGGACCTCATCTAGCTCCTCCAAATATGAAATGTGAACCTCGCTAATTGATACTAGCACAGAAAGGCCTCGTCCCAAACATAAGATAAATTTCGAGTATTCGCGCGAAAAATAAAGTCCATACTTTGGTATATCTAGAAGCCCAACGGGTGAACCAATGAAATGGGAAATTGATTCCCGCTTCGCTCACAACTGCTGCGCAAACGCTATCGATCAGTAACTCCACTCTTGAAGAATGGAAGAGGAACAGAGACAAGATTTTGGCCCTGAAATTTGGTTGGGGGGGAGGATAGCTGCGATGCATAGCCTGCTTTCCGAACCTTGCAGTTCAGCCTCGAACTTAAACGCGTGGAGTGAGTAAGTAAGCACTCGGACAGCCATTCGATATGGATCACATCATCCCTCCTTCGAAGTAAACAGGTCTAGTCAATGTCATTTTGTGTCTTAGCTAACTGATTTTTCGAGGAGCCAATTCCATTGGTGGGCTGTACTCCGTAATCAAGCATAAACAGCATACCTACATGCTCGGTTACTCCGATCATCCCGGATACCCCCGCTTCCGCCCCATATCAAGACGCGGTAGCACATTCCGACTCGCACTCTCGTATAAGTGAAACGAACGAGATCACATAACCTTCCACAATAAACAGAAGAATAATAATGGCAAGGTGGCCGAGTGGTCTAAGGCGCTGGTTTTAGGCGCTATAAGATTCGCAAATCGAGTACTTATAAACCCGAAACACCAGTTCGAAAGAGCATGGGTTCGAATCCCATCCTTGTCAGAGACTTTTGATCTTGTTTTTGTGCCATCGTATACCCTGTCTATATCAACTTTATCATCGGTTAGGATCGCCTCTTTTAGGTGTTCTCATTGGTTGGTGTGCTCACCGCCTACGGGTGAGCTGCCATCTCGTACCCCAGCACTTTGAGACATACTAGCTCTGGGTAAGTAAGCCTTACGCTTTTTTTCTTAGAACTTGAAGGTATGTGGCAATTTACATCTTCGTTGATTATTGATATCAAGGATGTATGTATGTAGACTATATCCATAGCAGCGAGCAAGACGCTGATCATCGAAGATACAACCCATAAGATAAGATAAGGGCTTGGTGGAATGTCGGGGTCTGTACTCCGTAGCTAGTTCGAAGGTCTTTCTTTGGTGGAGAGGCATTGGATCTATTCCGGTAGTGTTGTTAGCACATGACATGGAAGAATCCCATTATTCTGGATATATGTACTACTGCAAAGTGGAGTCATCCTCGAAAATACCCCTCCGAGAGAATCAGAGCTTGGTGGATTTCTTTATCCGGAGTATCCGTATCCGTATCTCATAAAGCAATCCTGAAAACTTCTAGCAGTCGAGAACTGGCTTATAAAGCAAAGTAAAATGAAATAGATATCAATGGCCTGCTGGCCCAATGGTAAGGCGCTTGACTACGGATCAAGAGATTGCAGGTTCGAGTCCTGCGTAGGTCATTTTTATCCCTTCTTTTTTCTTTTTTTATTCTGAGGTTTGTATCTGTGATTTTTTTGTCTAGGATAGAAGAAGGCAGGTAGGTACTCTTTGCATCTGATCGGTCTTTTAGACGTGGCTGTATTTGGTGGGTGGAGTTTACTCGAATGAAGATATTCTGGTATCAGTCAGGCCCTATATCATATCTACGGCTGTTTAGTATCTTCAACCAAGTAGATCCCACGGTGAACCATCTAGACATCTAAGATAACTACCAAACTCCTAAATAAAATGAGCAGTAATTATAGACCTACCCCCGATCCTTCCCCACCGACACCAACAAGATCTCCATATCCTGCTCCCCAGCCACATCCCCCTTGCCACCCACACGAACATCCCCACCATCAAGCACACCCCGCCTCTTCAAAGCAAAGATAGTTTCTCTCACATGTCTCACAAACCTCGGCAACAGCGGAAAACACCCCACCATAATCCCGAACCCCATTTCGCCCATCATCCACAACACGCAGAAATACTCGTAGTAGGATTTATTCGCGCTGACCAGGACCCAGATGGAGTGGATGAGGCGGAGGATGGAGGCCGCGCAGGCTCTGGATTCAGTGTTAATATCCGTTCTTATTTATCAAATATGCGGTATAGGAGGGAGGGGGGAGGGGATACAATAATCCTAGAGAGAATAACCCCGACACGGCGAGTTTCTTCCTCAAATTCATCTGCAGTCCCCAAATGCGGATCTGCGGGAGCGTGAAGATGATCAAGTCCGAGGTGGTGTTGATAGCCCCCGCCACAAGATCGATAACTTCGGTGTTGAGACAGACGCCGTGCGGGATGAGAATGTCCCAGCTTTTCGAGACGGGGTGGCAGGAGAAGAGTTGCAGGATGATGAAGAGGAGGTAGAAGGTGCTGTTGGTCCAGATGATGAGGTGGCAGGCTTTGTAGAGGGTGGTTTTTTGGTGCAGCGGGGTGAAGAGTTCGAGGATGTTGAGGAGGAGGGAGAGTTTGATGAAGAGCATGCTGATGCCGTAGAGGGCGTGGGCGAGGTAGAAGTACTGGATGTGTTAGGGGATGTGGGAGATGGGGTTGGGAGGGGGTATACGAAGAGGAGGGTGATGTAGTCCTGGTTGCGGAGATTCCATTGATCGACGAGTGGGGCGATGCTGCCAGCGAGCCAGGCGCTGATTAGGTAGGCGATGAAGGAGGCCTGTGAAAATTAGGGTTGTAATTTATGATTTGGCCTGAGATTGAGTATACCCAGCTGAGCAGGAGGGAATCTGCTCGGGTTAGAAGTGTATCATTGCATGTGGATGCACTTACAATCTACTAGTTTCATCCGATGGAGGAGAACTACCCGCGTGTACAGTCGAATCGTCAGGGCCAATGAGGTCAGAATCCCCAGGAACAGGATCACAAAGATAGACACGGCCCGTTGGTTAGGGGGATTGATCAGGTTGGATTCGACCCCTGGTGGGGGAGTCGCGGCTGGACTCTGAAGAAGCGCCGCATGCTGGGCGGGTGAGATGGACTCCATTGCTGATAACAGAGGGACGGACAACTTTACATCCAAGGTTTCTGAACTGAAAGTATGCAAGGAAAGAGGTCGTCCGCATATCTGTCGCTGGCATCGTCGCTGGCACTGACGGCTCGGAGCATTCTGGCATGAGCGTATGCAGGAGGTAAGCACTATTCTGTAAGTAGTCATGCAGAGTGCTGACGGTCTCAATTGACCCTGCAGCTGCATGTCGTAGTGACTATTACCCGGTTGGTATCTGATGTCTTTCAACAGTAAGCTTAGAAGTTAGGCCTGGCCAATTGGTTACACTGCAGGAGCAAGTATAGCTCGATCACGTCAGACTTTTTGCATGCACATTCATAATCATCATGGATGAGTCGTCACCAGATTTATCCGTAACAACCAGGATAGACTTCGTGTCCTGATCATTTTTGGCCCCTGCCGATGTCATGCTTTAGAGCCTGAAATCCAAGGGTGGTGAAATCCGGGCGGTGGCTTGTTTGGGGGCCAGTTGGTGACTGTAATCAAGGGAGGGGCGAAAATCGGGGCCGTCTCAAGATAAGAATTCCAGATCAAGGCCCGGAGCTGTCGATCCATCTATAGTCCAAGGAACAATCAACGCCCCTCTACATAGTACGAATTTACATAGTACCCTAGTAGACTTCAAGCCTCAACCTTATCCAAGCTACATCCCCCAGCAAGCAAGACCAAGTTCAAATAAGCTTAAAAGCATTCATATGAAGTCATAACTCATCATCCCAACGGAATCCATCAGATCATATCGTACACTCCCCATCCCAACTTTAATACCGCTTATCCACATCGGCCTCCACACCCCTCTGCCGCACCTTTCCCTCATCATGCACATCCTTCCATCTCTTCTCCTCCTCCTCATCGCCCGTCGCCGCAGCCGCCACCTTGCCCACGTTACCCGCGACACGTCCCTTCACACCCTCACCCCAGTCCTTGACCTGGCCCTCCGCCTCGGCCTGCTTGCCCGCTGCGTTCTGGTCCTGGCCGGCCTTGCGCAGTCCTTCGTTTCCGATCAAATTGCCCAGAGACTCCTTCGCCGATCCGACGGTTTGGTCCCAGCTGCCGTTGTTGCGCTGCGGGTGGTCGCTCGCCGTGGTGCCCGTCGATGGGTCGGCCGCCACGGATCCGACCTTGGTGGTGCTGTGGCTGGCTTCGTGCTCGGCTTTGCCGTGGGACTGGGTGTCTTCGCCGAGGGCCTAGCAAGGTTAGTTGGGGTTGGATGGAAATATGGTATGGGTAGGATGTACCTGAATGGAGGAGTCACCGGTGAGAGAGCCAACAGCGCGTTGAGCGACGCCTGTGGCTTGGTCGAGGTAGGATTTGAGGGTGGAGGTGTTGGTGGAGGTGGTGTTGTTGGTGGAGTCGTTAGAAGACATGGTGGTGGTGATGCTTAGGTTATAAGTAGAGTAGTTGAGTTGTAATAAAAGATCAGGTGTCTGGATGCTTGTATTTGTGTTTGTGTTGATGGATGGTTGAGGGAGATTTATAGAGACATCCAAGTCATGACGTCAGCGCACGGCATCCGGTACGACGTCATTCCCCAGGCACCAACCGGACCCAACGCAACGCCAGGAACACATTAATGACGTCCAATTCATTCATTCATCAGTCTCGTCATAACAATCGCTCTATGTACAGAGATCATCCCGCATCCTCGTCATCCATGCTATCTGAATTACGATCCGCTCAAAGTATATGCAATGCTACCAATGACAGATCCCCCCCTCACTGTCGTCCGCTGCCCACGTCCCCGACAGTCCCACCACCTGCAAATGACCGTCGTGGTCCTCGTCTACCTTGCTCAGCGCCGCAAAGCTCGACTCCGATGGTCCCGTGCTCAATAGCCGTCGGGCCCAGGCGTCGATGGCCGGCTCGCCCGTCTCGTCCCGCGCTTGTTTCAGGAACGGAATCAGGGCGGTTCCACCCGTGCCCCGTAGTTTTTTGCTGTCGGGCTTCTCGCCATGTCGGGCCGTCGCCAGGTTGATGGATTGTTTGGGGTTGGTGGCTCGGGCGGGGCGACTCGCACGGGCGTCCCGGGACTGGATGATGATGTAGCGTGATACAATCTGAATGTGCTTGTCCCGCATCGCCCGCAGCATCGACAGACACGCATCGTATGCAATGCACAGGGCCTTGTCCGAGCGTCGTGCTTCGACGTACGCTCGGATGTTGGCCACGGCGTTGACATGTTCCAGGAAGCGCCGGTGCGCCGCCGGCATGTATGAGCGCATCTCCTGGATGAAGCCGTGGCGGGGCGCCCCGGCCACACCCTCCTTCTCGTCCTTCAACGGGGTACTGCTCGGACGCATTTCGCCCGTCGGACGGTGCTCGATGCCCAGGGCGATGTCGAAGAACTGAATCAAAGAGCTCTGGGCATTGCTGCCGCCGCCGTACTGACGGTACGCCGGCTCACCGCTTCCGTCGTCGTACAACAGACCGTGCGGGAGACCGGCATCCGCCATGTTCTTGCTCCCCGCCAGGTAGGGCCGGATGCGGTGGTAGAACACGTACGGGTCGCAATGCTCGTACATGCGCTCCAGCAGCGCCCCCACCTCGTCCAGCACCTCCGCGAGTCGCTGCAGGCACTCGGTGACAACCAGACTATTTCCAGCCCGCGCTGCCGCGATGGCCTGCAGCACTAGCGGGATCGACGGGGCCCCACGAGCCTCGATGGCCACAGAGACCAAATAGAACCACTTCTCATCCAGTGACCCCGTGAAGGTGTTGACGCTGTCGAGGTTCCGCAGATCATCGATCGGCTCGTCGGGGAAAATAGGCTTGTAGTTCCACAAACACACCCCTGCATAGGTGGCCACGGGTGGCAAACCCAGGTGCTCGCAGACGTCGAATAAGGGGACGGTCAGCTGGGGCGGGATTTTCTGTCCACCAGGATTAGCTCAGGAACCACCAGTCGATGCCGTGTCACCTACCTCGGCCGGCCTGCTTCCACCCCAGACATACCCATGTAGCATAAAGACCAGTACGACGTATGCCCGCCGCCACTCCCCCTCGGACTGAAGATACGATGTAGACAGTATAGACATATGATCGACCACCTCCCGGATCCTCCGGCTCGTTAGGAGAGCCTGCAGGTTGGAAACGACCCACTCCCACTTGGCGTAATAAGGGTCTGGCAAGACCTCCAAGGGAGGCTCCGGCGGGAGGAAGCCGTGATCCGGCGAGATGCCATAGTCCGCCAAGGCTGGAATGGGAGGAAGCATGGTGGCAGGAAGCGGGTCAAGACAGAATATACGACAGGAAATACAATGCAGACTCGATGGCAACGCCCAGAGAGCCCGCGACGCCGCCTGATATAATGCAATAGATGCTCACGTGCGCAGTGGTGGCTTGTCAAGGCAATCGTCTAAGGTTTGCTGATTGTCCGGAACCTGACGTTGAGCAGAATTATGAAAGCGTTGGGGGACAGGAAGGAACCCAGTGCCGGAGGGTATGTACGGACAATCTTTGGGGAAACAACGGTCGTGTGACAGTCAGACTCCGGCAAAGCAGGCGAGATGTCAATTGACCAAGTAAAAAGCTAACCAGATCGGACACAAACGAAAGCAGGTGTCGTGTCGGCCCTGTTATGGACGCCTTCGAGCTGCGAGAGGGGCAAGAAAACCAGACTCCACCTGCTCTGGCCCAGGTCGCAGCAAGAAGGGCAGGCAATGGGAGGCGTGCCAGAGAGAATGGCGAAGATCACGGGACCGAAGGGTCGGATCTGAGCACAAAGAGAGGGCGAAAGGAGGGGGAAAAGGAAGAAGAAACGGACGGGAAAATTTCCTCCCAGCTAGTCCATCGTACAATGGCATTTGCCCGAAGTTAAATAATCCGACCCATTTGAACCTCGACTTTTCCAGGACAGCCGCAGGAACCGAATAGCCGGGCGAGGGAATTAATCAGCCTGACCCAGGGCCGTTGCCCGCAGTAACTAACTAATGGCGATTGTGTCATCCGGAAACCGTCGTCCGCGAAACAGGGGTAACAGCGGCGGTGTTGGTGGTAGTATATTCTGTACCCATGGGGAGAGGGTAGGACAGTTGACTAGTCCGTGGATGGCCAGCGACCAAGAGTCAAGTGGGCCGAACCAAGCCAGGCCAGACGGGAGCAGAGGCGAACTTTGCCCCTGGGGTGAGGGTGGCCAGCATGGTACGGGTGAAAGATGTGCACATGGTTGGAAAGTGGATGGTGGTATGGTCGATATCAGATCGATCTAGAGATAAAGTATGGACGAAGCTGTCGAGGTTGCATGGCCAGCTGGGTGTTCTGCCGGGCTGGAGTAGGTGAGGTTCTGAACGGCGCCAGCGGGAGGACTGGGTGTCAGCGAAAGGGGTGTCCACTGGATTCCAGTAGGCTGAGTGCTAGAGAATGAACCGGGAGCGTGTGGGAGGGGGCGCCGAGTGCGAAATCGGGCGCTTAAGCGAGACGGGGGGCGTGTTCGCTCCCACCCACGCCACCCCGTTCGGGTCTGCGGTGAAAGTGACCTGCCCGTGCGGAGGCCCCAGCTTATTTGGACGGCCGACCTCGCTGGTTGGCCTCTGCTGATCCACTCACGCTATCTTGAATGGCCACTCCTCGGCGCCGGACAATTCCCGTTTGGTTCACGTGATCCGAGGCCCCTGCTCCTAGATACTCCGGACCTGTTTACACTACTAGGAGTACGGAGTACACAGCACGAAGTAGTCAAATAGATGATCAATACCTGATCACCTGCACCTTGCCTGAACGGGAATGTCCCGTAGGAGTCAGCAGACTGAGAAGCTACGATCCCTTACAACCAGCACCCACGCGGCCTGGAAGAATTAGGCACTACAATCAATACATCAAGTCATTAATATCCATTGCTGTACAGACTGGACAGTTTCATCAATCCTATAATGTTACACACTATACGAACGCCATCCCGCCGCTGATATCGGAAAAAACATGATGCGCCTGGTATACGACCAATAACCGCCCCCGCAGTCATTCGAACACAAAGAAATTTAATGCTGGCTCCATTCGATCGAGTTCAGATCAATACCCTCCTGGACCATCTCCCACAGCGGGCTCAGCTCGCGCAGGAAGTCCACCCGCTCCCGCACCGCCTTGAGCACGTAGTCAATCTCGCTGTCGCTCGTGAAGCGGCCGATACCGAACCGGATACTGCTGTGTGCGCTCTCGTCGCTGCTGCCCAGCGCCCGCAGCACGTAGCTGGGTTCCAGCGAGGCCGAGGTGCAGGCACTGCCCGACGACAGGGCAATATCCTTGAGCGCCATCAGCAGCGACTCGCCTTCCACGTAGGCAAAGGAGATGTTGACGCAACCGGGGTAGTGGTGGTTGGGGTCGCCGTTCAGGACGGTGTGCTCCATCGACAAGAGTCCGTCGGTCAGGCGCTTGGACAATCTCGAAACATGCTTGGTGTCATACTGCGATGGTCAGCATTTGCCATGTCTTCCTTGCATTAGCGTAACAAAAGCACAACTCGACTCATCACCCCTGCTACGGTCGTCAAAGCGCCAAGGGGACACGCAGAGCGTGTCGCTACCCCCATGGCTTTTCAGGACAATCGATACATATTAAAGCTTATAATCATCGCTGGCATCCGCTGGAAACCCCTTAGGGGCAAAGAAAATCAACGTACCTCCATATCCTGGTATGCAATGCGGCAAGCCTCACCGAAGCCCACGACGAGGTGGGGGGCAATAGTGCCACTGCGGAGACCTCTCTCCTGGCCACCTCCGGAGATGATAGGCTCGAGACGGACCCTAGGACGACGGCGAACATAGCAAGCACCAATGCCCTTGGGGCCGTAGATTTTGTGGCTGGAAATCGACATCAAGTCGACGTTGAGCTTGTTGACGTCCAGGGGAATCTTGCCGACGGCTTGAGCACCGTCGGTGTGGAAGAAGATCTTCTTCGAGCGGCACAGCTTGCCGATTTCCGCCATGGGCTGGATGACACCAATTTCGTTGTTGACGGCCATGATACTGACGAGAGCGGTATCGGGACGAATGGCTGCCTCGAGGTCCTCCATCCGGATCAGGCCGTTGCTCTGCACGGGCAAGTATGTCACCTCGAATCCCTCATCTTGCAAATGCCTGCAGCTGTCCAATACACACTTGTGCTCGGTCTGGGTGGTGATGATGTGCTTCTTCTTGCCGGAGCGACCGAAGAACCGGGCCACACCCTTGATACTCATGTTGTTGCTCTCCGTGGCACCGCTGGTGAAGATGATCTCCTTAGGGTCGGCGCCGATCAGCTTGGCGATATGTTCTCTGGCTTGCTCGACCGCCTTCTCCGACTCCCAACCGTAGGCGTGGGTCCTGGAGTGGGGGTTTCCGTAGATGCCGGTAAGGAAGGGAAGCATGGCGTCAAGCACGCGGGGGTCTGTCGGAGTCGTTGCCTGCATATCGAGGTAAATCGGGCGGGTGCCTTGGTCCATAACGGTGGCCTGCTTCAGAATGCCGGCGGAAGGGCTCATCGAGGCGTCGCCGGAGATGCCGGAGCCAGGAAGCTCGACCTTCTGGGGTTGAATGCCGGTCTGGTTCACGAAGGCCTTCTGCTCCTGCTTGATGGCGGTTTCGACCGAGATCTGGGCGTTTCCTGCCTTGGTTTCGGAGACGTAAGACCGTCTGGGGATGGCACCGCCGGTGGCGAGCACCCGCCGGGGTAGGGAGGCCGTCAGGGCGCCGGGCTGAGTCGACAAGAGTCGATGGGCATAGGCCCGGGATGCCTGTCTCAAGGCAATAGGGGTCATACTGGGCATGATGAAGTTAACTCTGATACTGTACCATGCAGAATTGATGGACAGTGATGATGAGTGAGATGACAGCAGGAGGTTCGCGGTGGGAAAAAGTTTGGATCCGGTTATATCATTGCCGAGCCCGCTAGGCCCGATCGGATTTATCAGATAGTCCGGCAATTTCCCGTTTGGGTGGTTTCGGCTTTACTTGGTCGATCGTCGATAGGAATTGGCCGCTTTCCGCGGAGTTCTCATTGTACTCCGTAATGGCAGCAGCAGTAGTATCTACACCAGGTCTCTTGTGATATCCAGCGCAATACGAGTGTAGAGGCATATGTATGAACCAGAGAGGAGATGATGTACGATCGTTCACTCCGCCTCGCCATGAATTGAACACATTCTTACATGCATAGAAAGCGAAGGTTGTTGCCGGTCCAACATCATACTGGTGGGTTTCCCCGGATTCTCAGCAAGTCAGCCAGCCTTGTGTGTTGGCGCTGACGGCTGACAGACAACGGAGCGACGCTGCTCAGTGATCAGACGTGCCCAGTAGTGGCCTTGATTTGGCAGAACCGGACGGAAGATGAGGGAAATCGAGTCGAGGTCTGTGTTGACGATAGTGCCACTAGTGCAACCGGATACTCTGGTGCCTAACGCCAACCAGGGAGCTTCCGAGTCTCCGAGTCCGGCTGAATAATTGGCGATCAACCCAGTGAGCCATCTGGATCGACTCCTCAGGGGGGAAAGGTGCTGGTGCTGGGATGGAGATGGAGCTGGGTTGGAGCCTGGGGGTTCTTTACTCTTAAGAGTTCCGAGTTAATAATAGAGAGGTGGTCCATCAGGCATGAACCCACTGCAGCCTTACCAACTAGACTAGATAAACAGAGAGAGGGAATGTAAGCCAGGATGTCCGGAAGCCACGGCTCAGCCACGGCGGCTGCAGACATTATGTCATAGCTCAGCCACAACAAGTGGCAGTCTAACCGTCACCGGCACCAGTAGTCTTCTTGGCCGCGAACAAAAGGCACGCCCTCCCCACTTCTTGCCTACCACGAGATCCTCGTTCGATCCGCTTGGTTTTGCTCCATTTCGACTCCCTATCGCTGCCCTTTCGGTCTCTACCCCTTTGCACCCTCTCAGACCTTCGACCCTCCACCCCTCACCCAAACCGAATCCTTCCGCGGGTGTTGGGCAACCTGCGGCCAATCAGAGATGAGTTTGAAGGGCTTTCAGAAGAGCATTGTTCGCGCTCCCCAGCAGTTCAAGGCAAAATTCAACATCGGCGAGCATACCAAGGATCCTGTCTACCTAGATGCCGAGCGGCGGTTTCAGGAACTTGAGAAGGAGACCAAAAAGCTGCACGATGAGTCGAAGAAATATTTTGACGCCATCAACGGTACCGGCGGATCCCTTCTTTTGCCCCCCTCCTTATGCTGACCGACAGACAGGCATGTTGAACCACCAGATCGGATTCTCCAAGGCTATGACGGAACTCTACAAACCCATCTCCGGTCGCGCTTCCGACCCTAGCACGTATACGATCGAAGGCAACCCCGAGGGAATCAGGGCGTGTGAGGAATACGAGGCGATCGTGCGGGATCTCCAGGAATCGCTTGTGCCCGAGCTGGAGATGATCGACACCCGCGTCATCAGCCCTGCGCAACAACTGTTGGAGGTGATCAAGGTGATCCGCAAAGTCGCGGTGAAGCGAGACCATAAGAAACTGGACTACGATCGCCACAGGAATTCGCTCAAGAAACTTCAAGACAAGAAGGACAAGTCGCTGAAGGATGAAAAGGCACTTTACAAGGCCGAGAACGATGTGGAACAAGCGACCCAAGAATACAACTACTACAACGACTTGCTCAAGGACGAGCTGCCCAAGCTGTTTGCTCTTGAAGCCGAATTCATCCGCCCGCTGTTCCAGTCTTTCTACTACATGCAGCTGAACGTCTTCTACACCCTGCACGAGAGAATGCAGGGCATCAACATCGGGTACTTCGATCTGACCTTGGATATTGAGGAAGCGTTCGAGAACAAGCGTGGAGATGTCAAGGAGCGTGCCGAGGAGCTCACCATCGTCCACTTCAAGGCCACGGGCGGTCGGAAACCCGGATCGAAGCTTGGCCCGAAGGACAAATTAGCACAGGAGGGCAAGGGTGGCTACGCATCGCGACAGCGCGATCCCGATGTTGTTGAGAACCCCCCGCCTCCATACTCGGCCAGCGCAGGCAGCAGCTTTAGTGCCGCCGCGAAGAGTAAGCCCGCGCCTCCGCCACCGAAACCTAAGCCATCCCGGTTCAGCGCTCCGGTGGAAACCGTCACAGCGCTGTACGACTACGAGGCGCAAGCACACGGTGATCTCAGCTTTTCCGCCGGAGAAGTCATAGAGATTGTGCATCGGACGGACAACCAGAACGAGTGGTGGTCTGGCCGGGTGGACGGACGAGAGGGACAGTTTCCAGGTAATTACCTCCTCTAGCATGTTTTATCTCTTTGGTTTTGCTAACTCGAGTAGCCAACTACGTCCAGCTGAACTAGCATTCTGCTATCGCTATATATTATTCTTAATTCTGCTGTCCAAGTCATACTGGTTACTGGAGTTGCGGGTGCACATGACCAGTGGATGTCCTTATTCTTGCGATAGAGCGTGCATGATGATGACCTTCGCTGTACATATTGAATATCATCTTTACTCGATTAATTCTCACGTAACCCTACCGATAGACGTCATCGTCCGATAGCTTATCGGAAAGCAGCTAAGCACTAGTCTAGCAATATCGGTATGACCAGTAAGATAACTCATCTAGATCTAGGCAACCTTACAGCTGCGTTATTGTACTCTATTACTCTATCTTATATTAACAAGTCCAACCCACACCCTCATACCCCAAAAACCACAATCACACCCTAATGCCCCTACCCCAATCCATATCCACCCCGCCTCCCTACAACCAACAACACCATCCTCCGCACCTCCGACCCCTGCATCCCTCCCTCGTCTCTATCGGCAGTGGTATTCAATGGCACACAAAACCATTCACAGACCGTCTCATTGGACCACCGAAACCCTCCAGGAGAGTCTACCACCATCCTCTTCGATACCTCTACTAGTGACACAGCGATTCACCCTTCTACATCTTTATCATCGGAACTAAACTCCCAGCCACACCCCGTCCAGAGGCCTTGTACGTAAATGCTGACCACTCTAGTAGATGGAACTCTCCTCCATGTTGGCTTCGCCGATGTATATGAGAACTGGATGTCTCTTCTCGGGAATCTTACGCAGGAGGGCATGGCATCCGGGGTTGTGTGTATCGAGGTTCTAACTCTCAGTAGATGGGAAATTTTGCCCTTGTTGGTGGATTATGGTGTTAGTAGATACTTTTAGTGTACAATGGCAATAGTATTCACTTGGGATGAATGTGTTATCTGTGGAAGGGGAATAGTTAGTTAGCTTGACTGTTACTGTTTCCAAGGTATTCAAGAAGAAAAACGATGGCCGAGGACGATTCAAGATAAGATGGATGATTCTCACTTGATTTTACTTTATTGTTCTGGTTACTAATATTTCTCAAATTACAATCTTAAGATTATGTATGGGTATGTCGTAGTGTAACCCACCTTGATGGCCATAATAGAGATGCATCTCTGGGTACACAATAGAATAGACCCCGTCCTAGTATAGACTATCATATTACTGAATTTCCTAAAGAACACTGAGCAATCCCAATATCAACCTAACAAAACAGATTCTCAACAACAAAGATATCCTCATCTTCACAATTGCCTATTAACTATAGCAACATACTGAAACATCCAAATATCCGCATTTCCCTAATCCAACCTAACTCGACACACGTCCCACATCAACAATCAGCAATTAAGCTACGAACACCAGACCCTGTTTCATCCCACCCACTTCAACCCACTATCTTAATCATCACTTGAAACGCACATCATCCATGGTTCATCTTCCCAGAACCCTGTTGCTAAGTATAGCCATACCGCCTCAATATTGAGACCACCCAGAACCCAACCCCAACCACAAAACCAGCATCCTCAAAAAAGGCTCCCAACCCAATCCTTAATCCAATTAAAAGTACTTTAAAACACGGGTAATTTCCCATGGTCTATCATCATCCCTCTAATTAACCTAGCATCTCAAATCCGCACATCAAACGTGAAAACTCAACACTGCTGATTCTCAAACGACAGCGTAAAGCCAAAGCATAACAAACTCCTCACACACGGAGTATCAATGTAGCATGGAATAGGCCAATCTCCCATTATCCCAATCCGGATACATCCCCGACCACATGCAACCTCATCCCGTCCTACAGACCCTACACCACATGTATCTGCCCACACGGTAGGATAAATCACATGTAGAGAAGCTTCAGTTCGGTCCGAGGAATTGCAGCTCTCTTCGTAGTTCGTATCCCTCACGGGACAAAATGTACTTGTTCCTGTGGTGGCTCGCTAGGGATCGACAGCCCTAAGATGCGGGGGTCGATACCAGTGCTTAGGGTAGGTTATTCGGCTCGCTCACATGGATGGCAACATCCTCGGTGGATCAGAGGGGTCTAGATAGGGTGTCATAGACCGGTTCCGATTGTGGAATAATGGGCAAAGTTGGGGTGTGGATACTACCGTATTGCCAGTTAATCTAGACCTATAAACAGAAAGCAAGCCCAGGATATACTAACATCATTACCATCACCATCCAACCCAACCAAGAACAAAATGCACCTCAAACACCTCCTCCTCTTCACCCCTCTCTACCTCCCCTTCACCCTAGCAACAACAACAACCCCCAACACCATCGCCCCCCGCGCCCCCCAATCCACCAGCGGAAGCCTCCTCGACGACCTCCCCACCATCGTCGACGGGATCAAAGAGCTCCTCAGCACCGACACCGTCAACAAACTCGAAACGATCGTCAACGGCGGCGCGACGCTTCTGGGCGGCGACACGCCGAAGAATCTGCAAAAGTTGTTGTCCGGTGATAATATCGACAAGTTGCAGAGTATTATTGATAATGCGAATACGTTGCTCTCGGGCACGTTTGTGAATCAAACGGGGGAGTTGATTGGGGAGGCGGCGCCGGTGAGATACCTTTCAGATAGGTAGTTTTGTGATGGGCTAACTGGTGGTGTGTAGCTGGTTTCGGATTTTTCGGCGATTTTGACGGCGGTGTTGAAGACGGCATGATTATTAGTAGTCGGGTTGGTTGGGGGGGATTGTATATAGAATAGATAATATTATGCTTGCTTTGCTTGATTCGAACTGCTCAACAGTATCTGATAAATAGGGATTATACTCTAAACAAGATAAAGCCAATCAACCACACGCTCTGAATATCCAACCTAAAACATAAAGTCAAGAGTATCTAAACTAAGCACCTAATCTCCCCCTCAACTCCCCCAAATAAAACCTCAACGGATACCCCTTCCACTTCTCGGGCAAGGCCGGATACACCGCGACCGAGAACCCCATGGTACTGCGATACAACCCCCTCGTGGTAGCCGACGACTTCAACCCATACGCCTCCCGAATGCTCGGCGGCAACATCTCAATCGTAATCACCCTCAACAGGGGCTTCACGGCCATAACCCACCCCGGCAAATCACTCTTCTCGAGGAGATCCTTGGCGAAGCGATGCGCCTCCGCACTCACGCTTAACCGCTCGATCTGCTCATCCCAGTACGTCCAGAAGACTTGGCGGGTCGCGGGCCAGACGTCCTTGGCGATGCCCAGGCAGGATAAGATGGTGGTGAATTCGAGGTAGGCGCGTTCGGCGGTGCGGTAGTCGACCTGGCCGTAGATGCGTTGGTAGAAGTCTGTGGCGGTGGCGTAGAGGGTTGCGGTCATCCAGAGTTGGGTGGAGGGGTCGGTGGGGAGTCTGTTAGGGTATGGGGGGGTGTCTTTTTGGAGGAGCGTCAGGAGATGTTTCTTTTCAGTAGGGGTGCCGAAGACCAGGCAGGCGATGTAGCTGAGGGCGGTTTGGAGGGTGTTGCTGAGGGTCGTGGCTAGGTTGCTGCTGCTGCTGCTGCTGCTGCTGCTGCTGCTGGAGGTGGAGGTTCGGGTGAGTTCGTCGAATGCGTTGCGGATGTTGGGGTGGGCGGCTTGGAGGAGGAGGGCCGCGCCGGAGCCGGCGAAGAGAATGCCCTCTTGCAGGATTTGAGGGAGGATTTCGAGCTTCTCGAGGGCTTCCAGGTGGTTGGTGGTGTGGGTGTAGGTGGCTTCGGAGGAGACGGGCGAGATGCCGTCTGCGGGGGTTTTTTCGTTCATTTGGATGCTTTGGATGATAGTTGAGGGATGGTGGGATCTGAATAGCAGTTGCTTGGTGAGGTTGCTTGGTGTATAGCGAGTGTTGGTATAGATGTGTTGATATGGATGGATGCAGTATCAATTGGTCCTGATAAAGACAGGATGCGTGAATAAACACCCACTCAGTGCCATTCCTCATCAACCCGTTGATAGGCATAGTGGAGACCCCCGCATCTTCGGGCCAGGAGGCATGTCCCGTTTCAACCCAAAATCGAGCGTTGTCCTAAAGCGACCCATCCGAGCCCTCCCTTCAACCGCGGTTCTCAATAGTCGGGCGATCGTCGTCCCGCATGTGAACCCATCCATGGATCATCATTGGACTGTAATCTCCCCTCGCACTGATCGACAGTCTCGGGACGATCCTTGCGGAGCATGGCAGGGGCTGGGTTACATCCAGACGGCAAGTGTATACGAGCCTGCCCGTCACCCGGTTATATGTTTTCAGGCCCTAAGCCGCCACTCCAGTGTCCGACACCACCACATCATGGACGAGAAAACCTCCTATCTCAGCTCCAAAGAGGCCAAGTATGCCCTAGGTGTGCATCGAGGGCCTCTGCCCACCGAGGGCTACGCCATTGAGCATATCGAGACGGCCAATTCCATCTCGTTGGAGCCGGTGAAGCGCACGCGATCACAGAAATTGCGTCGCCATTGGGCGCGGTTCTGGTGTTGTTATGCGTTCTGGGGGATTATCGGGCTGGCTATCTTTCTTCCCATCTTGTATGTTCTTACAAAGAGGGCAATGAATCGTAACTGACCAGACAGTTTCCTGGTGATTATCCCCGCCATCGCCCAACGAGTCGTGGACGGGTCGACTCTCCTCCTCGTGCACGCCGACGTGCTCCAGCCCCGCCCTGATTCTATCATGCTCAGCATCAAATCGGCCCTGGATCTGCCCATTAACCTCCCCGTACGCATCGACCCTATCACCCTAAGTCTCTTCAACCGTGACCTCCCCGAGAACAACACCTGGGCGAAGCTGTACATGGACGGGGCCAAGATCAAAGGCAACTCGACGCTCCAGGTGGACAACCAGTACACTCCGCTGAATGTGTACCAATGGACGCAATATGTCCGGGGCACGGTATTTGAAGCACACGCCCCGTTGTCGGTGAAGGGATCCACGACGGCGTATATCGGGAAGTTGAAGTCACGGGTCACTCTGAACAAGGACATTCACCAGAACAGTACGCTCCCTCCCCCTTACCCACCCACCTATATATATATCAAAGCTAATTAAAATAGCCCTCAACTCCTTCGCCGGCTTCTCCATCTCCAACCCAAAACTTCTCCTCCCTGCCGAATCCGATGGAACTAATCTCGTCGCCAACGCCACCCTTCCTAACCCATCGGTCATGACTCTTGAAATCGTACGTCCCCCCCTCCCCCACCTCAGCTACCTTACTCATACCAAACAGGGCACCACCACCCTCAACCTCCTCAGCGGCAACCTCATCCTCGGCAACGTCACCCTCGACAACCTAACCCTCACACCCGGGAACCACTCCACCCCCGTCCGAGGCATCTTCGATCTCGGCAAACTGATCGAAAACCTCGGCCCTATCCTCAAAGATCAAGCCGAGTCCCTGAAAGACGGGTATCTAAGTCTCACGACCGTCGGGACGGACGTGACCTACGAAGGCGTTCACGTACCCTACTACACGGAAGTCATGAAGAATCTGACCATGACGGCCAAGGTGCCTTTGGGACAATTGGTCATGAATACCCTGCGGGGGATCTTGCATCCGAATGGCACGAATCCGTTCAAGGGGTTGAATATGACGACGGTGGATGGGGGGACGTTTACGGTGGGGGAGGATGAGGGGGAGAGTGATAGTGAAGCAAGTGGGGGGTTGTTGGGGAGACGGGCGGTGGAGATGTTGGGGGATGAGGAGAGGAGGGGGGAGGTGGTGGATGTTTTGAGGGCGTTAGTGAGGAGAGGAGGACTGGGGGATAAAATATGATGCTGGGGGGTTCACTGGAGTTGAGTAATGGTTTGTTTAATGGTACCTGAGCTGGACTGGGTAATGTTTTAATTGGTTGGGATGGGATTAATGGTGATATAGGGCTTATACCCTGGTGGTGAATGATACCCGTTATACTATCTGAAGGTTGTCATTGTAGATGAATCTATCTTACTCATACAACCCTAACTACGGAGTATACTCTCCCAGCTCATGCAGCATAATCACCCTTACATCCACACCAACCATCCCTGCAAGGGCCCTTTCAAAACCAGCCCATCAAACCCCAACGCCCCCATCCCATCTCCCCCCTCTTTCTCCCACTACCACACACCATGCCCCTAACCATCGCCATCATCGGCAGCGGCCTCGCCGGCTGCCTCGCCGCCCGCATCCTCCGCGAACAACACACAGTCACCATCTACGAGCGCGACCCCGCCAAAGCCGAAGCCGGGGCCGCCATCAACCTCGGCCCCAGCGCTGTCCACATCCTCGACAGCGTCGGGTTCGATCGTCGTCGCGCCCGCTCGATCCCGGTGACTCGGGTCCTATCGTACAGTAAATCCGGGAACGTCACTCAGGATGATAGCCTCGATTATGTGAAGGAGTTTGGGGCGGATTGGTTGTTTCATCATCGGGCGGATCTGCGGGATGAGTTGTTGCGGTTGGCGACGGGGGAGGCGGATGAGGTTGGAGTCAAAGGGGAGCCCGCGAAGGTGAGGTATGGGGCGAGGGTGGTGGATGGGGATGTCGAAGGGGGAAGGTTGATCTTGGAGGGCGGGGAGGTGGTCGAGGCGGATTTGGTTGTTGGTTTGTTTATCCCATTTATCCCATCCCATATACTCCCGTACATAATAGTAGTACCCTGGTGTATACTGACGATGTGAATAACAGCAGCAGACGGCATCCGGTCTACCCTCCGTCCCCTGGTTACCAACCCCTCCTATACAACCGCCCAACCCTCCGGTGTCTCTGCATTCCGCTTCACCATGTCCCGCGCTGATGTTCTTGCTCTCCACAATGGCAACGTCCCTGACGTCCTGGACCCAACCAAACCCGGCACCCTGATCGGCATCTACGCATTCGATCCCACCGAACGTCGCGTCATCCTGTACCCATGCCGGAACTACGAGATCTTGAACTTTGTCGCCCTTGTCCCAGACAACATGCTCAAGGAGCCCCCACCCTCAGACTCATGGTCCGCGCCGGGCGATAGAGAGGAACTCATTTCCCTCTTTGAGGATTTTCCCGACTGGGTGGTGAAATACTTCCGGTACACTTACCCACCTTTCCCCTCTCTTAATCCATACTTCAACTAAAGATACCATAACCTAATAGATCCGCCTCAAACATCAAACTCTGGCAACTCCGCCACCAAGCCCCCCTCCCCAGCTACATCCGGGGCCGAACGGTCCTCATCGGCGACGCCGCACACGCCATGACACCGCACCAAGGCCAAGGCGGAAACCAAGCCATCGAAGACGCCGAAGGGTTCCGCCTCTTCCTCGGTGATCATGTCACCCGAGACACTGTCCCCAAGATTCTAGAGGACTTCGATGCCGTGAGGAGACCCCGTGCGTCGCTGATTCAGAGGAATACATTGTTGGCGACGGCACGGTTCTCCGTCGAGGAGATTTATCGCTTTCGGTGGTTGAATTTTACGTATCCGGGGATTGTGGAGGGGGTGAGGAGGGTGAGGTGTGGGGAGGAGGTTGTGCAGGAGGGGGATGGGGTGGGGGGGACTAGTACTAGGGATGCGAAGTTGTAGATACCTAGGTTTTGGGGAACAGTGGATGGGGTTTGACAGGGAATTCTGGAGCAGGATTGTTATCTGCGGATATCAACTCCGGTTGTGTAGTGTAATGGTCATCACTCTGGATTCTGATTCCAGCAATCCCGGTTCGATCCCGGGCACGACCTTTTTGTTCCCCTTTTTTTTATCGGTCGGGGGATTTTTGATTATCATTGGGGTGTAAACTTATTGGGGATACGGGTGTTGGGTTAGGTTTCCTGCTATGTTTTTTTGCTTTCCGGGCAATGGGCGGGCCTTTGTCTCATAAGACTAAGTTATTAAACATAGAAATAATGACGATAAGAACAAGCCTCGACATGTTCAATTCACTCCAAGGAATGTATATATATATCGCACTATATCACGAACAATGATACTGGCAAGAAGAACAGAAAAGATTATAGCGCTGATTAGACTCACATCTTGTTCCGGGGAGCATGCTGATGGCAGATTTCGTATCAACATATGGTCGGCTCGTGCAGCGATATAGATGACCTAGTTGTACTGTCTCTAATCGATGGTGGGTAAACGGGCCCCGAGTAGTAGTTTTCTGGAGATGATCTTAAACATGGCTTGAGAGATGGTGGTGTGGTGGGGATGTGCATGGGGTAGGAGACATCAGGCTAGTGTCTTGTATATATGATTCTGTCTGACACACATATCAATCACAGTCACACAATCTGGATCACCAGCCTCAATGATCAATGGAGGATCCAGAAACGTGCCCAGAAGGTCAGATGCTGATACAGAAGCAATGAAGCCATGTATACGGATCGCTGAGGTAGCAATTGTCTGTGAAAGAGGGTCGTGGCTGTCTTTGACTAATGACATGGTTTTTGACCTGATGTATGTTAAGATTACCTGTGTAGTCCCTAAGAAGAATGGAATATCTACTTCTGATCTATGCTATAGATCCTCAATGCTATATCCCCGACAAAGGCACAGGCAGTACTGTTCATCATGATACCATTGGCTGTGGTGCATGTTGAATGATAAACGTCTTTGTCAGATGGGGTGGTAAGAAGCGCATCAGTACTAAACCTCAGGAATAAATCCAGCATAATATAGTCTAGATGTTAAAAATCCATCAAAATTCACACCACCCCAAAGCACTATACTATATGGAACATGCCAATCCAAGAGACTACCGCATATAAACCCTGAGCCAAATCAACCCCGACAAACATCCACGATAAAAATAGCGACATAAACCACAACCTAAATATAAACTACCGTCCGGTCCAGCCCCTGTCACACCATGTTTGTTGGTTGTACCTCTTCCCTAGCCGGCCCGGGTCGGGTTTCTGCCTCTAAAATGAGTCCTAAATTAGGGCCCAGCTATGCTTCAGAATACTCCTGGTGTATGCAGATCCCTCAATCTTCGGCCGGGTCTCCCCACGACGATCCCCTCCGTAATATCTCATCGGATCTCGGTCTAGATAGGCAGCGCATATGATATTTATCCTATCCAGTCCATATACTATACGTCTCCCACCAAGCAATCCCCTATACAACACCACCACCAGCACCAAGAAACGAAGTGAACAAACCAAAGAAACAAACATAAACAGAACAAAGAAAGAAGAAAAATGAAACTCACACCCTCCCTCCTCCTCCTCCCCACCCTCCTCGCCAGCACAGCCTCCTGCACCCCCGAACCCCTCTCCGACACCGACGCCGCCAACTGGTCCGCTCTCGCCCAAGCCCTGTACATCCCCCTCCCCCATCCTCCTCCCTCCCCCAACCCCAAACCACCACCACCACCACCACCACTAACATCCCCAGAAAACCCTACACCATCACCATCCCCACCAAAACCGCCTCCCTCAACCTCGAAAACATCCCCCCGCCCCCGCACACCGTCATCCACCAAGTGATTACCGCCGTTCCGCCCACAGCCCTCGCTCAGCTCTTCGTGCCCGCGAAACGCAGCGCCTTGGCGAGTGAGTTCCAGGCCGGGAATACCCCCGATTGGTATAAGACGTTGCCGACGGATGTGAAGAGTTATATTTCGGTCGTGAAGAGGGGGATTGCCTCGGGGACGGAGACGGGGATGGGGACGGTGAAGGAGACGGGGGTGGGGAAGGGTAGTAGTAGTAGTAGTGGTGGGGTGAAGGGGAGGGGAGAGGTGGGTGGGAGGTTAGGGGTGGGAATTGGGGTGGGGTGGATGGTGGTGATGTTGGTGATGGTGTTGTGAGGGGTGGGTTGGGTTGGAATTAACTGTGTAGGTTATGGAATGGGGTTACTATAAGAGGAGGAGGGTTATCTGATATTTGTTTTGAATAGATAGGTGGAGAGTTGTGTTGAGTATCTGGTTATCTATATGGTGCATTGTTTGTCGTTTGTCCTGGTGTTTGCTTTGTCGAGCTGCTTTTTAAAGGTCCGTTGTCTGGAGTTGCTGCTCACTCCATTGTACTCGTGCCTGTGCTAAGGGCGAGTGTCGGAGAGCGACTGCTCGTGGTTGGTATACCTAGACCTGTGCAACCAAGTACTTTCATAACGGGCTAAGCGATCTGCTTGATAGCAAATTCATCACTTATGTACATTGCTCATAACCTCCCCTTAGTATATACAGGTCTGTCTACTCCGTACAAGACCAGTTTTCAAGGTTCCTCCAGCCCCATACCTTTCCCAATCTTCCGTATCAGAGCCCGTTTCAGGAATGCCTCCCGCGCAAGTCCCCGCGTGTGACGCGACCAGGTCTCTACGCCAATCACTCCCTTTACCAGGGCCGCTTGCAGGGCATAGATTGCCTGCTGGATACCGCGTTCTTCAGCAACTAGATCGTACAGCTGCTTGCCGACAACAGTCGGAGCGACGAGGACTTCGTCGATAGGGGGAAGACCCGACGCAGCGGCGTCGGCGCTCGAGGACGGAGTTGCTGTTGAGATGCGGCTCTGCGCGTCAGCGATGACGGCGTCGGCGCGGTGCAGAGATTGCTGCAGGGTCAAAGTGTTTGTTTGTAGAGTGGTGTTGAGAGCGCTGAGCGATGAGATTTCGCCTTGGAGAGTAGCAATGGCCGCGTGTAGAGAATGAGACTGTGAAAGCAAGGATTGAGCGGCGACCTCAGATTGTGTGACATTGGCCTGGAGCGTCTCAGCCAAAGTCTTGGAAACCGCCTGCAGCAGGGCGTCCTTTTCGGGATTAGGTGGAATTGGCGGCGCCGGGCCGGTGGGTGTGAAGGAGGGCAGTTCAAGCTCAAACGGAGAGGTGAGCAGATCTGGCATCTCTGCCTTGGGTCGCGGAGCTGGCTGTTGCGCTTGCGGAATCCCAGCATGTGGTGATGGTCGGGCAGGTGCCTGGGGTGGGGGTCGTTGGTAAGCTGGATGGCTTTGTTGCACGGGGTAGTAAGAGGGGGTCGGCTGAGGATGTGGAGGGGTAACAGGTGTGCCACTCAATGGCTGGAACTGCGCTGACCCAGGCGGGTGTGCAGGCATCGGCTGGGTGACATGCTGTTGAGGCAGATACTGCCCCGGTGCCCCTGCAGGGACTCCGCTGCGCTCTGACAGGTACTGTGGCCTGCTGGCGGAACTGCCGACACCTGCTTGCGGCTGCAAGGATGCCCGTCGGGAGTCCTGCTCTTTCGGTGGCAATGGAGGGATTGGTGGGGGCGATGTGTACCGCCCTGACGACGGAGTGCGCTGTGGCTGCTCCAGGGGTGTTTGTCCTGGCTTCGGGGGCGGGGGCGGTGGCACTTGAACGGTTGCTGGAGGAGCATTTGAAGCACTTTGGGTAGTCAGAGGGCGATTCGGTGTGGGATCGAGCTCCGGAGGCAGAGGTGGTAGAGGAGGTGCCTGCGCTGGCTGGGGCGGTCGCGGTGGTGCGGGCTGTTGCTGTTTGTATCGCACTGGTGGCTCCTTGGCAAAAACTTCGCGGAGGATCAAGAGGAAATCACTGAGAGACGATCGCTACAGCTCAACATCAGCGACGGACATGCCATTGCAGAATGCACCCGTACTAACCTCCCACGCCTCAGCCCAGTGTGCTAAGTAGTGATGGTACACCCTCCCTTCCAGCGTGACATGCTGCCCCACTCGCACAGCCATATCCTGTGTCGGTGTCACATATACCAAAGGCGGCTCTCGAGGGTATGTGTTTGGGATCCATAGTGTGATGGGGAACTTGTAGACGGTGCCGCGAAACGTCACAGGCAAGGTGCCGGTGAGTTGCAGAAGGAGGGCAGAGAAACCGTTCTCGAAGGCTAAAGCAAGGTCAATACGTCAGTAAAGTCCCTAATCATCACAGCAGGTCACCCACTGTAGACTTCGGTCCGGGGGCCCAGTGAAGGGTATTGACCCAGGACATTGGCGACATCATAGTAGGTGCGGTTGGGGTCCTGGTATGTTTGTCGGGGATCGTAATGGTCCTGAGGTGGTCAGTGAAGGCACCGGAAGCTGAGTCGGAATGCATACCCTGATCAGGATACTGTACAGCCAGTTCAGGGTCCTTTGCGGCACGGCAGCCATGTTGAGGGAGGCGCAGGCGCATGGTGGGATGCGGGATGAGAATTGGAGTTGGAGTCGCTCGCCTTGGCCTTGGCTGGCTGCCGCGCTCCACCGCCGAGCTCCCCGCACACCACCAGATACTATGTATCTACATCAGTGTTGATAATGATATTCTCATGATGTTGTCCTTTCTACGCTGACTATCCTCAAAAATTGGCTATACCAGCCCTTTTGAGAGGAGCAGATTCTCCATGATGACGCGCGCAACAGCTCTAGGTATTCTCATATCCTTGATCTTCTGACAAGGTTCAATATGGTGACAGTGACTGCCCCTGAGCCGGGAGGCCTCGATTGCTCGCAAGAGCTTGGGTGACCCCATCTATTCTTGGCTGACCAGCCGGAAACCATCCCGTGTCAAGCAACCTTGATGGAGTTGATACCAACGATGGCTCCAAAGCATATCCCAAGCTAAGCATCGATCACATCGTTGGTCAGCACATGGAAACACTCTGTACGAGGTTACCACCTGAAGCCCCTGGCAGTGCACGGCCAGAGGACCATAGACATGGGATTGGCCAACACCAACGCTTCAATAGCCTTGCGAACGAGCAATCTCAAAACCCTGCTGGGCGGGAGTCGATGCCGGTCGAACACAGCCTCCCGTCACTTTCCCGTTTCGGCCGGCCATTGTTCTTTGCATTGGCCTTGCTATTGTTTGTCTTGCATCTAACTTCTTCAGAAGTGACCACTCGAGCTTGCTGCTGAAAGAGGTGATGATTGGCATTGTCAAGGCTTGGTCTCCACTTTGTCAAGCTCTTGTATTGTCACTCTTGATACTTGCTCCATCCTACATATTGTCTGTCTCAGTGTTGCACGACATGGGCAATATCACACATCTGCCTTGGCGTATGCCATACAGTCATGCCTCTAGTTGCGAAACCAGACGATCCCTCGTCTACATGGGAATTATGTTTGATAACCTATACAAATCAACCTCTTCCATCCTCCAGCTGAGCCAGTGGCCCGCTTCTACTTGATCGTGTCAAACTCCGTTACACAACATCAACTGGAAAGATTCCCCAGACTGCAGGCTGATAGCCAATATGGCATCTCAATTCGATCCGTTCACTCAGAATGTCACCATGCGTACTGCCGACGGGACCCCCTTCGAGGTGAACGTGCAGGCCATCGACGACTTATTGCAGTATTGCATCCGGATCTGCATCAACTATAGCGCTCAGCTTGGAGCTTCCATCGTTTTGTTCGTCATCCTTCTACTCCTGACCAGACCTGAGAAGCGTCGTTCCAGCGTGTTTGTTCTCAACTCTTCGGCCCTGCTGTCCAATATTGCTCGCCTCATCTGCCAGATCCTGTACTTCACTTCCGCCTTTGTGCGGGTCTATCCCTCTTTCGCCGGAGACTTCTCTCGAGTGCCCACTTCCGCATATGCCAACTCAATCATCGCAGTGGTCTTCTACACTCTTCTTGTGATATGCATCGAGGCTTCGCTAGTCCTGCAGGTTCAGGTTATCTGCGCAAACTTCGGTCGTGTGTACCGCCACATTCTCCTGACATTCTCCATCGTGGTGGCCCTAATCCCAATCGGATTCCGCATGGCTCTGATGGTCGAGAATGCCATATCCATTATGAACGCCGAAAGCAATAAACTTCTGATTTGGCTTTCAAGCACCGAAAACATCGTCTTCACAATCAGCATCTGCTTCTTCTGCGCCGTTTTCGTTACAAAGCTGGGCTTCGCCATCCGTCAGCGACGCAGACTCGGCGTGCGAGACTTTGGTCCTATGAAGGTAATCTTCGTGATGGGCTGCCAGACTCTCGTCATTCCAGGTATATAAACCTCTAACCTGACCTCTCACACAACTAACAACCCACAGCCTTCTTCTCAATCCTCCACTACATCGTCACCGTCCCAGAGCTATTCTCCAACGTCGCCACACTCGTCACCATTTCCCTCCCCCTCTCCTCCATCTGGGCCGGCGTCTCCCTAACCAACACAAGCTCCTCTGCCTCTGGCTCCGGAACTGGCACCGGCTCCGACTCCTCCCGTCGTAACCTCTGGAACAAGCTCTCCTTTCCCACATGGGAAAGCAGAAACACCACCACCTTGTCGTCCACGCAGACCATGAAACAAGTTGCAACCTGCTACACCGATAACACTCCCTTCAGGCAGCAGCAGCACAATGTCGAGGAACTGGGTATTTCTGTTGAGCATGACATCTCCGTGCAGAGCTTTAAGAGAGAGAGGGATATGGTTTGACCTGTAGTGCATAATTCTGTGATGTGGTCCGATAGGCCAGTCAAAATTTGACCGGCACTAATGGGTGTCAGCTTTATCATGTTCTGGTGGTTCAACTGACTCAAAGGGGCCTTTTGTATCCGCTTATCACTTGCATCTTTTCTTTCTTTTGTGAGTGGGTTGTCGAGATGCGGCCTGCATCAGTTCTTTTTCGTTTGTTAATACTTTCTTCTGAGCGCTGCAATTTATCGGCAGGGTCTAGTTGTTTCTATTGACTGACTGTCTAATACCAACTAATACATCTCGTTATATTGAGCTATGCAGGAACGTAGATAGGATCAGCTCATACGCATCAATTAACTATACTAAGTACTATACTCGAAGGCAAATTCTATTTGCTACCATCCACCCACCTAGGTTCAACCCTCCCGGCCCAACTTCGCCAGCGATTCTGTCAGGAATTCCTTGGCGTTCATCAAGTCCGTACTGCCGTACACGACTCTCCGTTTCGGGACTCCATGCGCGCCACGGCTGGCGGCACCGGCACCGTCGGCGCCCGGTTGTCCACTCGTCCGACTCACCCAGTCTTGCAAGTTGCCGTATTCGTCCATGCTGCCACCGCCAACGGTGAAAACAATCGCCTCGTTGAAGGCCTGGCGGCGCTGGCCGAAGGTGGCGCTCATGCCTGGCCCGGAGCTGTTCAGACTCTGGCCTTGAGCGTTGCGTGATGCAGAGGCCGGGGGCATGGCACCTCGGGCGTTCGCGCTGCGGGGATCAAAGTAGAGGTAGCTCTCGGTCTTGGCAATGGCGGAGCTGGATGCGGAGGTGGGGTCCATGATCGATTCGGTGATCTTGGTTAGGGTCAGGTCCTTGTTGGCAGGGAGGAAGTTCTTGACGCCCGAGATGAGCGAGTCAAAGTTGGCGCCAAGCGCTCCGGAGGTGATGCGATCGGTCAACTGGTTGGACAGAGAGGAGAAACCGCGGAAAAGGTTAGAAGATTGTTGTTGGGGAGCGGATGTTGCAGTTGTCATCATCGTCATACGAGTGATTTCTCGGACCTGTCTGACATAGGCGAGTGGAGTGACGTCCGTGACTCCAACGCGTGTGAGAGCTTCTTCGAATTGGTTCATCTCGGCGCGGGAGACCTCCGTTTCGGTGCTCAGGAACCAGATGATGAAGAGACGAAGCTTATCCAGGGGATCATTGCCCTTGGTGGAGTCGTTGATCAGCTCCATGATCTGGGTCTTAGACTGCTTGGTGATGTTTTCTTCCAGTTCGAAGAAGTTGTCCAGCTGACGGTCTTTGATGCCCTTGAGCAGGGCGGTGGCAATGTTCATGTGCATGTCCAGGATAGCCTTGCGTTCCCGCAGCTCTGGAAGGAGTGTGATGGCAGCCTTGAGGTGCTGGGCAGAGGCACTCGTGTCATTCTGGAGATCTTCAATCGAAGAAGCACCGGTCTTCTTCGTGATCTCGTTGGCATCTTCTTTGTACCGGGTAAGCTCCGCATCGATGTCTTCCGCCACCTGAGGGAACGGTGCACCGGCATTACGCTTCCAGAAGAAGTCGTTGCTGTTCAGGTCGTATGCCCTCTTTGTGACCCCTTTCGCGGGGTTTGCTTCATCGGTGGATTCCACTGTGATTCGATTGAGGCGCATCTGTAGCACATCTTGCACCAGAGATTGGTATGTCCACGAGTGAGAGAGCATCGGCACCAAATCCACGTTACGGTCGACAATGATCAGAACTGGTCGTGCGGATGGGACACCAGGAGTGGATTTCTTGCTTGAGAACAGGTTATCTTTCGAGTTGAGAATATGATCGCGGAGCTTGCGGTCCAGCTTGGTTGCTATTAGTTCGGCCGCGCCGCCCTTAGGGCACCGGATAATTGGGATGGCACCTGTTCGTACACAACCGTCAGTGAATGGTTAAAGTTCCGTAACGAGCTGCATACCCATTGTAACGCTAACGCTGAATAGCCCGCTGACAATCCTGTCGACAATCGCATCTAGATCGTCGTCGCTGGTTTGCGCGCTGTTGATCTTCCAGTACGCATCATTCCCTAGTCCCAGACTGAAAAGATCCGGTTCCGCAACGATAAAGTTCAGGTACTGGTCGTAAACCTGTGCAACATGCTCCGCGGTTCCTGTTGTTGCTATCTGGGACGCAAAGTCTTCGAGGAGGGGTCTGGGTACGGAGGAGAGGAAGTTGATGTAGGCGGGCGAGTAGAGTCCGCGAGAAAGATCGTTGGTGATCGCCTGGATGTTGGAAGGTGTAGGCTCGACAAGATAGACAACGGGGACATCGGGGATTGGGTATCGCGTGGAATTGATGCCTCTGAGAAGTCCCATTAGCTATCAAGACAACGAATATTCAGGGACTAGGATCGGGCGCACAAATGGATTGTAACTCCCCAAACTCTGAGGTCATTGACCCGTAGCACACTACTGATGACATCCCTGCCCATATTATCAAACACCAGAACCTTCCAGATGGGGTCGCCATCCTCGTTCAGGACCGGGGTCGAGATGAGGCCTTGCGCGGACGCATCGTGGTGGGAGTCTTCCGTCGGCTGTGGCTCGTGGTTCAAGTTGAGGATCTTGTGAATGGAGGCTGGGATGTATCAGAGAGCTGCAATTGTCTACACGGAGTCGACACGGCAACGGAAACATACCGACCTGACGGTCCCTCAGCGACGCTGGTTGCGAGGCCATAGTAGTTCGGGTTGGACTTGCAGCAGCAGCAGCACCCCGGATGGTATCACGATTACGTGGACGGGTTCAAATTCATGACATGGAGGGAGGGTCACGGAGGGATGGAAGTCGACGAGATCAATGCCAGCACAAAGACGCAACAGTGAAGACGGGCTGTGACCCCCGCTGGCGATGATCGGAATTACCCACTCGTCAGTCTGTAACTACGACACTCTCCACCTGGCATCCTGAGAAGCTCCCCGATTGATGAGGGATGACATAAGCTCCCGCTGGGCCCGACCGGTTCCTTCCAGCCAATGTGGTGACCGCGATCATGTGCCTTGCGCTAGGGCGGAAGGGGCGTAGCTTCGCTGAGGTGTGGCCCAACCGAGCGCCGCCCGGCTTTTTCAGTCTCACCACCACCACCACTGCCAACCAACCTCCCTCCCCCCATCCCATCCCTATCCCTTCCACCTTCCTCGTAAAGCAAATGACTATGCTGCTAAGCTGCAGTCCCGAGTGGTTCTTTGTATAACACCTTTTCTTATCATCTTTTAAGACAGAATAAGGAGAAGAAAAGGTCCACCCAGGACAGGCACAGTACGAGTGAATTTGCCCCAGCCTTGCAAGAGAGAAAGAGAGAGAGACAGACAGGAAAGTGAAGGCAGGAGAGAAGGTCACAAGGACAAGGATACAAACACAAGATTTAAGGATTGCTTGGAGAAGGTCGGAGAGAAACAAAAGAGGTCTTACGTCTATTATACGGAGTACGGAGTACGGATACTTGGCCGGTGTATTCGCAAGAGCTGGAGTGCATCCCAATCCTTTCTTAATCTGCCTAAGAGAAAGAGGAGCAAGGCTGCACACCGGACAACCGCGCAAACGTGGACGTGACGTGACGTGACATAAGGAAGCCCAACAACCAAGCCGAAATCTCTGGCGCCATTGCTTCTCTCGCCCATCTGTCTACCCCAAGAGCTCAGGTGTGGTCCCCCTCCTCTGCCTCCGACAGGGAGAGACTTAACGGAACTGGACACGGGAGGCCAGCGGGCGCCCGACCATTTGCCACTATCGCTCCTCGACCTCAAGTGCTGCCGGATATCTTTGCCCTGGCGTGACCGCCTTGTTGGTCACTACTACTATCGACGTATCAGGCTATCAGCGATCCCCCTTAGCTGACAAACCCCATCGGGATCATTGATTCGTTCAAAGAGCTTCTTAACCAATATCCGGCTCCATTGGGAAGGTTTCCTGTGCCGCCGTTACGAGTGACGCAGGGGCCAATCAGCGGGTGCGAAAGCTGCCCCCACCAGGGGAATTCCGCCCAATTCCGACCAAGCCAGAGCGGCATTGGCCCTTGACCCAATCCAGCCCTCCCCGGCACGTGGATGCATGTGACTTATACTACATTTGGCCGTGCACCCGCCTAGTACTTCGACTCCACCCGCGCTACGGACGACCATCCCAGCCATCATACACTACATACATATAATCCGACTCCCAGGATCGAGGGTCCGTGGGTTTTTAAATGCGGGGGATGAACGGTAGCATGGAGCAGTCGCCGCCGCAGAATATCATGCCGGGGCTGCACCGTGCACCAGTAGACCCCGGCTCGTTGCCGCCCGAGTACTGGAACAACTTCGAGCCTCTGTATACGAGTCCCGACCCCCCACATCAACATCAACATCCCCCCCAGCCACAACTTCAGCAGATCCAACCGGCACCGCAGCAACAGCAACATGCGCCTTCCCTGGGGATAAATTGGGATCATCCGGTTTTCAGTCAATCCACTCAATCGCGGAGTCCGCTACCCACCCCGCAAGAGCAGAGTCATGGCATCTACTCGACAACAACCCCTCAATCTTGGCGATCAAATCCTCTTCAGTCCCAGCAGATGATTCATCCGGCGCAGCATACGTTCGCCATAAATCCCCAGTATCGCCAAGCTCAGTTTTCTCCCGCGCAACCCGCATATGATTCCCAGCCAATCCCCTCCTCCGACAACTCGCATTATCAGTCATTCTTCCCCCGAGCTTACTATCAGCCTCAAAATCTCTCTGTCCCAGATGTCTTCCCTCAAACGCATTCTCCTCGACCCGCGCAGGCACAGGCACAGCCAGCACAATTCCGGTCTGACTCACACCAGCACCAACTCCCTCAATATACGCTCCCGGCGGGCTATCCGGAGGGAACTACGGTACGAATTCCGGGCCATATACTCACACCCCGTAGCTAACTGTTAGTAGCATGTTCCGATTAATTACGCTGGCGGATATGCTCAACCGCCTCCGACTGTATCGGATCAGACCATTAACCCGCAATTCTTGAATTCCTCGCAGCAGGCTGCTAACCAACAAGCGCCCCTTCATAATAATCTTCTTTACATGAACCCAGCCGACTTTGAACGCCCTGAGGATCCAAAGTAGGTCTAGATAATGAAGCTGACTGCAAGCGGCTCTGACTGGTAATAGGCTGTACACTTTTTATCGGGATGACCTGCAAGTCCCGCCAGTTTTGGGCCAGGGCCAGGCCCAGCCAATCGCGCGTAACCAGCCCATCGCTCCGGCCACCAAATATGAGTTCATCATGCCAATGAATGGTATTTTCACTCATCCTTCACGAAACTCCTTACATTCACTGACCCGAGCAGGTCAAACCCCAATCACTGCTGCCACAGCAATGAAAGCGACCAAACCCAAGAAGCAACCCAGCGTGAAGAAACAGTCACAGAAGCAGTCGAAGAAAGCCACGATGAAAGGAGGCAGCAAAAAGCTGGACGGGAAATCTGCGTCGTCGAGTTCTGAGACAGATAGCTCTGATGACTCAGACCTCGAGATTCAGGAGCCTGAAGAGCCTTCTCCCATCCCACCCACTCGTCCTACTGAACCCGAGGCTGCTGCCCAATATGACGCGATGAAGGCTGTGTGGTCTCCACATAATAGACGGCCAAATGTTGACAAGGTCAAGAGTGCACTGGTTGCGTTCAAAGACGTTGTCAAGACCGTAAGAGACGCGTGGAAAGAAAGCACTCAAGCCATGAAGGTCGCGGAAAACAAGGGTGATAATGACAAAGCAGCGCAGCTCAAGAAGGATGTCGTTCTTCAACGGCGCCTTATGGATGTGGTTGTCAGCACCACCCTGGCCAAAGGCCACCCCATCATTGTCGAGAAGTATGTCCTTTTCCTTTCGTCTTTTCTTTTTCCACATCTGGCATGTCGTCATGGCCATAGAAGTCAGAAACGAATTGAGAGCCTCTCCCATGTAATCTACCTAGTGTGGGCTTTGGCATATAAAGGTGCTTAAAAGTAAGGGTGAATATGTGCTCTCCACCCGGGACGAAACATACCTAGCTATGTGTCCTTAAGCACGAGGCAGGAGGGGATAGAATATCCGTCCTGAATCAGGAGCTGCCCGAGCCGTCACGTATGGGTGTTTAAAACCCCTTTTGGCGCGTCCTGCAAATGCCCGGATGCGTGGTATCTGCTGTTCGCTATTTTGACGTTTCATCTGTTATGTGCTGTATCACTGTGGGAATCGGTCGCTGATATGTGTTTTCAGGTTGGGGGAGCATCCAATGGCCGTAGCTGCCTTGTATTCATTTTTGCTCGATCGACACCAGGCTTCCGACGTTGACGGTGCTTTGACCGTCAATATACTCAAGGTACATTCTAGATTTGAGACTCTTGAGCGATGACTAACATTTCCACTCCAGTTGCTTTCCCACTTTCTGACAATGGATGAGGACGTGCTTCAGAAAACGAATGTTGCCAAGTTGTTGCCCAGGTTCGTCAAGAAAGGCGGACAAGCAGTCAAAGACCTGGCTCAAAGAATCTTGGATAATGCTGCTGCGTCTACTAAACGAAAGCTCGAGGCTGCGAAATCGGGGCCCAAAGAAGGGTCGCCTACCAAGGCTTCTGTGGCTGATTCAGCCGCCGCCGATGGGCGCAGCGAAGTGGCAGGATCCAAGAGGGTCCGCGAAGGTGAAGGAAACGGACAGCCCGCAACTAAGCGGATGGTCGTCACCTCGAACCCTAAGGCGGCTGCGAAGCCCGGCAATCCCGGAGCCCCTGCCATTGCCGTTGCCAAGCGGCCGCAGGAGGGAGGACAGGAAAACAAACCTGCTCCAGCCAGTGCTGCTCGCCCCAAGGCAAACATCATTGCTCCAAAACCCACAAGCCTTTTTGGAAGTCTGAGTTCCGCCTCGAAAAGACCGGGAACATCGAACGCTGAAAGGGCTGCTGCCGCTGCCGCTGCGGCGAAATCAAGGTACGCTATTGCATCTTGTCCAGCCAACTTCCCCACTAACTTGAATAGTACCCCCGCCGAGAAGAAGGAAGCCCCCCCCAGGCCTACCTTTTCTTTTGGCGATTTGATGGCAGATCTGAACAAGCAGAAGGAACCCGCCCCTGCACAGCCTGCGGAGGACCGGCCCCCCGAAACGGAAGAAGAACGGAAGAAGAGGCTGCGCAAAGAGGCACGACGAAAGTTGCGCGTCACCTGGAAGCCGGATGCGCTTCTCACCGAGGTTCGCCTGTTCACGCACGATCCCGAAGAAGAACTCGGGCCCGGCGATCACTTGCAACGAGAGGCAGGGGATGTCAAGGGCGAGGGCAGTGTTCTCAAGCTTCATAGAGACCTCGACGAGCTCGAGGAGGATGATGACGGTGGCCTCCGTGAAGAGCAATTGCTTGAATATTATGAGCCATCCGGTAAGTGACTGAGCTTGGTGGTTGTGAATGAACACTAACGGGGTTAGAAATTGACAACGGAGAAATCACTCCCGACGATCGCGCTAGAAACTACATCAAGCGTGGTGGCACCCAAGAGCCGGAAAGCCCCGAGAAGAAAGCCCAAGAACATCGCGAAGCGACGACGCTTATGGTTTTCTATACCTCGCCTGCAGACGTACCATCGACGCCCAAGGAACCTCCTCCCCCGGATGCGGAAGAGCCTGCGCCCGAAGTGGCGTCTTTTGGAGAGCTACCGGATCATGTCAAGGTAAATCTTATCTGCTGCGCATTCACAACTACATCTTCTGACCAGTTCCAGGCCCGACAAGAGCGATACTTTGCCATGGTCAATCCTCAGCCAACACCCGCTCCTCAGAGTGCACCGAACAACCAGTTTGATATCACGAACCTGCTTAAGATTATCCAAAATGCGCCTCAGCAGCAATCAACCCCACCGCCTCCTCCACCCCAAGTTGCACCAGCACCCATGTCTGACCTTGAGCGGACATTCAGCATGTTCCGCCAGCAGCAGCAGCAGCAACCGCAGCAACAGCCGCCGCCTCAGGCACCACTGGTGCAAATGCCCGGGTTTCCCACTGCGTCCCAGCCGCCGGCTAGCCAGGGTCTTGATTTCCAAGCAATTCTGTCGATCATGAATGCGCAAAAACAAATGCAGCCCGCACCCATCATGCCCCAGGTCCAGCCATCACAGCCTAGCATTGCTCCTAATCTGGCCGCCATCATCTCCCAACTTGCTGGACAAAACCAGCCCAGCACTGGCAATGGATCTGCGGCATCTGGCCACTACGAGGATCCCGAGCGCAAGCGCATGCGCGAAAGCGGCGGATTTGACGGGGCCGACGATGAGAGGTTCAATCCTGCCAAGCGGACCCGGTCAAACGAACCGACCAAGAAGCACGTGAGTGTCTCATCCTGCGGCTTGTTCCCGTTTCGGTACTGACCATGCTTTAGCCCAAAGCCGGATTGGTGCCTTGTCGGTACTGGCGCGAAGGCAAATGCCGCAAAGGCGACGAGTGCACGTTTCGCCATGATCCTCTAAACTAACGCTCCTCTTTTCTTTCTCCTGATACCCATCTTTGGCCCTCATTCTTTTCTATATCTCTGTATTTGACTTGGCCGTATGGCAGCATCTCCTTATTGTTGTACATTGACCCTGCATGAGTTGCATTGTCAAACTTACGGTGTCTCGAGCTTTCCTGTGTTGGCAAGCTTCTCACAGCATCATGCGTCTCATTTCGAAGCATACCATACGTGGAGTCTTAGGGTGTTGCGTAAGGATTCGGGTTTTCTCTTGTGGCTATGGGATGAGTGTTGATGCTGTCTGGCGTTTATGGCTGAGCATGTACATTAATAGCGATACCCGTAGCAGGGTTATCTGCGACAAACAACTTGACTAAATTCCATATGTTATTCACTGAATGCAATCATTGCCTTTCTACTAATCACTAGCATATATGTGGTCCCTCACTGATTAGGTAATATGATATTAACAGTAATCTCAGGGAATATAACGGGGTCCAATAACCACTTCACTCCGATCATACTACTCTATATCAACCCTTCCCGCCCTTTTATAGAACCATCCCCTTCCCCCTTTAACCCACATAATACCCAACTACCCACCCCCACTAAATAATGGAATACACCCACCTCATAATCATCTGCTGCCACGCGATATACACCGGCGGCCCAACCAACGGTCTCTCCGAAGACGAATGGTACCCTACCCCACTTTCTCTATACACATCACCACAGGCACAATATCTTACTAACATGAAACAACAGGATGATCGAGCCCTTCCAAAAAGGCGAAACACCTACTTTCATCAACCACGTCAAGGCCGGATTACAGCTCTTGGCAGATGACCCGGGTGCTTTGTTGGTGTTTTCGGGGTGAGTTTCGTCTATTTATTGTCAATGCGGTTGGCATGAATGTGGATATTAAATGGTGATGATAGAGGACCTACCAAGCAAAACCGTACGGTTTTATCAGAGGGTGTATCCTATCTCGTAGGTTCCCTTCCCCTTACTTTAACCGCCGAAGCCAGGATCATACTATACGAGTTGATATATATTGATGCATGTATACAGAACCTCGCCCAAGACAACGCCTACTTCAATATCACTCCACAGATAAGCCCCGCGCGGGTAATTGCAGAAACCCATGCTACGGACTCATACCAGAATGTGTTGTTCTCGTTGCTGCGGTTTCGGTTAGTGACGGGGATGTATCCGCGGAAGGTGACGGTCGTGACGCATGAGTTTAAGAGGAGGAGGTTTGAGGAGTGTCATTTTCCGGCTTTGGGATTGGGATTGGGATCCTCGGCTGGGGAGACTGGTGGGGTGGAGGTGCAGGTGGTTGGGATTAATCCGCCAGAGGAGGTGACACCTCTGGCGTCGTTGGTGGCGGGGGAGGAGAAGAGTGGGATTGGGTTGTGGAAGGGGGATAACTATGGGGTGCAGAGGGAGTTGATGGGGAAGAGGGTGAAGCGGGGGTGGAGGAAGGGGGTGGAGGATGGGGTGTTTGTGGATGTGGGATTGGAGAAGGTGGTGGAGGAGTTGGTAAGGTGGGATGGAGGGGAGATGGGGAATGAGTGGTTTCCGAAGATGGATCAGTTGCCTTGGTGTTAGTTGTAAGATGCAGTTCATTAGTCATTGGAGCAATGCTATGAAAGAAGTGTCAGAATACATGATGTGAAGAAATGCCCGAAATGCTCCCGAATCAACAATTCCTGTCCTCTCGTCCGTAACGCCTCCTGTAACACCTGAATTAACGCAGCTAATCAGCAAGACGGTAGCTGACTAGTGTCTCTACGCGGTGGTTGTTCGTGCTGAAGCTTCGAAGCTGCACCTTCTCCGCGTTCTTGATCTCTTTGGCGTCGCTGTCGCCCCATTCCACGGGGACCTCCGAGTCGGCGTCGGCGTAGACTAAGACGTTGAACGTGCAGTCACCGTCTAGGACCGGTAGGAAGGTGACAGATGCGGTGATTTGACGGAAGATCGCCTGGATTTCGTCTTGGATTTCTTTTTCGGTCTTCTCGATGGGGGTAGCGGCTTGGGGGTCCTTGTCACTGTAGATGAAGTCCTGTTAGCTGGATTCATGTGAGATATAGTGAGAGATTTACCCAGGGGTTGCGTTCTCCTTGTCGCCAGAGGCACGGGATGACTGGCTCTTGGATTGCTTTCCGAAGATTTGCACCTGATATCCATTAGTCCTTGTACACACCCTCGAAACGAATCGCGTACGTCAAACTGCCATCTTTCCACGTGTTCACCAGTCTCCTTGTCCGTAATAACCACAACAAGCTTGGAGATCTTGCCACCCATCATCCACTTGTTCAATTGCGACATGATCTTCTTGATGTAGGCTTTGACCTGGTCATCGGCGGTAACTACTGTCGGTTAACCGGAGCTCTGGAAGGATGTGTGTCGACGAACCTAGCATATTAAGGCCATATTTCTTGACACTATATTGGAGTTAGTAGATAGCTCCTATGATGTAGGAATCAGACACTCACGTTGTAAAATCCTCCGGGGGGTAGACACCTCTCTGGAAGCTGGAATAATATGAGAAGGGGTTCTGCGTAGATTACCAAGCACTCTTACAGAATCGAGTTGATAGAGTATTCAAACTAAAGCCATCAGTATCCCTTCAATAGCCTCTGTTAGGGAAACTCACGAATTCGGCCACCAGCTTCGCCGATCCTGTCTGGAGATTAGCTTCGGCGGGCATCTCGCGGACTGCGGAATACCGTACCTTTCAGGGACAGCTTGTGAACCTTGGACTTATCCTTCGTAGCCGACATGGTGAACTGAGATGGTGCTGGGTAGAAGTGTAGCTGGTCGTGAAGTGCTTGGGAGAAGAGGGATGGTTTGTTTATCGGATAGTCGCCGCGGCAATCAATGCTCGACCGCCCGCCATCTGGTCTCCGCAGAGCCGCACTTTTTTCCGCCGTCAAACCGGCACTGTCCCTGACCTTCCTGCACTACGTCAAAGGAATCATTCCCATGCAATTGCAGACCTCCAGATGCGAGGATGCCTGCAGTTAGCCAGGTGGCTGAGCGCAGCGCCGAAATGCCCTGCTGCAAGCCTTCTCAAGCCGCCGATCGGCCTGTCTAATCCAGCCCGGTTTTTCACCTCTTCCGCCGCATGGGCTTCGCGCTCCAGGGCACCCACCAGACAGCCCACCTCCGATCTCGAAGCCAGAATCGCCGACATCCCCATCGACCGATATCGCAATTTTTGCATCGTTGCACATGTCGACCATGGCAAAAGTACACTCTCCGACCGGCTGTTGGAACTCACCGGGACCATCAAGCCGGGAATGAACAAGCAGGTTTTGGACAAGCTCGATGTCGAGCGTGAACGCGGTATTACAGTCAAAGCACAAACATGTACGATGATCTACAACCACAACGGCGAGGACTACCTGCTACATCTCGTTGATACGCCGGGGCACGTCGATTTCCGTGCGGAGGTCTCGCGCAGTTATGCCAGTTGTGGAGGAGCGCTGCTCTTGGTTGATGCCAGCCAGGGTGTCCAGGCTCAAACGGTCGCCAACTTTTACCTCGCTTTCTCCCAGGGTCTGGAGCTGATTCCGGTCATCAACAAAGTGGACTTGCCGTCCGCCGACCCGGACCGCGCTCTTCAGCAGATGGAACATACCTTTGAACTCGACACGGACAGTGCTGTGCTGGTTTCGGCCAAGACGGGCCTGAACGTGCAACAATTGCTCCCTACTGTGGTTGAGAAGATCCCGGCGTAAGTTTACTTTCAACCATCCACCAGCTCCTAGCTGATTTAAACAGTCCGATTGGCGACTCCACGAAACCGTTGCGGATGCTCCTCGTCGATTCCTGGTACGATTCTTACAAGGGTGTCATCTGCTTGGTCCGCGTCTTCGATGGCGAAGTTCGCGCAGGAGACCAGTTAGTGTCATTTGCGACGGGAATCAAATACTTCGTGGGCGAAGTCGGCATCATGTACCCCAACGAGACGTCGCAGTCGGTCCTCCGTGCTGGTCAAGTTGGCTATATCTTCTTTAACCCGGGTATGAAGCGAAGCAAGGAAGCCAAAATCGGCGATACCTATACGAAAGTCGGGTTCGAGAAGGCTGTCGAGCCGCTTCCGGGCTTTGAGGAGCCCAAAGCGATGGTTTTTGTGGCCGCTTATCCAGTGGACGCTGATCACTTTGAGCACCTGGAGGATAGCATCAACCAACTTTGCCTGAACGACAGAAGTATCACGGTACAAAAGGAGTCGTCTCACGCCCTGGGCGCTGGTTTCCGGTTAGGTTTCTTGGGCACCCTGCATTGCTCGGTCTTTGAGGACCGCCTGCGTCAGGAGCACGGTGCGAGCATCATCATTACTCCCCCTTCCGTTCCTATCAAGATCATTTGGAAAGACGGCAAGGAAGACATTATCTCCAACCCCGCCAAGTTTCCGGAAGAAGAAGAGGTCCGCTCCAAGGTCGCTGAGATTCACGAGCCTTATGTCGTGGCGACTTTGACCCTCCCTGACGAGTATCTGGGAAAGGTCATTGAACTCTGCGAGTCCCACCGCGGTGTGCAGAAGAGCCTCGAGTATTTCACGTCTACTCAGGTCATTCTCAAGTATGAACTGCCTCTTGCCCAGTTGGTCGACGACTTTTTTGGGAAGCTCAAGGGATCGACCAAAGGCTACGCCACCCTGGATTACGAGGAGTCCGCCTGGCAACCGAGCAATATTGTCAAGTTGCAACTGTTGGTGAACAAGGCCCCGGTGGATGCGGTCGCGCGGCTCGTCCATTACAGCCAGGTCGAGCGATTGGGCCGACAATGGGTGACTAAGTTCAAGGAGCACGTTGACCGACAGCTCTTTGAGATCATCATCCAAGCGGCGGTCGGCCGCAAGGTGGTGGCGCGTGAGACCATCAAGCCGTATCGGAAGGATGTGCTGGCGAAGCTCCATGCCAGTGATGTCAGTCGGCGGAGGAAGCTGTTGGAGAAGCAGAAGGAGGGCCGGAAGAGACTCCGGGCGGTTGGAAACGTGGTGATCGAACAGAAGGCGTTCCAGGCTTTCTTGGCTAAATAGCATGTATCCTCTGTACATTAGATCATATCATGTTTTGCTGTATTATTATGTTGATAGATCGTGAATATGCATCACTCTTATCTCCATCTCCATAGTATGCGGTATGCATGAGATCTCCCCGGGCGCTGATTGGCGGAAGGCGGAGCTGGAGCTTACAATTTAACCGTAGAAAAGTTCGTCGCCGACCCCGCCGCCGCGGTCGTCTGCAATTTCTCCCCTCCCGCCGTCGCTCCCGTGTCGCTTTCTTCCTCCGATCACGATCTGCGTTGCCTGTGGTGCATTGTTGGCTTCCCCAATTCGCGACCTCCTGTGCGTTGTGCGGTGATTCCAGCGCCGTCGCATTCTACCCGTTGAGTCACTGTCGCCTTGCCATGATCATCATTTGACCACGGCGATGCAGCCTCCCGAAGGTGTGCAGGTCGACCTGGGCAAGGCCCAGGTCATTGACCGCGTTCCTAAAGTTATCAGCGAGTTGAAGTTTGGTGTTTTGTAAGCCTGGTTTCTCAATTTGCCCCTCCGGATCCGATGCGGAGCAGCCAAACTAATACCGCGCGAATTGGACAGGTCCAACGATGACATTGTCAGCCAAGGTGTGGTGGAAGTTTCCGACCGGAAGTTCTTCGATCTCGATCATGACCGAGCGGTGGTAGCCAACGGCCCTCTCGATGCGCGCATGGGTGTTTCGAACAAGACTTCATCCTGTCAGACTTGTGGTGGCACTCTCCAGATTTGCAATGGGCACTTTGGTCATGTCCGGCTGGTCTTACCGGCTTTCCACGTCGGTTATTTCAAGCGGGTCATCACCATTCTGCAGGAAGTGTGCAAGGAATGTTCGCGCATTTTGCTCCCCGAAGCCGATCGCCGCGCCTATCTCCGCGAAATGCGTCGTCCTGGATTGGATAATTTGCGGCGGGGGCAGATTGCGAAGCGGATCAACGAGCGGTGCCGGAAGACCCGCAACTGTGAGGGCTGCGGTGCTGTGAACGGTGTGGTGAAGAAGGCTGGAACGAGCGCTCTCAAGATTACCCACGACAAATTCCGTGCGTTCAACGCCTCTACGTCAGTTAAGAAAGTCCCGCCGCCCAGCAAAATCGTCTTCGACCGGTCCTTTGACGAAGCCCGGACGTCCAACGCGGAGGTGGAAAAACACTACAAGAAGGCTCAGGATGATATGAATGCTCTGCGCGTGTTGAATCTGTTCAAGAAAATCTCCGATACGGATTGTGAGCTGCTGGGTCTGAATCCGAAGGAGGCCAGACCGGAGATGTTCCTCTGGCAGTTCATTCCCGCTCCCCCGGTGTGTATTCGTCCTTCCGTCGGTCAGGATGCGGCGTCCACCGAGGACGACTTGACCGCCAAGCTGGGAGACATTGTCCAGAGCAACATCAACCTGAAGAACGCCCTGCTCAAGGGTGCCCCGGTGCAGACCATCATGGAATGCTGGGACTACATGCAATTGCAGATTGCTGTGTACATTAATAGCGATGTTCCGGGTCTCAACAAGGCCGACTTGGGGAAGCCCATTCGAGGTTTCGTGCAGCGGTTGAAGGGTAAGCAGGGTCGATTCCGCGGTAACTTGTCCGGAAAGCGTGTGGATTTCTCCGGTCGTACTGTCATTTCCCCCGACCCTAACCTGCGGGTCGATGAGGTCGCGGTCCCCGAACTGGTGGCCAAGAACATGACCTATCCCGAGGTTGTTACGCGGTATAATAAGGAGAAGCTACAGCAGAGAGTGCGGAACGGCACGAAGAAGTGGCCGGGTGCAAACTACATCATGAAGAAGGGCCAGACCTTCAAGCTCTTCCTTAAGTATGGTAACCTGAACATGATTGCCGACCAATTGCAGGAGGGTGATGTGATTGAACGTCATATCGAGGACGGTGATATTGTTCTTTTCAACCGTCAGCCTTCGCTGCACAAGCTCAGTATTCTGTCCCATTTTGCCAAAGTCCGCCCCCACCGGACCTTCCGGTTGAACGAGTGTGTCTGTAACCCCTACAACGCCGATTTCGACGGCGATGAAATGAACCTGCACGTGCCCCAGACGGAGGAGGCCAGGGCCGAGGCCATGGAACTGATGGGCGTCAAGAACAACTTGGCGACGCCCAAGAACGGAGAACCCATTATTTCCGCCATTCAGGATTTCATCAGTGCCGCCTATGTTCTGAGCAGCAAGGATAACTTCTTCGATCGTCGCTCGTTCACGCAGATCTGTCTGTACATGCTCGGCCCGCAGACCCGCTTCGATCTCCCCCCGCCGGCCGTGCTCAAGCCGCAGATGCTGTGGACCGGAAAGCAGGTCTTCAACATCCTCATGCGCCCGAACAAGAGCGACCCTGTCCTTGTCAACTTGGACGCGGCGTGCCGAGAGTTCAAGGCCCCCAAGGATGGCCGGCCCCGAGACCTGGACCCGAAGGATGCCTGGCTCGTCATCCGAAACTCCGAAGTCATGTGTGGTGTCATGGACAAGTCCACCATCGGTTCGGGAAAGAAAGACAATGTGTTCTACATTATGCTGAGAGATTACGGGCCCGTGGCGGCGGCCGAGGGTATGAACCGCCTGTCCCGGTTGTCGGCCCGTTGGTTCACCAACATGGGATTCTCGATTGGTATCACCGATGTTTATCCCAGTGAGAAGCTTCTTCGTTCAAAGCACAATCTGGTCGAAACGGCCTATGCACAGTGTGACGAAGTCATTGCCAAGTACAAGGCCGGCACCCTGGAGAAGTATCCGGGTTGTGACGAGCTGCAGACAATGGAGAACCAGCTGTCTGGTATTCTCAGTAAGGTCCGTCAGCAGGCCGGTGACGAGTGTATCGCCCAGCTGAGCAAGTACAACTCGCCCCTGATCATGGCCACGTCCGGATCCAAGGGTTCGAGTATCAACGTGTCGCAGATGGTTGCCCTCGTCGGACAGCAGATTATCGGCGGTCAGCGTGTGCAGGACGGGTTCCAGGACCGTACCCTGCCTCACTTCCCCAAAAACGCGCGGCAGCCCCCATCCAAGGGTTTCGTGCGCAACAGTTTCTTCTCCGGCCTCGAGCCGACGGAATTCATCTTCCACGCCATGTCCGGTCGTGAAGGTCTGGTCGATACGGCCGTCAAGACGGCCGAGACGGGTTACATGTCGCGTCGTTTGATGAAGTCTCTGGAGGATCTCTCCACCCGATACGACGACACGGTGCGCAACTCGTCAGCAGCGATTGTGCAGTTCCAGTACGGTGATGACAAGCTGGATCCCTTGGATATGGAGGGTAAAGCCAAGCCGGTGCATTTCGACCGGACCTTCATTCACTCCGAGTCGACCACGTACAAGAATGACGAACGGAGTTTGCTTCCGGGCGAGATCATGGACATTTGCGAAGAGATGCTGTCGAAGGAGCGCGCCAAGTTGGTGCGCAAGGATCTGATGGGCAACGAGCTCGGCTATATGGATCGGTCCGACCATGGAATCGACCAGTTCGAGAGTGCGCGCGACTTCCTCGAGTCCATCCAGCAATACGTGGCCACGAAGGCGGACAAGCTGATTTCCCGCGGTGGTGACAACAACGCCAATGACGAGAGAAGTCAGCAGGGACTGAACCACACGGGCAAGTTGACCGAGCGGACGCTCCGCGCTTTCATCTCGGCATGCTTGTTGAAGTACAAGAAGGCGCAGGTCGAGGCTGGCCATGCAGTGGGTGCCGTCGGTGCGCAGTCCATCGGTGAACCGGGTACTCAGATGACGTTGAAGACTTTCCACTTTGCTGGTGTCGCCGGTATGAGTATCACGCAGGGTGTGCCCCGTATTAAGGAAATTATCAACGCGTCCAAGGAGATCAGTACGCCTGTCGTGGCTTGCGAGCTAGTCACCAAGGACAACATCATCGCAGCGCGGATCGTCAAGGGACGTATCGAGAAGACGTACCTGCGGGACATCATCCACTATGTGCGGGAGACGTGGACGGGCAAGGAGGCGTACATCACGGTCAAGATCAACTGGAAGACGATCCAGGACCTGGCGCTCGAGCTGAAGATCGAGAACATCTTGGCGGCGATCAAGAACCACAAACGGTTCAAGGCGGACGACCTGAAGTTCCGGTGCTCGCGGTCGCACATCCATGTGTACATGGACGTGGACCCATCGACCAAGGCCAACCTCTCCAAGACGGAGATTGCGTCGACCAGCGCGGATCCCTTCCTCCGGTTGAAGCACCTGAAGCGCATGCTGCCGGACATCCAAGTGCTGGGTCACCCGCAGGCGTTCCGGGCGATTATCCGGACAGACGAGACGTCGACGACCAACACGCTGCTGGTGGAAGGCTACGGGCTGCGGGAGTGTATGACGACGCTGGGTGTGGATGGGCTGCGCACGTCGACCAACAACGTGATGGAGATGCGCGATGTGCTGGGTATCGAGGCGGCGCGGACGACCATTGTGCAGGAAATCAGCGAGGTCATGAAGGACATGGACATCGATCCGCGTCACATGCAGCTCCTGGCGGATGTCATGACATACAAGGGTGAAGTGCTGGGTATCACGCGATTCGGTCTGGCGAAGATGCGCGACTCGGTGCTGCAGCTGGCGTCGTTCGAGAAGACGGCGGACCATCTGTTCGATGCGGGTGGTGCGGGACGCAGCGATCTGATCGAGGGTGTGTCCGAATGTATCATTATGGGCAAGACGGTGTCGCTGGGAACGGGCGCGATGGAGGTGGTGCGCAAGATGAATTTCTTCGAGGGGCAGATTGGGGCGCGCAAGACGACGTTTGAGGATACTTGGACGGAGGTATACGAGGCGCCGTTGGAGCGGGCCAAAGCCCGGCGCAAGCGGGTGTAGGTTAGGTGTACATGGATACAAAAGGGTAAAAGCATACCAGGCGTTTTCTTTGTTAGCGAGCTGTGATGCAGCAATACATTTCACTATCAATTGACACCATTGACACCATGGGGAGGGACTACTCCTAGTATGCATTGTAGTTGTATACCGACGCGACTAGCCGACCCACCGGATGAGCTCATCGCTCATCCTGTCCTTGTCTACTCTTTGTCCCCTCCCCCATCACTCCAGCTTCTACAACTCACAGCTCAATCCACGCAGAGTTCATCATGTCTGCCTTGCAGAGTCTCCGTTCTACTTATCGCCTCAACTCCGGCCACGAGATCCCCATCCTAGGATTCGGGGTAAGCAGTTTCCCCATCCCATCATACCACGCTAACAAGTCCAGGTCTATCTCGTGTACGTCCACTGATCACATTCACCCCTCCCCTACCTAACTAACCCCTCAGTCCATCCTCCCAAACTGAGAAACCCGTCCTCGAGGCATTCAAGGCCGGCTACCGTCATGTATGTCCACCCCCATCCCACCCACACTCAACCGAAACCAACCCCGCAGGTCGACTCGGCGATCATGTATCGCAACGAAAAGGCGTGCGGGCGCGCCATCGCCAACTCGGGCCTCGACCGATCGGAGATCTTCTTTACAACCAAGATTCCTCCGGAATCGATGGGCTATGATCGTACCAAGCGGGCCATTGACTCGAGCTTGCGGGAAGCCCAGCAGGAGTATTTCGATCTGTTAGTCCATCCTTGCATCTGTGTATAACTATCTAATGAGCGTAGGATCTTGTTGCATGCTCCGTATGGTGGAAAGGATGCTCGTCTCGGGTCGTGGAAGGCCCTGGTGGAGGCCCAAAAGGCCGGCAAGACCCGATCCATCGGGGTCTCGAACTACGGGGTGCACCACCTCGAGGAGCTGGAGGAGTATATCCGGACGGGCGGCGGCGGGCAAATCGACGTCGGACAGTATGAGCTGCATCCGTGGCTGGACCGATCGGAGATTGTGCAGTGGTTGCAGAGCCGGAACATCGTGGTGCAGGCGTATTCGCCGTTGGCGCATGGGACGCGCCTGGGCGAGCGGGTGCTGCAGGAGTTGGGGAAGAAGTATGGCAAATCGCCGGCGCAGATTATGATCCGGTGGGGATTGCAGAAGGTGAGTGTATGCCTGTTAATGTGTGGGGTGAGTGACTGACGAGAGTAGGGGTTTGTGCCTCTTCCTAAATCGGTGACTCCGAGTCGCATCCAGGAAAACGCCGATGTGTTTGATTTTGCGCTGTCGGATGAGGAGATGAAATCGCTGCATACGGGCGAATATTCGCCTACGGACTGGGATCCGACGGTGGACTACGATTAGCAGACTATGTAGTGTTGTACTGCTCCATTGTAGTGGAATGATAGATGGTTCTATACTTGATCTCTTGTATCTCGGCTTGGCGCGGCGGCCCCGCGGGGCTGCTTAGCAATTCCTCTCTCCCCGCCGACTTCGACGTTCAACGCCTCCATTCTCTTCTTCCTATCTTTACCCCCTCATCCCCTTTTCCAAATATTGCCGCCACGATGAAGTTAATCCTCTCTACCTCGTATGTCCCCATCCCCCTCTCAATCCCCCAACCCCCCCACTAACCCCCCCACCCAGCAACCTAATGACCAGCGGCTCGACCGTGATCCGCCCACCCACCGAAAAGTCCAACGTCGAACTGATCAACTCGCTCCGCGCCAACCTGCACGCCGCCCAATCCACCTCCCCAAGCGACTACACCACCTGGACCAAATCCAGCCCCCACGCGCTCTACATCCCGGCCACCGACTTCGCCCAGGGCCTCTCGGAAGAACGCTCCCAATACGACATCACCGTCAAACTATTCTACCTCCCGGGGATCCCGGCGTCTCGGCGATGCGCACACACCCGCGAAGCCATCGATCTCGTCCTCAAAGAACTCCACGTCGACTCGATTGATCTGCTGATCGTCTCGTTCCCGGGGATTTTGTTCGACGCGGACGATGATAGCGAGGAGGAGGAGGAAGGCTCCTCCGACAATGGCAGCGAGGAACCGGATGACTTTGACAGTATTATCCAGACGTGGCGCACACTCGAAGAATTGCAAGAGCAGGGGATGATTGCGCAGTTAGGGGTCGCAGAGTTTGGGAGTGAGAGGCTGGCGAGATTTCTCCCCCATACGAAAGTGAAGCCCTCGGTGGATCAGATCAATTTGAAGGATTGTTGTGTCGTGCCTAAGTCGTTGATTCTTTATGCCAAGCAGGAACATATTCAGTTGCTGACGCATAATGATTGCAATGATGTTTTGCCGGTGGGGACGACGAGGGAGTTGTTGGGGCCCGGCGAAAAGGGCGTGGGGATTTTGGCCTCGGCGCCGGATAAGGATGATGGGATTCAGGGGGATGTGGAGCCTCAGTGGGTGGTTAAGTATACGGCTGTGGTGAAGGATCGGGGTGTTGTCGAGAATAAGGGCTATTTTGCCCTGGCGGATGTAGGCAGTTGTGTGGTGAAGCCGTAGACTGGATTTATATTAGAATCTTTGGAGCAGAGCACGGCGGCGTTTAGGTATCTAATGAGTCATGAATACCCTACCACTATACAACTCATATCCATACCACATATCAAGGAACGAATAGATCACCCCAACATACTCTTCTTCCTCCCCCTCATCCTCACATCCTCCAATCTCTTCAACACCGACCCCGCCCCCCGATAACTCGCCCGATATCCCTCCAACACCTCCCCAAACAACGGCTCCGTACGAGGATGCGTACTCCCAAACGCCCGTTCCAAGACATACAAATCCACCGCCCGATCCTCATCCTGGATACTCTGACTGGCGAGTCCAAAATCAATCAACACGACCTCTCCCTCCAGATTCGGTTCCTCCCCATCTTTCCACCCCTCCTCCCCCTCCTCCTCGTCCACCCCCCGAAGAATCAAATTACTCGTCGTCAAATCCCCATGCACCACCCCGGCCTTATGCAAAGCCCCCACAGCCGCCCCAACCCGACGAAGCAATCCCCGGATTTTCTCTTTCTCCCTCTCCCCTTCTGCTTCTGCACTCGTCTCCAACTGCGCACCCCCCCGCGCAACAAACTTCTCCCACCGCGAAATAACCACCCGCACCACACACCCCGGGATCCATTCCATGAGAATCCACGCCCCTGCCCCTGCCCCTGCCCCTGCCCCTGCCTCTCCCCCCTCTCCACCCCCCTCCTTCTTCCATGACTCAATCGACCCCAAATCCCAATCCACCCCCAACACGCCCGGCACATTCACCCCCTCGCGCACGAGACGCGCCATGCACCGCGCTTCTTGTAACACGCGCTGACGCGTCAAGCGGCGGTCGAGGATCGGGTGGCGGTAGGGTTTGGAGGGGCGGATTTTTAATGCCGCGGGGTGGGCGGGCGAGAGGAAGGTCGTTTTGTAGAGGTGGGCTTCGGCGCCTTGGGTTATGAGGGTCATTGGGGTGGGGGTGCTGCTGCTGCTGCTGCTGCTGGTGTTGGGATTGAGGGTGTGGTGGAAGGGAGGGGGGAGGGGGGGTGGGGTGTAGGTTGGTGTTGTCATTGTTGGGGTTTGGTGGTGGTGGTGGGTGTGGTTTGAGGTGAGGTTATTGGTGGAGTTGATTGAGGGTAGGTGGTTTGTGGTGAGGTTGTTGGAGGTTCGTGAGGAAAGGTGGTGGTGGTGGTGGTGGTGGTGGTGGTGGAGATGTAGGTGGTAATGGAGGGGTGAGGGGAGGAGAGAATTGTTATCGAAAAGTTCGGTGGGGCTGCTATCGTTGGTCGGCGGCGCGGCGCTGGGTTGGTCGTTGGTGGGTGGGTTAAGCGTCTACTCTACACTTTACTCTTATTCCGTTTACTATAGAGCATGAAGTATGTTGCTTTGATTATGGTTTCTTGATTTAGTGATTTTTAGTTGAGAGTGATATCTCTCTTGGTTCAGCTATAAACTAGTCTCTCCTTGGACTCGTCAATAATAGTATACCTCCCTCAATCAGATGGATCCAAACCTGGTAGAAGACCTTTAACCCGCGTCCACTGGTAAATGCTTCTCACGACTTCTTTCTTGCCTCGAGAGCACGGATACATGGTTTCTCGAGAATGATGTCTCAGAAAGCTGCAGTCGAGACAAAGTCCTATTTCAGTCCCAATGGCTTGATGCATGTTCCACCTGTATATAGCACCATCCATCAAGGGCTTCTTCTCATTCACTTCGACATCTAATTTCATCAGCTCAATCTCGCGTTGAGATTTTGGCCTCATAGATGCTGCCGGAAGGACTTGGGTGCTCATAGTCAATATATCGTCTGATGTTGCTCTGCTTCAGCGAACATATCTTCCCCCGAGAAGAGTCGTACCAGAAATAGATGCCTTTTGATGCATGCAGTTGATCTGCATGTATTCCCGACAGGAAACAGTATATAGACAAGAAGGGAGGCTCATTCATGATGCACGTTTCATCAGGAACCCAGGAATGACAGAATGCAGACACTCGGTCATCGGGCTCTGCATTAGACAGAGACTCCGCGTATCCTTCTCTTCTATAGCCGCTCGCATGATCTCAAGTCGCTCAGAGACATCTTGTCGCTAGCGTTAGCAGCCCTCCGTGTAGTTTGTCTTCCCGATTCCTGTTCCTGGCAACTTTCTCCTGTAACTCGCGGTGCTCCTAGTTGTGCGACTCCTGACTCGTATCCTCCTTCCCACAAAGACACCATATCGTCGCTAGACTGCGCTGCAATTGCTACACAGTACCGACTTGCCCACTCATGGCCACGGTCAGCCTCCTAGGCGTTCTAAGCTCGTCTGCCTCGGATCAAATCGGATACCAAGTTTTCGTCCCGGATGTTAATCCTCTCGATCTATCTTATATATCCACTCCCAGACAAGTCCAGATCACCAATTGAGGCTTCAACACGATAATAAATCGCTTAGCAGCGCGCGCAAAGCCACCTGAAGGTAATCCACGGAACAAGCAACGAACTCAGCAGCATAGGCTGCCTCGCGAGCATCACCAAGCCCCGTGATTGATGAAGCAGAAATGGCTCAACGGGATGCCTCGGTCATGTAGACGCGTGTCGACTGAGATACCGTTTTTGTTTTCATATTGTGCTGAGCTTCTTGGTTTTGTAGAGTGAGAGCTGGGTACCGGATAGCTGCGATTGCCGCGTTGTAGACTCCTCGTGTATAAACCCGGAGTATGGGCGATGGGGTTTCCCCATTCCATGTTTCAAGACCGTCCATGCTGGATGGGCCACACTCGTATCTTCAACAAATGAACCCCTATTTCAAGGCCAAAGAGCGAGACGCGTGGTGCCTGGGACAGTACAAGCTAAAAAACCGTACCAACTCTGCTGAGGGTCGAGGTATGGAACTGTTCCAGACACTCCCAAGCCCCATGCGATCACTCCCACAATCACACAGAAATCAGATAAGCTCCTGCAATCCGAGAAACCTGCTATGTACATCCATCGCAACATCGGTTTCTGGTTCCTGGTTTCAGGTCGGGTGTCTCGCAGCACCAGCACCCATCGTCGATCTTTCTCGAAATCCCGCCCTTGGGACCTTGGAAGAAGATTGTCCTGCGCTGCGCTGTTTTCCAAGCAGCAAGGGCATCGATAAATAAAAAAACAAATTCTTCGAGTAAGGGATCAATGTTCTCTGCTTTTCGGGTTATATAGAGATTTCAGACAGCAGACCACACGAGACGCTAAGTCCGGCTTGTACTGTCGAGGGTCTTCATCATCTTCGACATGCCTTTTCTGTTGTCTCGGGAGATGAGCGTCGTCTTCGGTTTTTTATGTGATTTTGTGTATTGTATAGGAGGCGAGTGTCACCGGCTTCATACTCGCTTTGTGTGAGAGAGAAGCAAAGTGGACATTGTATAGTGAGTTGACTCTGGAGAGGCCATCTCGGCTATCCAGGGTGATCTGCTCTGATGAAAAGAAGATAAGGGAAGGCTGAGGATGGCGGCTTTTTATAGACTGGATCCGGGACAGAGGCTTGTGTCATTGTGGTAGGTGCCGTATTTTGGAGGGGTTTATGTAGGGGGATTTCTTTTAATGGACTGCGATTCCCGGGTTGAAGGTCAGCGGGAGGGAATTGGCGACCTTTCTGTGGGATGGTTCGTAAAATATGCCGCGAAAATGTAACGTCGTCGTCTACGGTAGGGACCATACGATAATGCAAAGCATCATTGATAAACATGTAGTGACCTTGATTATCTATATTGTCAAGAGCTTAAAAGTCAAGGCACCTTCATCTAAGAAAATCTCATCATAGTTATTCAAAGCACCTTGGCAACAAATCTAGACCTGATAGATCAAGAAGCATAAATCATAGATACAAGAAAGTGGGAACATCCCTGGGCCACAGCCCATCACTTGCGCCTGTCGCCAACCACATGATGTGTTTCAAAAGAATAAAGGATAAACAATCATTTCACCTCATTGGCGTCAGAGAATGGACTCTCGACGCGCGGCGGGAGGTGTCGACTGCTTCGGTTGGACCGCGTGCCCTCGGGCATCTCAAGCAGAGAGGACGCTCGTGCATCCCTTTCGGTCGCGGGCTGGTCCTTAAAAGGGCTTTGGCTGACGGCCGGCGAGTCTTCGATCACGGTAGTAGGTCGTGATTGTGTCTCGTCCTTGGCTGTCTCAGCTTGGTTGGTTGGTGCCTTCGTAGACTGTTTGGCGGTGTCCTCTTCGTCCGAGGAATTGGCGTCAAAACCCGATGTGGGTGACTCGTCCTTTCCCTTGGTGCTAGGCGAGCTTGAAACCGCCGCACTGGAAGTCTCCGGTTGCTCGTCAATGGTCTGGACGCCCGGAGATGCCGAGGCATTGTTGGTCTTCTTTTTCTTCGAAGGACCCCTCACCATAACCGGCTTCGCAGTAACCGTTCGGGCGACAATCGAGCTGTTGCTATTGGCCGTGGTGATGCCAGCCTTGGTGAGCTGTGCTTGCGTGATGGCCGGGACAGCCGGGGCATCGGCACCGTTGATGTTGACCACGGCGGCTTTCGTGCGCATGACCTGTTGAGCAGGCATCGGGCTGACAATGGCATTGTTGCGGTAGATAGTGGTGGCCACACTGCTGCGCAAGCTGGGAGCAATGCTACGGCGTTCGTTCGACATTTCAGACCAGGTCGAGTCGCGAAGGTCGCCAGGCATGAAGAAGTGCTGATCGGGGTGAGCGCCCGGCAGCGGAGGAACCGGCGGCACAAGGTGACCTGGCGTTTCGGGGGGTGAGCGGTTGGTGACACCGGGAATATAGGCGATTTGAATCACATTCGAGGCGCGCGTTAAGACAGTGGAGGCAATGGAGTGCGTCGATTTTCTCGACTGTGCAGCATCGTTGAAGGCACTCGACTTCTCTCCCACACTAGCTTCCTGCTCCTGGCGCTTCTTTCGGATGAAGAACCACCACACAAGAAACGTGACAATGGCGACGAATGCAAGACCACCAATCACTCCTCCTGCAATCGCTCCAGCGTCACTGCCTCCTCCACCAGAATTGTTGGAGCTCGAGCTGTCGCCCGACGTTGGGGACTTGACACATTTTGTGCTTGCGCAAGCGGTACATGATTGACTGGTCATAGTACAGGTGTAGCCATCATCGCAAGTGGGGCAGGATGGGGAGGTGGTAGGACATGACACACAACTTCTGAAGGACAGAAGAGAGCGGGCGAACAGGACTGGGAGCAAATCAGGTCAGCAATGCGCAATGCGCAATGCGCAAGGACGGTCAGAACCTACCATTTGGGGAGGTCGGATCGGAGGGATAGAAAGACATGATGGAAGATGAGGAATAATCAGGTCGCGGCGAAAACGAAGGAGGTATAAGGTTGGGTCGTGATAAACGCTGCTGCTAAAGGGCAAGAAAAGAGAGTGGCGGCCGATCAACGGCGAGAGAACGTGAAGAACGTAGGAGCAAGGTAAAAGAGTGTGGATGCTCAACAGACGTCAAGTCGTGAGTGTTGCTCGGTCATGAAAAGAGCACAGCGAATTTAGACAAGCGAACGGAAGTCGGTGGTAAAGAAGTCGGTCGGACGGTAGGCAACAACGGTCATAGTATGCGATGGGAGTGGATCTCCGTCAAGGTGAGGCGGTAGAGGATTCTCCCAGTCGGGCGTGTGGTCAGTCCCTGGCAGTCTGGCAGTCTACTGTCCGGCACCCTGCGATGGGCAACCACAGTGCATGAAGAGTGATAGGTCGCTGGAGTTGACGTCGGAGAAACACGCGTTGGTGGCTGCCAGGCACAGTCCCACCGCAGTGACGAGTTCAGGAGAGGGAGCAGAAGATCGGAGGCGGTCGGGGAGAAAGGAGGGCGAGAAGGTGATGAAGAAGCACAAGAATCCAAAAGAGGGGGAAGAAGGAGCAAATGAGTGAAAGTAGAAGAAAGAAATGACTGATAGTAATAATAATAATAGGGATCACGACCAAAGAAAGGAACGGGGCAGTAAGCAGGACGGGGGGGAAATGCAGAGTGGGTGGTGGTAAATGCAAATGGAGGGTGGGAGACGCGGAGAGGGCGGCCGCCTGACTGCCTTGGGCTTAGTGCTGGGCTGTGATTGCTATTACCACGCACTTGGGGCATTTATTACCACTCTCATGCAGGGGATGCTGATGCTGCCACCCAATGTTGGTTCCTCCCAAAGATGGGTTCATCCTGATCCATCACATCTTAAGTATCACCACCGAACTCGTATCAAGAAGCTGACACCCAACTCCTTCAGATCATCGTAGACCACAGAAGTCAAAGCCCCTGGGGTGGTGGAACGCGGGCGGCACTCAAGCCATCGTCAATAGGCGGCATAGTCGGGAATAGTGCCGGAATATTGGCCGACTAGAGTGAATTCTACGAGACTCGTCCTACTAGCATCGCTCCCTCCGGAAGGAAATGACATGACTATTGGAGAATTATTTATTTGCAGAATCAGCCGTTGAGCGAGGGAAAATCGCCTCTGCATCTGCATAGCATGCCTCTGCAACAAAGCCACACACCCCTGGCATATACGGAACGGTGGATGACGGTTCCCATCATGCCCCATGATTCCTTACTTCTTGTGTCTCATGTGCAGCCAACTCACTCTTTGGATGTGTGCCAGGCACGGCCGGGCGTGCCTGGACGGGCTGGTCTCGAACCTCCAGCCCACGTTGGATTCCTTCGCCCGGAAATTAACACGGCACGTCAAGCCAATCACGAAGCTGCCGAGCACCCACCCGCAGCCTCAGGCACGGCAGGAGAGGAGCCATTTGATTAACTCATTAATCGAGATTAGATGCCGTTCGCTTCCATGGCCAGGAATTTGGCCGGCACTGAAGTGAGTCGACCATCGGAAAAGAGCCGACTGTTGCAGGAATTAGCCTTTGCTGGATTCGTAGCACAGTCTCCCACTATTTTTCGGGGTGACGAATATCCGTCCTTATTATGGTGTAATCAGAGTGAAGGAACACATGTTCGAGGGGCCTAATCAGAACGGCTGACGCTAATGGTGGATTCTGCTCAAGCCACGCGTCAGCCGGTCTCGATTCCGAGAGACCACTGTGCAATCGCACCGATACACTAAGGGCCAAAACCAGTGTCACCCCCAAGGATTGTTGCTTTTGTCTGCCAAACCCTATGCCAAGAATACACTTGACCGTCTTTGGAATTGTTCCGGGAACTCTATTTTAGGCAGGATATCGTACTGTATGTAAAGTTACATGACTCTCCCCAGCGTTCTTTACGCGTTTGCACAATACAGGACCAGGGCAACCCAGCTACGCAGAAGATGGAAGGATATATAGACGCTCCTCTCCTTTGTAACTTCTATCTTCGTGATCAGTCTACCTTATAGAGTTCTGAATTGGAGGCAAGACATTTGCGCAATCGATATATTTCTAATGCTGAGGTCCATATGACATGAACGGTGTCTGAAGTAGATCTCTTGCCGGCAGTCGTTCGCGAGGGTTTCTTTGTAACATAAGCGAAAGGAATGATGTTAGAGCCTCCGCACTCTCAGCACCAAACTTATTCGGTAACCTATCTCTCAGGTATCTCGTGAGGTTCTCATCGCTCAGGCTATTCGACTCGAGCCTTTGGCGAATGAGAGAACAGTGGTCACTGTCTACCTCCTCCCGTGTAAGGCCGAATGTATCCAGAGGGAACAGTGGCTCATTCGTTGCCAATTCAAATAGCTTCACAACAGGATTAGAAAGTGAAGGTAGGTTTTAACAGAGGTTTTAGCGTACCAAACAACCTAAGGTCCAGATGTCTGTAGCTTTGTCTAGAGTAGTGCACTCGGTATGTCGTCGTATCAGCTCAGGTGCGCGCAAAGATAGAGGCGTTACTGGTTGCTGGTCACAGTGTCGAATATATTGAGCTGATATTGTATGCGAAGTCTTAGCAATGCTGACTACACAAGATGTATGGATGGTTGTATCTTACCTCCGCCCAGATCCCCGATACTCACCTTGATTGTTGAGAAATGTGCATTATCCAACTGCCCTCGGCGCCTTTGCGTAGGCACTAAATATTTTGGGGCGCTGTCATCTTCAGTCACTCCTGGTAACCACTTGACGGGGCTGAACTCGGGAAATTGTAATAATTTCTCCATATCCATGGATCCGGAAACTGAAAACAGAATGTTCGCTGGTTGCAGATCTGCATTGGGCCATTAGACAGCTGCTTACACCACTTGAAAGCTCCGACATACCACAATGAACGATGCCTGACTGATGAAGAAAGTCAAGGCCCAGCAAAAGTTGGCGAGAAATAGCTTGAATATATCCTGCTTCATGCGAATTCCCACTAATTGTCATTGCTTGCCCATCGGATATCATCACTGGGAAAACAAGACACAAGTGAGTTCCATTCGGACCTGTGTGATAGAAATGATCGAGTAGTTCAATTACATGACCCTTTCCAGGGTGGTCCATGCCAGATTCTGACAAGGTAAGAAGGAAAGAAAGCTCTCTGTTGTCTTTGGACGCTTCTGCTTTTGATATTTTCAACACGACCTGTTGCAAGCCCCTTCAAGGCATTACATACTAGCCTGTTATTCTTATTCCAATGCCGTATTCCACGGGAAAGGACTCACCTATGTTGGTCCTTTGCAAGCCATACTGTTGAGTATTGGCCAAAAGCTAGCTTCCCAATGACTTCGTATCTTTGATGGAACAAGTCACGAAGGTGCACTGGATGATAACCCCCAGGGCGATACTCTTCAACAGGCTCTACCACGTCGTAGATTCTTTCGAATCGACGCATTGCGAATACCAGGTAGTGATGAAAGAGAGTTCTTCAAGACCGACAACAATGTAGTAAGGAGATAGAGAGAATTCCTTTGGCAAATTCCAGAGTGAACAGAAGACGTTCATGGGTCATGTGACCTAACTCCCAGTAGTGTCAGCATGCATCCAGTGATCACAGCGCGGAGCAATCTTATCCAACTGTGATATTGCATAGACCTCTTATGCTCTCTGAAAGGAGCCTGGTTTTCGTATTTTGCAAGTTAAAAGGGCTTGAAGCCTTATTAGCAGTCGAACGAGTCATAAACATCGACACACCACTCAAGAAATCAAGTCACTGATTGGGATTGTCTTTGTAGATATTGCCAGTTCGGTCGAACAAACGCTTTCTGCCCCGCGAGTACTTCCCAGGAGTAGAGTAGCGGATACAACCCTTTATCACTATAGACACTCTCCTTCTATTCCCTCCAGTTGATGAAAAGAAGTCGATGAGACATGGTTTCCCAATGAACTTCTCAACACACCAAGGTTTAGTATCAGTTGAGCGTCGAAAGATGGGTATATAATGAGGTTGGACCACAATTATAGGTCATGTTTTCTATTTAATTATTCAATAGAGTTAAAGAGTGGCAGTGGTCCATTGGATCTTGTGTCATTGGTACCTCCCCTCGACAAATCGGTGCCTCAGTCGCAGTAGTTTGGGTCCGATGCGTATGGGCTCATACAGATTAGGCACGTGATGTTGTTTTGAGTACGGTTTTAGACAATACATGGTTACCATCAACGTATTATCATCTTGGAACCATCTCCCAATATGAACTAGCGTGATTCTACGTTAGGGCTTGAGAGACAGAAAGAAGAAATGAGGGGTGACACTAGTTTCGACTCCTACTGTATTAACTTCGACTCTGCAGACTCAGAGATCTCTGGTATCATTGGCTTGCAGTGGGCAGAATGACCATGTCTTGTGGACAAGCCACTGCTGTCTTGTAGTCTGGGGTCAGGAACTGGATAAGTGCGACCCATTGAAGTGCTGGCCATATAGAGTCGCTTCATCCATCATTCAATATCTTGTCGATAAGGGATTAATTAATTTTAATATCAAGCCTTCACTAGATCTATGCTTTCCCCGTAAGCTGTCAGACTAATTATTGATTTGACAGGATGACATCTCAATAGTCTCAATCTTCTTGTCTTGGCATGTGCTCTTGGCTTCGACCATCATTAACGGCCAGCAACGACACAATTAATGGCGAGAGTATTTAGTAAAGACAGAAATCTGAGACAAAAGTTCTCTGCAATGTACATTTGTCGTTCTTGGTTTCTCACGCTACCTGTTGGACTCAGAAAGCCTTTGCGAATTAGCCCCTGAAATCAACTTCCGTACTTTGATGGTATGATGCTGGCTCGAATTGACAAAGCGGCGTTTGCATCCAGAACTACCTATATTCCATCATCCAGGTCTAAATATAGGAGACTGGTCAACATTCAGCAGACGATCAATTTCCTTTGGCGGTGGCTTGGACTGATAACTCAGCGACTGACCTACCATGCACCAACTTTTCATATACACACCCCCGGAATCCTGTATAGCTTTGTCTCGGGGCTTTCAATCAGATGATTCCATCGAATAGCCACCCGTTTTTCTCTTGCAATTGATGGCCATCAGAATTTAGCCTTATGATGCGGGGTAGCACCTTGCCAAAAATTCATCGAAAGCCGGCCTGTAATGATAGGGATCTGGGCATAACCCATTTCCACCGCCAAACGCAGGCCAAATATAAGGCCACAGTCTCAACCTACCATTTATTCTGGGATGCGATCATTCAGCACCAATCCTGGCTTAAAGGTAAGTTCGCGGCAGGTTGCATAAACGACGATGATGTCAGTCGGACCGTTGCATTGCCCCTCCTTTTGTGTTACGGCCAAGTATAGAATGTCGTCCGATGTACAACACAAAGGGAAGTCAAGTGCCCTGCGCCGTCACTCTGGATGAAATGGAAGCGGAACAATCTTATAGCTTGGACTTGCTAGAAGACAAAACGGGATGGTCAGGCCTTTAAGGTTGTTCTTGGAATGAAAATATTTGATAAATAGGTGTTTACTTACTGGATAAAACTAGGGGTTGAGGAATGCGGCGAAAGTTCGTTCAACTTTCAAGTCTTGGCGAAAAAGGCATCAAGTGACGTACATAAGAGCTTATCTAAGTCGCCAAGTTGGATAGGCTGTGGGGAGGAAAGATGCAGAATGCCAGAAAGTACGATGTAGGTACGTGGGTTGTTGTGCCTGTAGTGGAGGCAGATGGAGTACAGTATGCAGGGAAGCCGGTTCAACGTGCATTAATTCCCTAGGTGCTTGGCTTGCTGCGCATGAGCGGAAACTCAGAATGTTGCAGGTCAGGTTGACTACCTATTACACATCCAATATAGATTTTGTTGTCATCAATCTGCAAAGGTGCATGAAATAGCGATGGCCTGAGTTTGCGTAACTGGAATCTGTGATTTTCCTTGGCCCGATAGGATAGTACTTATTCAATAACAGCTCCTTCAGCCCTGTATCTAGTCACTAGATCCATCAGGTCTCACACTGACCAAAATATATAAAATGAGTCGATCTAGACCAACTCGACAGACTCAGCTTATTTTGGCTGAATTACTATCTCCTAGGGTGTACCCGACCGCTTCACTAAACCACGGTATAGGTGTAAGAGAGACAGCACGTGTAAAGATATATTTCGGCAATGCATGCTATGATGTAGTTTTTAAGTACAGTAGATGCAAAGACCACCTGCATAGAATGCCCACAACACATGCACGATCCAAACCCTCCGAGGCGACATCTGCTCAGTTCCATGTGTTATGGTTTTTCTCATATATCCCGATATCTGCGGCCATGGAATACTGCCCCTGAGGTGATCCATAGACTGGGTTTCATCCACCGCTCAATGTCTTACTTTCATCGAGTCGTTGCTTAGTTCGCGGTAGCCACTGACGATCTGTCTCTGGTTGTCGGGATGGGTAGCCAATGATGAATGGTCTCGCGCTTAGACGGACTGACTACTAGGTGGCACCAGGTCTTGCTCTATAATTATACCGCCGCTAATGGGCCCAGTGACTGCCACAGTACGGAGTATGTACCATGAGTACTGCACTGCCACAGCAGACCCTCCCGGACCTACATGCATTTACTTGGCCAACATGTGCGTATAGATTCGAGCCAATTGTGACTGCTAATTGCATAGGGTCTCGCGGTAGACTGTGGACAACTCACCGTTCGGAGAGTTCTGTTGCAGGTATAGATCTGGGTAGAACGAAACAATACTGGAGGTGATGGAAGAATAGCTACGGTATAATGATCAACTACCGCCTACTCTGCTACTCTACTCCGTACTATGGCATAGCAATCTATTCATTGATGATCCACAACGGTCGGCACATGAGTGACGGCTTCTAAGACACAATTCATAGCGAGATGAGAAAATCAAACTCCAAAGTTCACACAAAGCGGAATTACCCGACCGCCTTCCAGCGTGGCGAGTTGTGTGATCATGTAAGGGGTCTGGTGTTCCCGCCATTCGTGTTCCTCTCCAAATGTCGTCAAATAAGAAGCGCCTCTTCAAGCCCCGGGCTTGAGGGCAGCTGCAATCATGAGCCAAAAAAAAAAATATGTCATCACGCCTCCAAAGGTGCCACTGGGTCTGACTCGCGAGACTGTGTTGTCACCGCGTTACTAAAGATAGGGTCTCAATAGCTGGAAGCTAACCGGATGGTGTCTAGTCTCCCGCGCACGATAGCACTCCTGTGGCAGTGATGATCATCAGCCAGTGGCATCAAAGAGTAGACGGTGTGTAGGGTGCACCCTGGCATTACCTAACATCAGCACTAGACTCAACAATTGCCAGCCGCCTTGAAACCATGACTGACCAGTAAGCATGACCCCTCCAGCCGCTAATTGGGCTTTGACGGTCTTTGAGTGCTCCAGTGTGACCTTGGCAAAATTAAGGATTCCAGCCTAGCGCCTCTGGTGGCTCTGGATTGACCAACGGCCGATAAACACGGTCCTTAGGCCGTCAGGGAGGGGACACTGACTCCCCACAAGCCTATATTTGGCTGGGGAGTTTAGGCCTCTTTGGGTGCTCCCCGCCCCCTGAAACATTCACCCTCCGTATTGTCACTCCACCATACGGGACCGCGCCAATACCAGCCGCCACAGACTCTCCGATCTCCGATAGGTCACTTTTTCCCTGAGCAAGCAACAATGGGGGCCGGTTGGGGGATGTTTCAGATTGACAACCAGGGAGTCCAGTCAAATGCCACATACTACTGACGGTGGATGACAGGCGCGGGAGCCCTTCAAAGCGAGAAAGCGAGTCGAGCGATCTACTATGTAGATAGGGCACGCCGATGCTGACTGCTGGTGGCTGAGAGGGTTGTTTGTGGCCAGTTATGCTGGCGAGGGATGCGGAATGCCATCAAGGCGAGACCTTGGAAGTTATCCCGCCGACAGGTAGCCACTGTATGTTATTCACTGGGGCCTGCCAATGGCTCGATTTTCTTCCAGCACGCCGCAGATCCCTCCATGATGGGCTCGAGTATGACCCGACAGCCAGGATGGGCAAGAATGAACTCCATCAAATTCTTACCTCGACACGGTACGGAGGGCGACTTCCCCAAGGCCAGACCTCGACACGGTACGGTGACAATACGTGACGGGAAAGGCGGTGTTTTCAGGGTAAGTCGTAAGCAAAGAACCTCATGTGGACCAGGGTCCATATCCACTCGCCCGTAATCAGGGTTCAGACCCTTGATAATTTTAAATACATAACATTGGATGTGCGGAGCAAAGGCCAAGGAGGGGGAGCAGAACAATGCCCTCAACTTGTAACAATCAGGGGGGCCGGTACAGAGTACAGCACGAAAATTACTGTGTGTGGATCACTGGAGCGACGACAGGGCTGCTATGAGGGAGGTCTGGAAGGGTGGATGGAAGAATACATGGATGCAGGAGACGATCGGGGGGCAATAGCCTGCCCGACCTTGCGGTCAAAAGAAGAAATATGAGGGGATACCAAAGAGGCAATCCAGCCCCCCCAACCATCATCATCATCGTCAGAATAGAACAGAACAACGACTAGTAGGAGAGGACGACAACTATTATTATAGAGCTAGAGGCCATTCGCAGTAATACTCATTATCATCATCCTCATGATAAAAATAATCAAATTCAATAATACTCAGTAATCACCATCATCATCCTCATCGGCATCCACCGTGATTTGTACTATGTATGCACTGTACCCAGCCTTCTGGTTAGGAATCCAATACCATACCCAAGTTACCCACCTGGCCTCCAACCCAAAAAGACGAAAGACGCCAGGGCGACTGACTTGAAAGGAAAGCTGTCGCTCACCTTCTCGCGCCCTTCTGATTTTTCCGGTTTTACTTTTTCGACATCTCTCCCCCATCCCATCCCATCTCATCACTATCTATCCCGCCCCGTCTTTTTGTCTTCCTCTTCCTCTCTCTTTCCCTTCCCATCGCCTCCTGCCCCTCCCAGCTTTGTTTTGGGATCCGCTTCACTGACTGCCTTTTGCCCACCGCGGTCCGACGGGCTTCCCGAGTGTCTCCCCATCATCAGCTGCGATCGCAAGGTACCTGATCAGCCCTGGCGGCTTGTCCACGTTCCTGTTGACTCGCGCCCCTCGGTCAGCTTTTCTTTCAGCTGTCCTGCTGCTCCCCCTTCACCCTCGTTTGTCCTGCTTCGCGTCCGCGGCCTCTTTCAGCTCTTGTTTGTTTCTGTCTTCCGCTCCGAGTGGTTGCCCGCTTTAATCAGTCGCGCCGCCGTTGTCTGACTTCCCCCAGTCAGCGCCCTCCTTGCTCCTTGTTTCCCTGATACCCCTTCCCGTTGCTTTTGGCGCTGTCCTTGCATTCTGTTCCAACTGGAGGGTGCTTGAGCTTTGCGTTCGGTTTACGCGTACGACTTTAATATATTATCATCATCATCCACCATGGCCTACCAAGGCGCTGGTAATACTTCGCCTCCGGGCTACGATGATGGTGGCCACCGGCTTCAGGATCTGGCCCATGGCAACAATGTAAGTGTTTCCCTGACTGCCTGCTACTGCGCCGGGGAATCCCTCGACCGAGTCTGACCGGGTGATATAGTACGAAGAAGAAGCGTCGAGAGGATTGCTATCTAGCCAGACAGGCCCGTTTACGGGACCCTTTGATGACCCCCAGCAACGCAACCTGTCGCCCGCACGGCCCACCTCTGGATACAGCTTGACCGAGACATATGCCCCTGATGCGGGCTACCATGATCCTTACAGTGGAGGTGGCTCTGTTTACTCTGCGCAGTCTGGGGAAAACCCCGCGACTGCCTTTGGTGTTCCCGGTCGTGTTGCGTCGCCATATGCTCGCAGTGAAACCTCATCAACAGAGGCCTGGCGGCAGCGACAGGCCCCCGGAGGTGCAAATGGTGGGGGTAGTGTGAGCGGCGGCGGAGGTAACCTGCGCCGCTATGCTACTCGAAAGGTCAAGCTGGTGCAGGGTTCGGTCCTCAGCGTTGACTACCCGGTGCCGAGTGCTATTCAAAACGCCATCCAGGCAAAGTACCGAAACGATCTTGAGGGCGGAAGTGAGGAGTTCACACATATGCGATGTGAGTGATCCAACGGGAGATTTCAAGCTATGCAGTCAGTCGGAACTAACGGAGAATTGCTTTGGTCAGACACCGCGGCGACATGTGATCCCAATGAATTCACTCTCCACAACGGTTATAACCTTCGTCCCGCCATGTACAACCGCCACACGGAGCTGCTGATTGCGATTACCTATTACAATGAAGACAAGACCCTTACGGCTCGTACACTACATGGTGCCATGCAAAATATTCGTGACATCGTGAACCTGAAGAAGTCCGAGTTTTGGAACAAGGGTGGACCTGCCTGGCAAAAGATTGTGGTTTGCCTGGTATTCGATGGTATCGACCCCTGTGATAAGGACGTCCTGGACGTTCTCGCCACGATTGGTGTCTATCAGGATGGCGTCATGAAGCGTGATGTCGATGGAAAGGAGACTGTTGCTCACATTGTGCGTGCCCCAGATCTTTCGCGTGAATTGTGCTAACGGGGAACAGTTCGAATACACAACGCAATTATCCGTGACTCCCAACCAGCAACTCATTCGTCCGACCGATGACGGCCCTACCACCCTTCCTCCTGTTCAGATGATGTTCTGCTTGAAGCAGAAGAACAGTAAGAAGATCAACTCTCACAGATGGCTTTTCAACGCCTTTGGCCGCATCCTGAACCCCGAAATTTGCATCCTTCTTGATGCTGGTACCAAGCCTGGCCCCAAGTCGCTGTTGTCTCTATGGGAGGCTTTCTATAACGACAAGGATCTCGGAGGTGCTTGCGGTGAAATTCACGCCATGTTGGGTAAAGGTTGGAGAAACCTTGTCAACCCTCTCGTTGCGGCCCAGAACTTCGAGTATAAGATCAGTAACATTCTGGATAAACCGCTGGAGAGTTCTTTCGGGTACGTCAGTGTGTTGCCGGGTGCTTTCTCCGCATACCGATTCCGTGCGATTATGGGCAGACCCTTGGAACAGTATTTCCATGGTGATCACACCCTTTCTAAGCAACTGGGTAAGAAAGGTATCGAAGGTATGAACATTTTCAAGAAGAACATGTTCTTGGCCGAGGATCGTATCTTGTGTTTCGAGTTGGTCGCTAAGGCCGGCTCCAAGTGGCATTTGTCCTACGTGAAAGCCTCCAAGGCTGAAACCGACGTGCCGGAAGGTGCTGCTGAATTCATCTCTCAGCGTCGTCGTTGGTTGAACGGATCCTTCGCGGCCGGTATTTACTCGCTGATGCACTTCGGACGGATGTACAAGAGTGGCCACAACATCATTCGCATGTTTTTCCTTCATATTCAAATGTTGTACAACACGTTCTCGACTATCCTCACATGGTTCTCTCTGGGTAAGTCAAATCTCCGTTTGTGCAAGCGTGGGTATCTCTCTGACTTGTGCTATCAGCATCCTACTGGCTTACCACCTCCGTCATTATGGACCTGGTTGGAACTCCCAGCGACAGCAACGGTCACACTGGTTTCCCCTTTGGCAAGACGGCCACTCCTATCGTCAACACCGTCGTGAAATATGCGTACCTTGGTTTCCTGCTGCTACAATTTATCCTCGCCTTGGGTAACCGCCCGAAGGGTTCCCGCTTTTCGTACCTGGCATCTTTCGTGGCATTCGGTATCATCCAGCTGTATGTTGTCGTCGATGCGCTGTACCTGGTCGTCCGCGCGTTCAGTGGCAGTGCTCCGATGGACTTCGATACTACACACGGAGTGGGCGCCTTCCTTGGCTCGTTCTTCGGGTCGACGGGTGCCGGTATCATCATTATCGCTCTTGCTGCCACCTTCGGTCTCTACTTTGTGGCGTCGTTTATGTACATGGACCCGTGGCATATGTTCACCTCATTCCCTCAGTACATGGCCGTTCAGTCCTCCTATATCAACATTCTCAACGTCTACGCTTTCAGCAACTGGCACGATGTGTCGTGGGGTACCAAGGGTTCCGATAAGGCGGATGCTCTCCCGTCTGCAAAGACGACCAAGGAAGGGGGCAAGGAAGCGGTCATTGAGGAAATCGACAAGCCCCAGGCCGACATTGACAGCCAGTTCGAATCCACAGTCAAGCGTGCCCTGACGCCATATGTGCCGCCGGTGGAGAAGGAGGAGAAGAGTTTGGATGACTCGTACAAGAGCTTCCGTACGAGACTGGTGACCTTCTGGATCTTTAGTAATGCATTGCTTGCTGTCTGTATCACCAGCGATGGTGTGGACAAGTTTGGCTTCACGGTATGTAATTCTGTACACCGGATATATTATCGGTTGACTAACGGGTGCAGAACTCTGCCACCGACCGGACATCGCGGTTCTTCCAGGCTCTGCTGTGGTCAAACGCGGTGGTTGCGCTTTTCCGCTTCATTGGAGCCTGCTGGTTCCTGGGCCGGACGGGTGTGATGTGTTGCTTCGCCCGCCGGTAGAGGCGTGGCATGAAAAGTTGGCAACGAGAGATGCTTTGGCCGGGGCGGCAGGCAGAGGCCTCGGGGAGTTATTCTTGGCACATTTTTGTCGCAATTTTGTATTCTACATACGATGTTCATTCCTTGTTTCCCAGGGTCGCCGTGTTTTGTTTCCGGTTGGATTTGCACATTTGATAGGGCTGCAGACGATGTTTTGTAGACTCTTAGCGCATTAGAAATGGGATGTATTAGGCGCGGAAGGCAGGTTGATTGTTGGGGTTCCGCAACTAATGTTCAATATGGCACCAATTTACAGCGTAGGATCCGCAGAAAGCTGTAGTAGGAGGATGCGTAGAGGGAGAGGCATTCGGGCCATGTTGAGTGGCAACTGGACGGGCGGCGAGGTGCCAATGGGTTCATGGCGTCAGGCCGCGCCGCCTTTGCGGCAGGCTCCCGGCATCACCTCTGCTTCTCATATCTCAATCAGTCTGCTCCATTCACCAGGTTTTCTTCGTGGTCTGTCACGACGTGTGTTGATTGACTGCTGAGTCTAGGGCTGGTTCCTGTCTCACCAGCGTCGCTTTGCCCTGAGTGGAGCATCTGACCGGCCATCGGCATCAGCACCCCGCCGTTCTCTTCTCTGTCATCGATCGCCTCACCGCGGGGTTTGCAGTTCCCCGACCCCTACACTCTACACCAAACCTTTGGACACTCTCGAAATACCTGCTGTGATCGCATCCCGCCCAGGGTCCGTTAGCCACGATGTTGAAGATATGGTCTATGGTGCGCCCTCCCTCCCTTCCCCCTCCCTCTCCCCTCCCTATCACCCCTATAGCGTCACTAACCTCCACTTCAACAAACAGAAGCAACAACAGCAACAAGCTGAAAATGCCGAAGGAGCAGCTGGCAAAAAGAAGAAAGTCACGGCCGCTCAGTTGCGCGTGCAACGAGGTCTGTCTCTTCCCCCTCCCCCCAAGTTTACCACCCCAGCAAACTAACCAAGCATATGACATGGAACAGATCTCCAAGAACTCACTCTCGGCAGCACCATGAAAATGACCTTCCCCAACCCCGACGACATCCTAAACTTCACTCTCACCATCGAACCCGACGAGGGCATGTACAAGGGCGGCGCATTCCACTTCAATTTCACGGTCAATCAGAATTTCCCGCACGATCCGCCAAAGGTCAAATGCTCGCAGAAGATTTACCATCCCAATATTGATCTCGAGGGGAATGTGTGTTTGAATATTCTGAGGGAGGATTGGAAACCCGTGTTGAATTTGAATGCTGTGATTGTGGGCATGCAGGTATTTCTTTCTCCCCTTTCTGGTCTGGTGTTTGTTTGGTTTGGGGGAGGGGCCTAGGGGGTGAGTGAGGATGTGTGGCTAATGTGTTGTTTGGTAGTTCCTTTTCCTGGAGCCGAATGCTTCCGATCCGTTGAACAAGGAGGCTGCCGATGATTTGAGACAGAATCGTGACGCGTTCAAGCGCAATGTGCGTTTGTCTATGGGTGGTGGGAGTGTGAGGGGGGTACAGTTTGACAGGGTTATGCGGTAGTTGCCTGGGCCTGGATCTGGATCTGTGCCTGTGCCTGTGTATAGCTAGCTGGGAAGGGACCAACCTAGCTGGCCTGGTGTGTTGTGTTTAGTTTGCATTGATTTACCCAGATGCTGCTGCTGGTGGAGGGTGATTAGGGAGTTACGTGCATGACTACATTCCCATTTGGATTAATTAGCGACTGGATAGATTTCCTGCTTATGAAAGAAATGAACTTCTTGCTTTGTATATGGTTCTGTGTTGGATTACTGACTACATCGACCTAAATCCTACCAGTCGTTCAAGGAGCAGATAAATGGAACCGCATGTATGAGTACAAGCGTATATACAACTCAACAACTCAATAAAAGCCAATAAATCAAAAGTTATTCTTTATTCTTTCATTCCATTCCACTCCGCTCAAACACACACTCAACAGCCCTATCAACCACGCAATCAATCAAGCAACAACCATACCAGACGCATATCCCCCACCCAGGACCCTCACCCCTTTCTTCTAGTCACCATTGATCCTAATTGCCCATCTGGCAAAGCTATTCCCTAACCAATGCGCTAACCACAGGGCTTGATTCGTGCGTGTGTGATTTACTCCTGGGAAGCGGCGCGCTCGGCCTCAAGGCGGGTGTAGTAGTTGTCACGGGCGCGGACGCGGGGAAGGTGGAAGCCTAGGATGTTTTGTTAGATTGGAATCATCCATTGGATTGGTGCCATTGAGTAGAACTGGGGTAGGGATTGGGGTTGATACGTACCGTACCACCAGAGGTAGCCGAAAGTGGTACCGAAGCCTATTAACAATGCCGTTAGTCAGTTGGATCTTCTGCTTTGCGATTGACTATGCTGGATGGATTGGTTTGCGCGCAGAATGTAGGTGCTTGCTGGTAGTATAGTGCAGTGTGGTGTGATGGGGGATAATAAATGCGAGCGATATCTCTAGGCAAATCGCAAACGCGCGGGAACTCGACTCGGATCGAAAGGGAACTCACCGAAGGCGGTGCTCAGGTCAAGGACCAGGGTGCGGCGGAGCATCTAAATCAAATACCATGTTAGTTGGGGGTTCAATTTGAGGGTGAGTCCGGTGGGAGGGTGCGTCTGGGAGGGTGGATGAAAGTGGACGTACGCCGGTGATGGGAGGAACAGCGGCCATTGTGATGGATTGATGTCTTCAATCGGTTCTGACGGAGGGGGAGAGAAGATGTTCGGGCGGCTCAGCCTGCGGGATTGTGGTGGTGTGGGGAGAGGAGAGGAGAGGGAAGCGAGCGGTGATGTCGAGGTGAAAGTCGAGGTGAAGCTTTCCGGGCCGGCGAGTAGTAAGCGACGGCTGTGAGTGGCCTGATTGCCTGGGGGTGGTGGGCGTGCAGGAGGGACACCACGGGTGGGGGTAATAAGGTATAGGTGGACGTGAGGTTGGATAGAGGGATTACTACTACTTTTATGATTTATGAGTTGCTTGTATTTACTTCGTTGTCGTTAGCTATGCAATTGAGTATTGGAGTGAAAGCGGTATCTGCCTCAGGCAATAACACGTGACCCCGCGAGAGCTGTGTTTGGCCGTTTCTGATCCTCGCAATTCCTCCATCAGACACCGGCGCCATGGTCTTCCCGGAAACCAACCTCAAGCGATCCTCGTCATCCTCGCTGGATCATCCAAGCTCCTCAGATGTAAAGCCAATCAAACGCCCCTACCACCATCACCATCGTCTCCAAACACCCGTTGTCCCAGCCCTGCCGGAACCTGCCATTGTCGACGAGTCCTGCATCGACCACGTCTTGGATCGCTCCATCGGACAGTATCTACGAGAATGCGGATTTGATGTCGCCGACCCTGCGGCGCTGGACGCCTTTCGCAGAATGACGGAGGAATGTACGTGATTTCAAGCGGTTCGGATCGGACCGTGGGTATTGACATGGTCTGTTGGTATAGATCTTCTGCAATTCGCCTCGTATGTGCGCCAGTCGATGCTCTCCAGCCGGCGCGTCCAACCCATCCCTCAAGATTTCGAACATGCTTTGATCAGGCAGTCCGTGCCTGTGGCCGACCTTCTCCCGCATGTGAAACGCCATCCGAATATCGAACCCATTCCGACCCTTCTACCAAGCCCTCCACCAGAAGAAGACTCCTTCAAGATTTTGCCCTCTCTAGGCCCGCTGCTCGCCGATGAGGATGATCGCGCCCGCAACGCCTACATCCCGAAACACTTTCCCGACTTTCCCAGCAAACACACGTATCGGCACACGCCTGTTTTCACGGAACGAGAGCAGGATCCGCGCAAGATTCGGGAACGAGCAACAGAGGATGGTCGACACGGGGAGGAGGCGTTGCGCAAGCTGGCTCGTGCGGCCTTCAAAGATAATCACTCTGGTGCGTCGGTTCGGGATAAGAAGCCGTGGGGACGACGCGCCGAGAGCATGGACGGGATGTTCGAGAAGACAGTAAGGGCACTCGCGAAGAAGATTCAGAAGCCTGCGACCGGTCCGGGTTCTGGCGCCATGGAAATCGACTCGGGGGCAGGTGCAGAAGACAGGACATCCCGGTCCAAACTATCGCTAAATATAGAGCTGCCTCCGATCATCAACTGCGAGCGAGACTTTTGGCGACGGGCGCCCACATCTGGGAGTCGACGGTCGGAGGACAACAAGCCACCCAGCTCCAAGGATACCCCCGACCTGTCGAGGGTGGATAGCTGGGTGGGCGCATAATCAGCGGAGGGAGGCGTCAGGCGTTCAGCTTTTTTATTGTAGCATAACCGAGAAGATACCCATGGAGCAAGATGTCAAATAATTCAATCAATTGGTTAATCACGTAGCTTGACGCCACTGTGCCTTCGTAGACCGAACGCCCTCCAACTCCGTACCATGCATCGAGCTGTCCCATTAAGCTGCTGAGCTGCTCTCCGCAGCGCGTTTGCGCTCCTCCTCTTCCTTCGCGATCCTGATCGGCTCCCAAGCAGTCGTTTCAACCGTCAATCCGTTCGCACACCTATCACAAAGTAACCGTCAGCACCATTCCCTCAAGCTCAAGCAAAGAAACAGAAAGCCACCGACCGTCGAAACAGCCGCACGATCGGCGTGCAATTCACCACCCCCGGTGCAGGGATGCCCTCCTGCGGCGGATTGCACGAGTATTGCACCATCTCCATCAGCTTGCACTTCTCCAGCTCGACGGGACCGCCCTTGCGCCGCTTTTCCTGGAAGTTCTTGGTCACGACGTTGACGTGGTCGGGCAGGGCCTCGGCGGAGAAGACGGGGACGAGAGGGGCCATTGTATCGTTTCTTATAATTTCGGATGAAGATCTGAGTAGGGGTTTGTGGAATTGCGCACAGAGGGGAGTAATGGCGAGCTGGATGGTGGTGCTGTGCTCGGGGAAGGAAAAGTGGATGGAGCGGAAGCGTTCGCCGGCGCCGTAATCATCTCATCCCCGTATTGAGTGTCGCACCGGGACTGCCCGCGGGGTTCTTCAAATACTCTTTGGTCCGGACATATCTGATATTGCACTTTCGCGGGATAATGCCGGTCATCAGTGATTCCCAGAAGTAGGACTGCGATGGCTGCTAGTTTCGGGGAGAATTTACTGGGGGAAGTGCATGAGGAGGGGCTGGATGAGGTATGGTGCTGCTTGCTTGCTTGATCCGATCCTTGAACCAGATGTATTGAATAACGCTAAGATTTATAGCTTCTTCATGATCTGTATCTTGGGAGTGCCGAGAGTGCTATCTTGAGGCCCCGTCTAGGGGTTCAGGTGCTGGATGATCTTCTGGATGTTTTCACGACGCCGCCTGCTGCACAGGCTATGGACTTAGAGCAGCCTGTGTCGCAGGATCTCCCTCCAGACAATCAAAGGGAACATGGGGAGCTCTCTGAAAGTCGGCTTCTTCAATCACAAGGCAACCATGATGATGCGCATGCAAACTTGTATATTCCGCCGTTTGTGAACAGTAACCGTGCAGAACCGGTCCTGGAAATCTCAAGCAAACTATCTGCAGCTGGAAAGTCGCATCTGCTGTACTATCTCACTGCGGTGGCTATCCTGCCATCAGTGTTCAACGACATTCCCCTGCATGGCCGCGAATCAGCTGTGGTGTTCCTAGACACAGACGGCCGGTTCGACGCTGAGCGGATCAGAACAGTGTTAAGAGGAATTGTCAAAGCCAGAATCAAGTCGCTAGCTGAGACATTGCCCGAAGAAACATCGGCAAATGGTAAATCGTTCGACTGCTCGGACGAAGACGTCGAAGACATGCTTGTTGTCTGCTTGCAACATGTCCATGTCTTCCGTCCGCAATCGTCATCGGCTCTGCTTGCTACCCTCCAGCATCTAGATGCATACTTACTCAATCTCACTCGCCACCTCTCTTCCAACAGACCGGTGCATGCTATATTACTCGATAGCGCCAATGCTTTCTTCTGGCAGGATAAACTGCAGGATGAAATTGCCCGCGTGGGGGATATCGGACGGCCCGGTGCTGACCTTGAGCGTGAGCGTGCCCAGAAAGAGAACTTCTATATAGCAGACCTCTATGCCGATCTAGTCGCTGAATTGAAGCGGTTGCAAAGACTGTTTAGCTGTGTGGTCGTCTACACTACGATTGTTCAGGGAAAGTCTGCCGGGGCTCAGGGCAACTCGGTGTATCAACCATCAGGGCCATACGACTTATACAACCCCGGGCCTTCTATCCCAAGAACACCTTCTTTTCGTTCCTCCCTCCCTGCGCCCTGGGGGACTTTTCCCACGCTGCGGGTTGTCGTTCAGCGGGATGCGGTTCGTCCGTTTCCGTCTACGATGACTGCGCATGAAGCCCAGCGCGGTGCGTCTCAGCGACAGGGAGTCGTCAGTCGCGGGAGGTTCTCCGGGTGGGTGAATGGGTGGGGCCAAGAAGCCTGGCCGCGACGAGTGCTTGAGGGCCTAGAAGAACACAATGGAGGCAGGTTCTCGTTTCATGTAGGGAGAGACGGGGTCGACATTGGTTGATATTACAGCTATGTACACTGTGCAGGCATGACATCAATCACCTTAAGCAGATTATCTGCTAGCCGAACAACTTCGCAATGGCCTCAACCGTGGTGTTTCCTCCGCTGAATACGATTCCCACGTCCCAACCCTCAGGATCCTCCTTTTCGACCAGTCGTCGGAACTCCTCGTTGTACAGGCAAACAGCCAAACCAACCACGGCACTTGGCTCTACCACAACCTTCATCCGCTCCAGCACCAACCGCATTGCTGCCTTGATCTGCTCCTCTGTCACGGCAAACACTCCAGCAACCTTGTTGCGGTCCGCAATCACCTCCCAGTTCAACAACCCGACCGGCGTCCGCAATCCATCCGCGATCGTCAGCGTTGAGACGGCCGGAACACGCTCTCCGGCATCCAACCCCCGGCGACAATCATCCGCGCCCTCGAAAGTGGGCTCGGCACCAAACACCTTGGTCGTCTTATCCGAGAAGAAGGTTGCGACACCGGCATTAAGACCACCTCCACCGATGGGGGTGATGACCGCATCAAGAGCCTTGCTTTCCTGGTGGATGCTCAGCTGGGGCTTCTCAGCCAGCAGCTCACCGTACTGTTGCTCAAGCTCGAGGGCTGAGGTGCCCTGACCGCAGATGATATTGAAGTCATCGTACGGTGGGACCAGAATGGCACCCGTCCTTCCCTGTACCTCCTCCACGACTGCCTCGCGCTCAACGCTCGTAGATCCGCTGAAGATGACCTCTGCGCCGTGCGAGCGTGTCCCGGCGATCTTGGACGGGGTGCTAATCTCGGGCATAATGATGTAGGCGGGCACACCGAGCGTGGCGGCGGCGAGAGCGAGAGCCTGGGCGTGATTTCCTATATAACATCAGTAATCCCTTGCTCCATTGTACAACGTTGTCTATTAACAGACAGCTACACCTACCGGAACTATGCGTAATAACACCCCGTTTCTGCACCTCCTCCTTACCCCGCTCGGCGATGAGTCGCAACAGAGCGTGAAAGGCCCCCCGGGCCTTGAAGGCACCTATCCGCTGGTAGTTCTCGCATTTGAAGAAGAAGTGGAACTTGGGGTTGGCCGGAGATTGGCCCTCGAAAGGGGTTCCGGTCAATGCCTCAGGGGATTGCGGCGTCGAGGCGATGGTATTGAGGGTTTGACAGGTGAGGAGAGGAGTGCGGTGCACGTAGGGTTGGATAAGGGAGTGGGCAGCATGGACAGCCGCAGGAGTGAGAGATTGCACAAGGACAGAAGGGTCAGCCATCGCGAGAGGTTTGTCTATGAGGGTTGGAAACGGTCTATGAAGAGTGAAGAAGGGGAGAGAAAGCTAGAGGGGCAAGCGGAATAGTCCGACGATAAGGCCGATGACTCGAAGGGATATATCTCCGCCATCGGACCCCGCATTCACGCCATGCAGGCGAACCGGGACGACGGCAAGGAGACCTGCCTGGTGCAGACGCAATGTGAGACTGAGTTTAAGCCTAATTGAAGTGAATTGCAGTCTGTGGCAGAGGCCCGAACCTTCTTGGAGCGTCACTTGAGCCTTTGGGACCCTTTTGACCATTATAGCCTGATTGGGACTAGCGCGCTGTCATGCAGGAGCCACGTGACGGACGACCGAATCGGGCCAGAGTGGGAGGGGCACAAGAAATGCCGTATCGCCGATGAGTTGCCCCTCGTCCTTTCTGACTCACTCCAGCCCCTCCCACAACCCCCCCCCCCCAAGGTCGCAAGCATGGTCGAGGAGAAGCAGCCCCAGGAGACCCAGCCCGCCAACCAGGAGCAGGATATCAATCCCTGGTCCGTGGAGGGTGGTCGCGACGAGAATGGCGAGGTGGTCGCCATCAACTATGAGGCCATTTGTCGGTATGTGCCCCGGAGACAGCCATTGTGGCCGTGCAGCAGCCCACTAACCTCGTTGATTTAGGAAATGGAACACTTCCGTCATTGACGACAAGCTTCTCGAGCGCTTCGAGAAGGTGACCGGACACAAGCCCCACCGCTGGCTCCGACGCGGCCTGTTCTTCAGCCACCGTGACTTCGATCGCATCCTGACCCTCTACGAGCGTGGCGAGCCCTTCTTCCTCTACACCGGTCGTGGTCCCAGCACGGGCAGTCTGCACCTGGGTCACACCATCCCCCTGCAGTTCACCAAGTGGCTGCAGGATGTGTTCGACGTTCCGTTGGTCTTCATGTTGACGGACGACGAGAAGGCGCTGTTCAAGGACAGCGTGACCTTTGAGGATGCGCTGCACTTCGCCATGGAGAACGCCAAGGACATCATCGCCCTGGGCTTTGATCTCAAGAAGACCTTCATCTACAGCGACTTGAAGTACGTCAGCAACCACTTCCTCATGAACGCCTGGGAGTTCTCCAAGCTGGTCACTTTCAACCAAGTCCGTGGTGCATTCGGCTTCAACGAGAGGTATGTCATTTGTCACATGGCTTAGGGCGCAGACTCACCGTCACAGCACCAACATCGGTCGTATCTTCTTCCCCTCCCTCCAATGTGTCGCCGCCTTCGGTACCTCCTACCCCGAGATCTGGAAGGACGAGCCCATCCCCACCCGCACGCAGGAGATCGCCAACATCCAATGTTTGATCCCCATGGGTATCGATCAGGATCCCTACTTCCGTCTGCTGCGTGACAACGCCCACCGCATGCGCTACCCCTCCCCCAAGCCCGCTCTGATCCACTCCAAGTTCCTCACGGCCTTGCAGGGAGCGGGCGGCAAGATGTCGTCGTCGGATCCCAACTCGGCGATCTTCATGAGCGACACCGCCAAGCAAATCAAGGTTCGTCGTTCCTGATCACCCCACATCTACTGCGGACTGACCGGTTAGACCAAAATCAACAAGTACGCTTTCAGCGGTGGCCAAGTCAGCATCGAGGACCACCGTCGTCTGGGCGGCAACCCCGACGTCGACGTGTCGTACATCTACCTGACGTACTTCGAGGAGGACGACGCCAGGCTGGAGGAGATCTACAAGAGCTACAAGAGCGGCGAGCTGCTGACGGGCGAGCTGAAGAAGATGACGATTGAGATCCTGCAGCAGTACGTGGCGCAGTTCCAGGAGAAGCGCAAGGAGGTGACGGATGAGCTGCTGGCGGCGTACATGAAGCCGCGCAAGCTGGAGTGGAAGGGCAACCCGAACCCGGTGCCGGCTCCGGCCCCGGCCATCCGCACGAAGAATGCGTGATTGGCTGGCGAGCGGGAGGGTGCTGCTGGGTTGTGTGAGGCTGTTTAGATCGATATCCAAGCTATGCAAGCGAACAATAGATTATCCTGTGATCTGTCGATATTCCACATATTTGATTTTTTCCATTTCGTAGTCTTACAATGAAAAGAAAGATCGACCGTCCATCTACATAGTACAAAGTAATAGACCGCGGGGAAGACACGATCCCCGGATGATCGCCCGCCGGTGTACCTTAGTTACCTAACTAGTTAAGTAATCGATGACTCATGACCTCCCACCAGTTAGTTACTACACCCAACCACTACAACCATCAGGAGCAAAAAGGAAGAACGATGAAAAAATTAAGAAAATTTATTCCGACCCGATATACATCGCAGATGAAAGCGCGAAGATTAAAAACAAATCCCTAGATCATGGTACATCGTAACTTTTCCCACCGGGGTTTCTAAAGTAACATTATTATGATGGCGTTTATTTCTGGTTCTCGGGGCGGAGGGAGCTATTGATATTTCGTTAGTTGATGGTTCTGGAATAGAGGGAGGTATGGGAGGGAGGTATGGGGACATACCGAACAGCCTTTCCGGCACGCCAGATTTCGAGATCACGGATGTCCTGCATCTCCTTCTCGTACTTCTCACGGTAATCCTTCTGGGAGTTGTACTCGAGAGAACGCTTAGTCTCGGAGCCATCACGGACGGAGTCGTAGAGCTCGTTGAAGAGGGGCTTCAGGGTCTCCTTGAAGCGGGGGGACCAGTCGAGGGCACCACGACGGGCGGTGGTGGAGCAGGCGGCGTACATCCAGTCCATACCGTTGGAGCCGATGAGGGGGTAGAGGGACTGGGTGGCCTCCTCGACGGTCTCGTTGAAGGCCTCGGAGGGGGAGTGGCCGCGCTCCCGGAGGACCTCGTACTGAGCGAGGAACATACCGTGGATACCACCCATCAGGCAACCACGCTCACCGTAGAGGTCGGAGTAGACCTCCTTCTCGAAGGTGGTCTCGTAGAGGTAGCCGGAACCGACGGCGACACCCATGGCGATGGCCTTCTCCTTGGCGGAACCGGTGACGTCCTGGAAGACGGCGACGGAGGAGTTAATTCCGCGGCCCTCGCGGAAGAGGGTACGGACGGTACGGCCGGAACCCTTGGGGGCGACGAGGATGACATCGACGTCGGTGGGGACGTCGACCTTGGTGAGGTCCTTGAAGACGGGGGAGAAGCCGTGGGAGAAGTAGAGGGTCTTGCCCTTGGTGATGAGGGGCTTCAGGGTGGGCCAGGTCTCGGACTGGGCGGCGTCGGAGAGGAGGTTCATGACGATGGTACCCTTCTGGACGGCCTCGGTGACGTCGAACAGGTTCTTGCCGGGGACCCAGCCGTCCTGGATGGCCTCCTTCCAGGAGGCACCGTCCTTGCGGACACCGACGATGACGTTCAGGCCCTGGTCACGGAGGTTGAGACCCTGACCGTGACCCTGGGAGCCGTAGCCGATCAGGGCGAGGGTGTCGTTCTTGAAGTATTCCTGGAGCTTCTCGCGGGGCCAGTCCTCACGCTCGTAGACGGTCTCCTTGTCGTCGGCGAAGGTGATGGTCTTGACGCCACGGGCGGGGATGACGGGGGCGGCGGTGACACGGGGGAGAGCCGCGGAGGCGACCTTGGCCAGGGAGGGACGGGGGAGGGCCGCAGTCACGACGGACCGGGGGGCCGAGGCGCGGGCCAGGCGGAGGGCACGGGGGAGTCCACGGGAGGCCATGGTGGAGATGTGTAGGTAGAAAGAGGGGAGAGGGGGGTGAGAAAAGGGAATTGAGAATTGGGAATGGGGAGAGAAAGAGAAAAGAGAACGGGAGCTGGAGCAGCAGCTGCGGTCGGTTTATAAACTCGTTGCCCGGGACGAGATCGGCCAGCGGCGATCCACGTGATCCGGAGTTGGACCACTGCTCCCCGGCCGATGTCGGATTGCCGTGGCGGTGATTGGTCAATGGCGGGGAGGTGAGGAGCGAACCTTGCCGCTTGGGGTTAGCCCGGGGCTGGTCGGTTGCGGCGTACGGGGAAGGTTTTAGTCACCGCCGGGCCTGCAACCGCTCCGGCCATCGCCCTCACCGGAGTGGATGCGGCGGACGGAGTAATCTGGGGAAATCTCACGGTGACTCACGGCGAGATTGAGTCAGGGGCTGGTGATGAAGCACGGAGCTCATCCAATGCCATCGGTGGTTGGGGTCTGCAGTGGTCTTGCAGGTGTTTCGTGGACTAGGCTGGGCCGACGCTAAGCGGGCCAGACCCCTACTTGACAGAAACCGCGAGTTTTTGTGTGTCACTCAGATAACCAGGAGATTGGGAAACCCCAAGGGTGTGACAATTGATCATGCTACAGCTACACTGGGTTTTACGGTGAATGTTCGATCCGATTCGCCGCCGTCTAGCAGCCAATTCCAATGAGTCAAGCAATCCCTAATTCCCGCGATATGAGCGACACGGTAGACATCCCAGATGCACGTCTCGGGGTGGACGCCTGCAAGAATAGCATGACACAAGTGTTTTGGCTTCAACGGCTGCTTTGCAAAGAGCATCACGTGAATAGACAGAAGTAATCTATCTAGGTCGTTTTGGTCATGTGCGAAATATCTGTATAGCAAGACTCCGTTCTAGAGCATCCAGCCACCTGTCAAGATATCGCTCGTCTTCGTAATTTTCCTTTATGTCTCGTATCCTCTCCCGACAGAGTTGGCTCGAATCATGTCGAGACTCGGGTCATCTGGTGTCTCCGGAGCCATTGTCTGAAGGCTGTATGGGATAGTTACAACTCGAGAGTCTCGTGGTGATTTCAAGTCAGGAAACGGGTAGATCTGGGTCCACTGCGGTGTCTCTGCATGTCCAGACGGATTCGAGCAGCTCAAGACAGTAGCTGCGAGGAAGTTGAGAACACGGGAGAAGTAGGGGAAGTAGTTTCATAGCTGGGTGGTAGTTACAACAGGATGGTCAGAAGTCTAGCCTCGCTTACCTTTGTGGCTGATTTTCCACCTCTCAGAGTCGGAAGGCATAGCATATAGTCAAGTGAAGCGAGTTGAGCCAATTCGCAGATGGAATGCCCACTGTTTGGTTTACTCTCTCTTGTTCCATGTCATGTCTTGTCCTCATAGTCATCAATAACACACCGATAGCACGTTCTACAGGTTCTCTGCCCAAGCCATGCAAGTGTCTCGTTCTGTGTCGAGTGGCAGTCAAAACGAGAGATATATGACCAAAGTATGCCTATGTAGATAGTTGGAAAGAATCGTGCAGCACAGCCTGCTATAATCGTAAGCGATCAGAACTGGGAGATATATCGCTAGGCTAGGATTGTTCGCCAGCTGCAAGTTGCTGACGTGTAATGAATATACATATATAATTTTGGTATACTCATAACCGTCGATTGTGTCACCCATCGCCGCACCACTGGTATCCAAAGGCAACCAAAATCACTGGATGCAGGGCGTTGACAGTATAGCCTTTTAAGCCGCCATGAGTCCCACTGAGTCCCAGCACATTGCATCTTATTATATGTCGGCGATCTCCTGCGTAGGAACATCCGCAGAGTAAGCTCTGACTTTATCGAAATATATACCGCGACTTCATGATTGTTCCCAGAGTAGGTCAATCATATCCCTAGAAGATATGCTAAGTCCATCGATTGTAGGAAAATTCGGGGTGTGGAATGTCAATGGCAGATCCAACGGTGTGAATTCGGCCTCGTGTAGGGAACCTATCTGTATATATTGGTTCCCCGAGAACGAAATTCTCAAAGAGGATATGCGACCATTAGGAAAGAAAAAAAAGTTGTATTATGACTTGTCGGCCAGTTAGGTCTCTCGGCAGTCTTCACAGCAGGTCCCTATGATGTAGCAAGGCACGTATAAGACCATTTATTGGAATCAAACTTCTAATTCTGTCGCCTTCGTAGCGCTTTATCCTTGCTACGGTTGCCAGAATTGCTTCTGTTTTAGGTACGCTCTCATTTAGTTGCTTCAGTAGTAGTTGTATCATCTCATAGCAGAGATCAGCGTCAGCGACTCCACTGAACATATCCTCTGTGATGAGGTGTTGCCCTTTGTAGTCAATGAAGCACTTGATCAGACCCTCTGGCCAGTAGCCTCTCACAACTGCCTGGATTACTTCGGTAATCAGCAGGGTACTGCCTCTGTGATCCCGCAGGAGCCGCATCAGCTTACGAGCTTGGCGACTTTTTATAGCTCTTTTAATCGTGGAGTTGTGTTTCTTAGTTGCATCGATCATGGCCAGGATGTGCCCCCTGGTCCTGATCACTGCTGCCTCCCTGTTCGGCCATGTTGTCACGGAGACAACGCTTGGGATAATGTATTCAATGACCTGCTGAAAGGCCTTATTCCATGAGAGGTCATAGTTGGGCTTTAGCGCGGGAGTATCAGGATTGTCGGAGGTCATGCCGAGTAATGCATAGACCTTGTCATGGCTCCAGGTTGCCTCGCGGGTACGATACCTGTCGATGAGCTCACCGAAGGGGACTGTCCCAGGGGAGTGTGCTCGATACGCGGAGCGGAAGATCGAACCCTCGATGGGAGGCACGATCGAGGTAACTAGGCCTTCTAGGTCTGGCTGGTCCTGCAGACCCAAGACAAACGTGTACCCACTCAGTCTGACGGGACCACAGACAATCAGAGTTGACCGCGCCAGGCCGACCTCCTGGAGTACCCGAAGCATACCTTAGCCGATGTAGACAAGTCGAGGGGGGCTCTCACCCAAATGCGCCGGAATTACGTCCGTTGCAATAGCATTATAACCGCCGCATGATGGGAAGACGGAGCCCCCGGATACCCTTTTGGATCATCTTGCCCAAGTCGGTCCTTGCGACGATAGACCGAATTCTCCTCATCCTCCGCAGCAGCCAGACGTATGCTTTCCATTGCCTCATTGCTCCGATTCGTCTCCTCTCCCAGCCACACCATGACATTAGCAGCTTGTCCATAGATGGTTCCCACCAACGGCGCAACGCAACCATCTGGTCTACCTCCTCCATCTATGGCATGTCCCCCAAGAAACCCACTGCCGGTCTCTCTCTTCTCCGTCGGTATGTTGAAAAGGATCATGAGGATGCCCCCACGGTCACAATGTTCCTCCGGGCGTGCTGGGACTGTGAAAGGCACACTCCAATCTGTGATCGGGCTGGTGTGCGCGCTAGTGTAGGAATGTAACCGAGTGTTGGGCGGTATCAACGAATGATGTCTTTGGAATGGCGCGGATGGATCGTAGGGTTCTGTGGAGGAGACGATGCGTGCGCTGAGAGGGCTGGTGGAGAAAGGATCAGATCGGGGCGTGGGGCTAGATGTTGTGTGCTCATCGTGCTTTTATAGGGTGGTTTGTGGCTATACCAGTGGCAAACATGCATCCAAGTGCGTTGTAAAGGGCATTGTTCGGTCTTGTATCAGACGCTGTGCTTAATGGGTAGCGTTGACGGCAATCATAGCCAACCCGCTCATCTAATGCTCTCTATTAGGTACTGTTAGCATATAAAGTCAGTGTCCCTCCCAATATAATACAAATCCTACGCCCCCCCACTCAAACCCCCGCAGCAGACGTCCAAAGCCCAACAGCAGGCGTGATAAGCTCCCCTTCCCCCAACACCGAATTCAGCCGTCGACTGAACGCAACATCCACCTCACTAGGAGCAATCACCCTCACCCGCGCAACCGACGCCGCTTGACTGGTCCCACACGTGCCATTCGCACAACACGCCGGACTATCATCCGTACAACCATCCTCATTACAGCTACATTCACTCTTCACGGCCTGGCCATAAACCATCCACTCCAGGCACCCATTATCAGTTTGCGCAATAAAGCCACCCCCGTACTTCCCGGTGGTACCTTCTCCGCACCCGGAGCTGATCTGTTCGAAGGTTGCCAAACACTAGGGGGGATTGGGTTAGTCGCGTCAGGGTCATAAATAGATAGATGGATGAACGTACGGATTTCTTCACCAACTTGAAGGTCTTTTCCGCCTTGCAGCCGGATTGGTCATCGGCCCATTGGAGGGACGCGACGACGTTGGCGCCGTAGGGATCGGAGTAGACGTAGGTGTAGGGTGGGCCGTCCGGAGCGAGCGAATTGCCCGATCCGCAGAGGGAACTGGCGGCGGAATCGAGGCCGGTGGCGTCGAATGAGGCGTAGGAGCTGTCGTGGTGGTCTTTGAAGCAGTAGTAGGTTGGCTTGTTGGAGTTGCTGCTGGTGGGGATGGGTAGGGATGTTGTCTGAGAGGGTGTAGAAGAGGTGGTGGTGGATGGCTCGGTTGTCGAGGAACTGGTTGTTGGTGGCGCGGTTGTTGGTGGGGTTGTGGTCGATGGCGCCGTTGTCTGTCCCGCACCGCTGGCTGTGTATTTGTTGTCGGATCCCAGGGTGGGCGGAGGTCCATTGGGGTCCCAATTTCCCGTGGGTCCCACATCCACTGTCAGCGGGCATAGGTTGGTGGTGGTGTCGGTGGTTGTTGTCGATCCCTGGGTCTCGCACCCGGTCACAGTTGAGCATTGGGTCGTGAAACAGGTGGTCGCACGGGAAGTGTCGCCGTAGTTGGTGATGGAGCAGCCCACGGCGCAATCCGTCACGGTCATCCTGGTTGCACAGGAGGTGGGCTCGGCGGTCGTGGATGGACTCGTATCTGTTCCGCCGAAACATCCTTCAGGGTCCAGGCATTCACAGTCCACGCCACTGCAACTGCTGCAGCCCGAACCCGAGCAACTGTAGCTAGACCCTAAGCAACCGCATGTACGGCCGACACAGCTACTGCATCCGGGAGACGTGCAGGAGCAGAACAGAGCGGCAAGTCCCGAGCAACCGCATCCCAGACCGAGACAGGCCGCGCAGTGGGCGCCCTTGCAGCCACAGTGTCCGTTGGAGCAGACGCAGTCTGTGCCGGTACAGGCACTGCACAGGGGGCCAATGCAGCGGCCCGCACTCGGATCACAGTCCCGACCCGTGCAGCTTTGACAGTTGTCCCCCACGCATCGGCCGTCATGGCAGTCCTTACCTTTGCATCCATTGCAGTCGGTTCCCGTGCACTTGCCATTGTGGCAGTCCTGGCCCACACAGCTACTGCAGTCATTGCCCGTGCAGCTGGTCCCTCCTCCCGGAGAACAGTCACTGCCGGCGCACTCATCGTAGCTGGTACATCCGCTGCCCGAGCAGATGCCAGACGTACATCCTTGACCGCCGCAAGTGCCCTCCCAGCAGTTCGAACCGGTACAGACGCCGTTGCTGCCACACTCCGGACCCGAGCAGCCGAGAGCAAGGCAGCGCGATCCACTGCAGACTCCATTGCTACCGCAGTCGGGACCCACGCAGCCAGATGTTATGCAGCCGGAGGAGACGCAGACCCCGTCCTGACATCCAGGACCAATGCAGCCCAGGGTCACACAGTCCGTGGGACCGGTGCACATGCCATTGAGACATCCCGTTCCACTGCAGCCGAACGAGGCACACAGAAGGCCGGTACATTGCCCATCTTGACAGTCAGGACCCTTGCACTGCCCATTGGTGACAACTGGCCACGTGCGATCTCCGGTGGGCACGGGCGTTAGGGCGCTTGTGCTGGTGGACCCGCCAGACCCCCCGGAACCGCCCGAGCCGCTCCCGCCACCGGCGCTGCCTCCACCCCCGCCGCTGTACCCCCCGCCATTGGGACACCAGGCCGCCGGAGGAGGGCAGGTGGGCGTGGCGCCTCCGCTGGCCGTGGGAGAGGGGGCGACCACACAGTTTCCCTTGGGGGATTCCATATCCCCATTGAAGGCACTAACACACCATTCGTAGTTCCACGTGCCGGGAAAGAGAAAATACTGATCGCTGCAAGTGGCTTCCACCGTCGCATTTTGGGCCGTGAGCACACTGCCCGAGTCGTGCACATTTCGACTCCACAGACGATATCCCGCGGCGTTGGCCGACTCGTTCCAGGTCATATGAATTGTCGTCGGATCATTTGCCACGATCGTCAGATCCGTGGGCGGCGATGGAGTGCCAGCGCCAGGTATCACACCAGTGACAATCCCAGGGAATCCCTCGCCGGCCGCGTTCCACGTCTCAATGGCCAGGAAGTAGTAGTGGCCCGGGCTGAGATCATCAATGTGTCCCGAAGTGCCTGTGAACGCGCCACCTGTGATGTAGGTGCAGTCTTGGGATTTGTCCCAGTACAGCACGTTGTACTCGATGATCGAGTCAGTGTAGGCCCCAGTCGGAGGGTCCCAGGAGATGTCGAACCCGGTTGCGGTGGCCTCAACTAGCACGTTCTGGGGAGCAGCGGCAGTCTGAGGATGGGCTGTCGCGGACAGAACGGTCGTCCAGTCGCCCTTGATGTTGTTGCCCGCGCTGGCGCGTACCTGGACCTCGTAGACCCAGCCGTCGATTGGCCACGTCGAGTCCCATCGAGCTGAGTCGACGCTTCCCGAGGAGAAGTCGGTAATGCCCCCTTGAATCCGAGAGGAGACATCGTAGCTATACGCGCCATAGACTAGCGATGTAGTCCGTTAGTCTTCAAGTGACGCTACCTGGGTGAGGCGGGGGAACTTACCTGGATCCCATGTTGCTGTGACTCCCGTCGCACTGCTAAACACTTGAAAGTTGGACGGGACGGGGAGAGGCCGGGCAGGAATGTTATCGGGAATGGACAAAGGAGCACTGCCAAGCTTGAAGTCGTTCACCAGAGTGAGACTGAACGCGCGGGCTATCTCATACTCGCCCTTGGCAGTAGGATGGAGTCCGTCATAGCCCACAGGACATGCGCTAGGCTCGCAGTCGTAGTTCTCCTGTAGCTCGACCAGATGGATCGGTGAATCGGTAGTACTCCATTCCGGAATTGCGTCGCGCAACAGTCCGTTATAGATATTGGTGCTGATGGGAAGATCTTCCCGGCCTCCGATGAAGCTCCGCTGGGGGACATTGGCAATGGCGAATTGGAGGTTCAGGTTGACCGCGCGGGCGTTGCTAACGATGGTGTGAATACTGTCGAGAGTACCAGCAGCGTCACTGTAGAACCATCCCATGTCGTTGAATCCGAGCATCAACAACATCATGTCAGCCGGATGGGCACTGAGGACATCGTGAATCAAGCCCTTATCCACCGCCGCCGCACGGCCCCAGACCGCAAAATGGTCTTTATCAAAATCTGCCGACACGTCCGCCGCATAACCACCGCTCGTCTTGGGCTGGGAGGATGCGGTCTGTTGCCCGTAGAGAGGCGGCGGTGCCGGGGGTGCAGGAGGGTCCGGCTGGACTGTCCCCGTGTAGGGTCCCACCAAGTCGACGGCGATGCCCTGCGCTACGAACCACTCCCAGATCCGATAGCGCCAGGTGTAATCCCCCTGTTGGCCCTGGGTCATGGAGTCGCCCACGATCATGACTCTCAGCGTGGCATCGCGCCCGGCCAGGCCCTGAACCGTGACTCCTGAATCAGACTCGGTCTTGATGGTGTCTCGCACGGCAGCCACCATGGCCATGGTGTCTTCTGCCACGCCGTTTGTTTGCAAGGGAGGCATCCGACTCGCTACCTGGGTCCAGGTCTCGTAGTCGGCGATCGTGGTGGGCAGCGGGATCGGAGGAACACTCGCGAGCTGAGACAGCTGAGCTGAAACGCGGGATTCGATGACCACGGCGGAGGAAAAGGCGATGGTCTGGGTAGAGGTTGCTGAGGCACTACCCGTAGTGGTCTCGGTAGCGCGCTGGACCAGCCGCCATGGGAAAGAGATGGCATGAACGGCAGGAACAAGGGAGTATAGGATTGCAAGATACACAGGAAGATAAGGCCACCACTGGCCTCTCGTAGAGCCAACCATTTTGGACCTTGTTTGGTACAAACCCAGAGTAGCCGGTGGTGATGTTCGGTCATTATATAGATCGTCTTGTTTGGTCACAAACAACTGCTTCTGAGACTACTCATGATGAAACTGAGACTCTCAAACCCGCTGTTCAGGTTGAGGAGATGTGAAACCACCACGACGCCACAAAGAGCGGTGATAAATGATATGACCGATGCTGATTTGACCACGATTGCTATCGTTCGAAGACACGGACGCATTTCGCTGCCTGTGTCTCTCGAAGAGTTGGAGCTACTGGAACCAAGGATACCGCGTGGATATCCATCCCAATGCTCAACCAGGCGCGAACTCGCTCGCTCTAAGCTGAGCACCATCGAGAACAACTGATAACTTTCGGAACATACGATTCCGGATGTGGCGGATGCTGTGCTCATTTCCGCTCAATGTGACATCGTGGCATCTAGTGAATGCCTTAGTTCAGGGCGTTTCTTTGTCCAGGGTCCTGGGTCCTCTAACCAGAGCCTGGAAGGGTCCATTCAAACAAAGGCCTCATGGATCAGGGGTCTCAGTCGTGTGGCTGGCGACGACCGCAGCACCCGAGATGGAGCGACACCCTTGTCGAGACAGCATCGCAATCGGGATAGCCAGCTACCTAGTTTGGTGAAAAGACACCAAAGGAGCCATGGCTCGAACAGCTGATAAGGGTTGGCTTGCCTCAGAGCCGCTTGGCTAATGCCCACTGCACATGTCCTTTGACGGTAATTAAACCCTGATCAATTGGTCTTGGCAAATGTCTCAGAATCCAGCCAATGCACGTTGCAAAAGGCTTGTACGGCAGTTAATAGCGGCCATCCTGCAAATACAATTTTTTGGTATTTACTACCGGCAGAATCAATATAAAGTCTATTAGATTGGTTAATCTTACCTAATAAAGCTATACATATAACTTACTTAACTTTACTATTTAAATAGCTACTAGTCTTAAACACTATATAGAGATACAAGTCTTACTCAAGTATTATATATAGGGCCCGTACAACTGGAAGTGCTAGTGCTGGTGCTAATATTAGTATTAATAAATTATATATATTTATAAAATAATAGGATTATTCTTATTCCCAGCCTCCTCTATGAGGATTAGCTAATTTCTGTTATATTTTTCTTTCTTATTTATAAGAATAAGATTATATATAATTCCACCTATCAGTTTCCTGTTTATAATAGTAATACTAATATTCTTTTATATATTTATTTATATCTCATCCTATATAGAGTATTCTAATCTCTTATCAGACTATTTATAGTTAGTATATATTTCTTCCTATATACTAAGTAAGTAGCAACATAAGAAAAAAATTATTATATCTAAATAATTATAGTATTTTATATATAGAGAAAGAAGACAACTTCCACAGGATTAAATAAAGTAAATATTTATATATAAAAACTAATAAATCTTAAATTATTAAGCTTGGATCTAGCTGTGATGGAATTTAATATTTTAATTATTTATAATAATTACTACTTTTTATATATAATTATAGATATATAAATTTAATAGTTTTAATATCCCTGTAGAGAGTACTAGATTTTATTTAAATAAAAACTACTTATATGTATAGATAAAATATTTCTATATATTATAAAGAAAAAAACTGCAGCTATAATTATTAGTAAAAAAAAAACTATATAAAATTATATTATAATATTAATTTTTATATTCTGTTTTGCTCCCTGTATATGTATATATAATATATATATATATTAAAATTATTAAAATAAAGAAAAGAAGTTTAATTATTTAATTTTAATTATTTAATACATACGCAGCCATAGTAGTGGTAATAATAATAGTAATTATAATAATAATAATAATAATAATAATAGTAATAATAGTAGTAATAAAAATAATAAATAATAAAGTAATAAATATATATATTAATAAAAATTAGATTAATATATAATATAAATATAATAAATATATTAAATTTTTTATATTATTCTAATATATAATTAAATTTTAAATAGTAAAGGCCTGTACTTAGTTATATAATTCTTATTATTTTTTTAAAATATATACTTCCATCTTATATAATAAGAAAAAGAGGGAGATAAAAATAAAATATATTTAAAAAAAATATTTAAATATTTTTTTTTATTTAGATTTTTTTATATAATAAATTTTTTTAAATTATTTTTAATCACAGCTTGTTTTTCCTTGATATTAGAACTCTTAAAAACTTTTCTTTTAATCTTTATATTTATTTAATTTATTTTATCTGTAACCGTACAGTGTTAAATAATAATATAAATTTAATATAATTTATTAATATAATTAAATTAATTCTTTAAAAATTTATACATTCTTATAAAACTTTATATTTTTAAAAATATAAAAACTAGTTGTTTCTGTATAATACCTATTAATAATTTGAATTTATTATTAATATCTTATATATATTTACTATTATTAATATTTAGAAGAAATTCTTGATAAAGAAAGTTATATAGTATTCTAAGTATAGAGTTATCTAAATAAATCTAAACTTATTTTAAAAGAAAAGATATTAGCTTTATACAAGTCTAATAAGAGTTAAAGAATATCTAATAGAGATAAATTATTATTTTCAGATTCTCTATTCTGTATGAGATATAGATAGAAATAAATAATTACTTTAAGTTTAACTAGACCTTATGTCTTTTTTTATAATAAAATATTTTAATAAATATTTTCTCTAAATAATAGCGTACGAGAAGAGCTACTAAATAATAAAATAAATAAAATAAATAAAATAGATTATAAAAATTATAATTTAGAAAATATAGTAAGATTAATCTCTATATATATTTATCTAAATTTTTTAATCTGACTGGATAGTTGTAGTAAAGAATTAATAATATAATAAATTAAATATTATATAAAATAATTAGAATAATATAAGCTATTAACTAAATAGAACTTTAATTATAAAAAAACTATTATAAATTAGATAATAAGAAAAGAAGATAGTTACTCTCATATAAAGCCAGAAATATATAACTTTAAATCTTTAAAATAATGGTAAAGTAAGAAAAATAATAAATAAAAAATATATAAAATTTTTAGATAATTATTTTAATTTTTATTATTTAATTTAATTAAAGGCTCTAGTTGGTATCTTAGATAAACCTAAAAATAATTTAATATATAATTTTATATATATTATTATTTATTAATATAATCTAAAATAAATTATATAAAAAAGAACTTCTTCTGCTTCCTTAGAAAGAACTAGTAATAATTTTTTAAGATTAAAGTTTATATTTTAAAGTATAGTTTAGCATTACTAGAGAGTCTTAATTAAAAAATATTTATCTATATTTTAATTTTATATAAAGTTTTATAACTACTGAAGTATCTCCTTATATATAATAAATTTATAATTAATTATATTCTCTAGATGATTATAATTTATATATAATTAACTAGAAATAATATATAGTTTTTCTAATTATTTTTATATATTATAATGATTCTAGCTCTGTACATAGAATGGGATCTAAAATTAGAGAATAAATATATAAATAATATATAAAGTAATCTAATCTAGAATAAAATCTTTAGAAAAATTATCCTTTTTTAATAGAGCTCTAAAATAATTCTAGATATAGATTAATATTAAAATCTTTAATTTAATAATCCATATATATATACGCGATATTGAAAAAAAAATGATTTATTTAATTATAATTACTAAAACTTAATTCTTTAATTTATAATATTAATTCTAAAAATATAATACTATTCTAGCTGGATCTCTAGCTTATATATTTTTTAAAAATAGTAATAAATTTTAGCAAGTATAGATATTTCTAATCTATAATTTAATTAGATTTTATTATATATAATCTTTTATTATTATATAGTATTAAAATATTATCATACAATATTAACTAATATATAAATATTAATATTAATATAGATCTAGATTATAAATCGTGAGTATACATTAATTGCTATATAAATTTAAATATTATATAATTTTAATATTATATAACTATTTATTAATTAAATATAATCTAGTTTTAGAATTATATACAAGCTATATTATCGCTATATATTATTTTTTTATTATTATATAGTAAGAGGTACAATCATATAATAAATATTAAATAATTATTATCTATAGATAATAAAGCTTAGTTAGCTAAAGTTTTTAAAGCTAGAGATAGTATATAAAAATAGACTATAGAATAAAAAGATATTTATTATATATATAAATAAATAAAAGATTCTATTTATAGTCTTGGATTGTTCTTTTATTATATACTTTAAATAGATATTTTATAACTTTATCTTCCTAGATTTATTATATACTGGGATTATTTATTTATTAGATAAAATCTTACTTTGTATATATCTATCAAAGTATTTATTTAAAGATTATATAACCTTCTTTATATAAAGTATATAGAAGCTTAGAATCTAAAAAATATTATTAGTAGAACAGCTCCTTAAGATAATTATATAAGAAAGAATTAATAATAATTATATAATTACACTTACTAATACCCCAACTACTTAATTGGCTTTAAATTATATATTTATGAATTTTAATATAGTATTTCTCCTAAATAATTAAAGCGATATCACTAGCTGAATAATTCTAATAGAATAAACTAATAATCTCAGTCTTAAAAAACTCAAGATTAATGAAAGAAAATATGATAGATAAAAGAATATAATTAGGATTCTATATATAGTGTCATTCTAGTTCCTTTTAAGAATGCGGTAGATTAGGCGGTAAAAGCACTTCAATGCATTTGCAGGATGGCTGCTATTAACTGCCGTAGGCTTGATATCTCGGGCCCGAGCGTCAGGGACCCCGCCGGAGCAATATGCAAACCGCCCGATGTAACCGCCAAGAGTCGCTAAGATTCACTAGCCATATTTAATCCCCCCCCATGAACTATCCCTCATTTTCTCCTGCTCAAACAAAGAATCTCCCCGTTCTTCGCTTCGATCATGGCGTCGGTGACTCTGGAAGGTTTGCCGGCCGAGTTGATTGAGGCAATCGTTAGTTGCCTCGACTTCCAAGACATCTGCGCTCTGCGCCTGACTACACGCACCGTCTCATTCAAGTCTACCAATGCTACCTTTCGGACCTATTTCTCTTCCAAGAAGTTGCAGATTACCCCAGCCTCGCTGGAGCAGTTTGTTCGCGTCACCCAGCCCGGGCAGCTCGGCCTCTGGCTCCAACAGCTTACTCTGTATGACTTTCTCGACCAAACGATTGGACAAACCAGAACCGAGGACCCAGATGATACGCTCCAGCTATCCCAACTGCTAGCGCAAGGGATGGAAAATATCCGAGATCGAGCTCCACACGGTGGTCGGTTGTCCATCTCCCTCCAGATCCAGGGGTCCGACCCAGCCGGGCTGCTCTATGCGGACAGGGAGGCCACAACCAAATTGTTCCATGTAGTCATGTCAGCCCTCGGGAGCACTGGACTACCCATTCAGTCGTTGGATTTGTTCGCCGATGCCTATGATCACCACCACGGGAGCTGGTGTAGCTTGGGTTTCAGCGAAATCACGACGGCTTTATCCCGCGGCACAGCGGGCCTATCGACCTCCCTTCGGCAATGCAAGAAACTATGCCTGAGTATGGGGCACTGTTTACGCGGGTTCGATTTTGACACCGAGACACGATTACCGTTGACCTACGACGAGGCCCGACAAAACACCCGGTCACTCTGTGATCTGTTGAACCTTTGCCCTACACTGGAGGAACTGCATCTTGTCTGGGAGTATGACGATGTCGAAGAAACGAGCGCGGTTGTGGAAGAATTGCTTTTCTTCAATCGGATTGCAGAAGTCTGTGAGTTCCTAATTTTAAAGAAGTGTACCTTGAAGCGTATCCGAGCGTCCGAGACCGGAGTCCTGTCCTTTTTCCGCAAGATTCCCGGGTTGGTGTATTTGAGCATTGACGGAATGGACCTCTATGGTGAAGGTAGATTTGATTGTCTGCTTGAACTTCTGTCTACGGCTATGCCTCAGTTGGATAGTTTGCGTCTCCGCGGACTTATTAGTGAGTTAGGGACCGTTGAATTCCCGGAAGAACCCCGAAAAAATTGGTGGAAGGAAAAAAGCCATCCCTTTTATGGTATCATGCGCAGAGGCCCCGACGCCCGGAGACCAGTTGTTGGCAGGATTGGGTAGGGAAAGTCGGTGGCTATCAGCATCCGAAGAATATCCGAGTAATTCGAATGTGAGACATGATAGAGCAACAAGAGTAATTTCAAATAATCTCAACGAGACTTAACTGTGTAGGAACGCACCATTGGTTCATCGTCAGGCCTGATAGCACTAGGCTTTTGAAGATTGCATGCATGGGGTTGTACCACCATCCCAGACATGCTATACCCTAATTCGCAAGAGCTCCTACCCGTTAGTCAATTTAGTGTAGGCAACCCAATTTCGAAGGTCTTTTTCGCATAAGCCAGCGCACCCCCTTATCTTTTCCTTTCCACCCCAATAGTTCATGATCACGAGAAGGGCTGTCGGGGTGGCCGGGAAATTGACCATCTGGAATTTGGTTTATTTAGTTTCCCCTCCCCCGTCGCTATTCTAGCACTCGACAGATTTGTGCAAGCCAAGCGACATGGTACCCTACTCGAAGGGGATGCTTTGCATCTCATTGGTGCTCTTCTGGGCAATCAGTAGCGCTAGGATATACTCTCCTGACTCTCCGGTTGATGTCTTTGGGGCAGTGTCCTTGGGACGCCCGGACAACAAAACCCAGCTGTTATATTCTGGAGTGTGCGTGTTCTCCTCCGCTCAGCTTCTTCATCTAATATTCTATAGTGACCCTCAATGTGGTGCAAGCCTGTCGGACGACGACCCTGATGTTCCGACATGCCGGCCATTAATGTGCTGCATCCGATTCATCTCAGAATGGTTGCTCAGACCGCTTGGACACAGGCCAGATGTACCTCAATAGCACAGTGGATGATGATGATGTTGATGATCCAGCATATCACTCCGTCGGAGAGGCGGCTCTCGAGAAACGTGTGTTCGAATCCATGACCCTTGCTCGAATTCGTGAATACCTTCCACAACAAACAGACCCGAACACCGTAGACACGTATTTCGGGAACCCCACGGGACTTATACAGTTCGTCGGCAAGAAAAGTACAGATGCTTCTGTTGCTCGACAGACGGAATTCGGAAGTGCTCCCTTCCAAATTGGCACCGATGGCCTAGTCGGCTGTACCATTGTCACCGTGGTGTCTAAGAGAGCGGTCTACATGGTATCATTCTTTCCCCTCCCCCCGGTCCGTGGCACACGTTTGGCTTACATTTTTTCTAGGGACATTATTGGGAAGAGGAAAGTTGGTCAAGCAACTATTATTTCCCGAGACGCGTCCTCAACTTTATTGCGGGTCGTCAACCGCAACAGGGCATCGGCCCAGCCTTCAACCCAGCACTGTTCAACCGCCCGGATGACGACACGCGGGTATATATTATGCATCCCCGAAGAGGGATAAGGGTATATACCTCCGCGATCTATCGAGGCAAGTTGACCCAATTGAGAACCTTGTTCAACCAGAATCTTCTGCCCGGAGTGCCAATCGCTACATGGATGTATATACCCGTCAACCCCAGGCGGGGCCAGCCCGACCCCATTGCCGATCAGCCATGGAGACGACACGCTATATTTCAATATGACCCGAATGCCCATGGTGCGGGAAATCGAGGATGGAGGCTATTTTATGAAGATCACTATTTCGATGATACGAATCCGCCACCGGGGCCTGCGTCGGCCAATGGGATTCCTGATTTGCCGTGATCGATCGTGGCCCTGTGTATTTTTCGTGGATATAGGGATGGTTGCACTGGGCTGTATGTTGGGTAACATTGGCTGTTTTGAATTCGTGCTATTGGATGGTTATCGTTAATCTAGATACCTCTATACTGTATGCATGCATCCGCTTTAGATAGTATTCTTTTACAAATACTGTTGTGAGCTACGGCTCAGGGAAGGTGAAGATGTTGCTTGTATTGGCTATCTAGGCTACGGCCGGAAGGAAGAAGAAGAACGCCTTGGTGGTGGCCAACGTGATCGGAACACGTGATCCTCGCCTACCGGCCAACCAGGCACCTCAACAAATACCATTCTTCTATTGACCCTGAATCCTCCCATCCCCCTTCCCCTCTCATCTCATTCAACTATTTGCTCTCT